GTGATCCTGAAGGAGACTTAGATCATTTTGATGTTGGTCAATCTCCATCTTCTGTTGTTGAAGGTACTGAATTAAATACAGCTGAAGCACTTGAGTTAAGAACAATGGGAATCAGATTGAGATTTAGTTATTGTGAAACTTATAAATTAAACTATCAATTTAATGAAACCATTCCAAGAGAATTCATTGTTGATCCAGTTGATGAAAGAGTTAATATTTATCAATTTAGTGATAACAAATTAAATGAATTCTCTCAAGAGGCACAAAGAATTATTAATAAATATAAAGAAGAATGTAATAATAAAAATGATAGATTAGTATTACTTTCTCAAGAATGTGATAGTACATCTACTATTGAACATGGTCATGGTGGATTTAAATGTGGAAATGATAACAAATGGACTAAAGAGTGTGTTATTAGTTACTGTGATGAAGGTTATAAATTTGATAGAACCAATCAAAAGTGTATTATTGATGTTTGTTATCCACCAGATAATAGTCAATCATCTACTAGTGATTCAAGTGATAAAATTAAAGATGATAATATTATAATTTTTATTGTTGTTGGTTCAATTATTGGGATCTGTGTTATCGTTACATTGATAGTTTTAGTGATAGGACTTATATTTTGTGTGAAAAAGAAACACCATAAATCATCATACAACACATTACCAGAAAATAACTAAATGAAATCTTTAAATCATATTATGTTTTCACTTCTTTTTAAAATTCAAAAAAAAAAATTAAATTAAAAAACTCAAACCTCAAAAGAACTATTAAAAGTATTTCTAATGGATTACAATAGAATGATGGGTATTCCTTATGAATTCACTACGTCAGGTCCAGGTAGAAAGAATATAAATGGACTACATAATTCAAGAAATGGACTAAATCAAGGTTTAGGAATTCCTGGACAGAAAGAAGAAGAAATAAAATTTGACACAAGTGGTTTTGCAGAAACAAATGGAGACGATTTCATACCAGATATTGAAATTTAAATTCACATTTTTATTTTCTACTTACTCATTTAATTTTATTTTTTTTCTTTAATAAAACTATAAATTTTTATTAAAGTTTTTACATGAACAACACCATTGGAAGTCAATTAAAAATAATAGAGATAATTCATTTATTACAATGGCCATATTGGAGTTCTATAAAATGTCTTGAAATGAAAAATAAAATTGAAAAAAAGAATTTGTTACAATTTATAGAAGAACGAGATAAAGTAATATGTTTGTGTATCATATTATTGGTCATCAATTGTTAATAACATTCTCAACACTATAGTACTTTTATTCTTAGAAAAAAAGAGTGATGAAATTAATGTTGATGAAACACATCAATCAATTATAAAAGACTTTCTCCTTGAATTAATTAAAAAAGATATTATTAAAGAAAAAGAATATTTTCATTTTATGAACTTCTTATCGTATTATGAAATAGCAGTGTTAAGGTTATGCAACTTTGATTTATTTACAAGGGAAGTTGATGATGATTATCAAGAGATTATTGATTGGTTAAAAGAGAATAAAATTACTATCATAGACTCAAAAGATTCACACCAAAATATTCAGAAAGATTATATTGAAACAAATGAACTTCAAAACACACTATCTTCATTATTTCTTTTTGACTTAAACCAATACCCTATGAAAATAATTATTTTAACTACTGTTTATTATCTTATTCAATACCGTGATACACAACAACAAGTCAAAAAAAGAATAGATAAAGATATTAAAGAAAATAAATATCGTTGGGATGATATTGAACAACTCCTTCAATTCGTTAAATGTGGAAAGGAATTAATGTCAAAGAAAAATGAGATTATTACTCAATACGTCTCTTCTTTTAAGAGGATTATTAAATATGTGGTTTTCACTGCCTCAGATGAAAAGTGCCTTAATGAGTTAATTGCTCATTACTCTCATCAACAATTTGATATTTTAGAATTTACTATTTACCAAATAGAGAAAAATGATAAGATTTATCAATTTTGGAAAATAAAAGAGTCCTACCAAATGATTGACTGCTCTTTGATTTTAAAAACTGATGTTGATAGTATCATATTCTTAACAAAAAATAACAATAAATTTTTAAAAGAATACTGTTATTTATGTAACGGATTTAATTATATTCATTCAGTCTTTGTATTATCTGCTTCTTCCCTTCCTCAAGAACTTAAAGATGAACTTCAATTATCAATTTTAAATAACTTTCCTACAGATGATTCATTTTTGAACTTTACTTTACAAAAAGATCTTCACATATATTTCAAAGAAATTAATTATTCGGTCTCTACTTCATTGATTGATACAGTTTGCATCTAAGTTATTATTAGTTTTTCTTTTGTTTTTTTTTGAATCAAGTTTCTTTATGAGAAAATTAGTTCTATATATTCATAGAAAAAGAAATTATAAATAATGTTAATTATTAACTAGCTAACTAGCTAATAAAAAACAAAGGTCTCAATGATTATGTAAATAGTAAAGTTAATAAATTAATAAAAGATATAATAATATTAAGTAGTCATGAATAAATAAAATAAAAAAGATGATAAATACAAAAAGAAACTTAACAAAATTAAATTAATATATATAATGGTATATATGAATGTCGAAATAAACAAGAAAAGTATCGAAAAGTTAATAACAAAATGAATTAATCAAATACTCGAAATAAAGAATACTCTAGTATTAGAAGAATTGTAGAATCAAATGATAACAATATGAAAAAAAGTTAAAATATAAATTCATTTATACAATTTAAAATAAAAAATATTTAAAATCTATTCATTCAAATTCAATAATTATATTTTCTTTTTATACTTTTAAAGTTGTATCAATACTCAAGTTTAATATGGTTAGACAGGAGCCTAAATATCTTATTAATTATTCTAAACTTAAATCAATAACTATTAAAAATTCACCAAACTCAAATTAATAGATTAATGATTTCCTAAAATTATATGTATTTCTAATGCCTTATTAAATTAATAACAATACAAAATGAAATAATTGATATTAGTACCACTATACAAGTTTATTAACTTATAATTTATTTAAAATAACTATAATTCAATATAATATCAAGAAATAAACATATACAAATAAACAAGATTTTTTAAGTAATAAATGACTGATAAGTAATAAAAAAGTATGTTACTACTATTTATCTAAATTTAATTCCTTCATACAAGAAAAAAACTAAAATCAAAAAGAATAATCTTAGCCAATCTAATTTATTGATACTCTTTATAAAGTAATAATTCAGAATTAACAAAGAAAATTTATTAATTAATTTAAACAAAGATGGAACAAATGATTAATAAAAAAACAAAGAATTAAAAAATAAACACTTTTATTAATGAATGAAAAAAGACTAACTTCATTATTAAATAAAAACAATAATAATCCATTTTTATTTGATTTCCATAATTTTAAGACTATAATAATATAAAAAAATAAGTTCCTTCTTTCATTAATATTTATAAATAATTTTTAAAATACTAATTTTAGTATCTTTTTTTATTTTTAATACAACAATCCAACTTATTCAACATTTAACTGTTAGAAGATTATAAAAGAATAAGTTAATAATTTATTAAATTTTTTTTTTAGAAATCTTTGTTGACTATTTATAAGTAAACTTCTTGATTTATGTCTCTTTGTATTTCTTAAAACAAAGAACCATTTAAAAAATAGAGTTGAAGGGTAAAAGTATTGGAATTTGTTAACCCAAAAAAAGAAGAGCAAGGACTCATTAGCCCTATCTTTTGCAATTGTCGGATTGGTAATAACTATGAAATTAAGTATATAAGGAAATAAAATAAACTAAAATGCTGAAAAAGAACCATTACGATTATTTACAAAAATTCTCCTTTATAAAAAGAAAAAAAGAGAACTACTTTGTAATAAATAACATTTCATGAGCGTTGCTTATCTCGATTCTTCTGATACAAACTCTTTTTCTGTACCAATTGAAATACCCAAAGCCAAACACCAAATTTCTATTGATTCAACCTCCTCATCATATGCGGAAGATGATGTGATAATAATTGATGATTATATACAAAATTCAAATAATTATCCTCAACGTCCAACAAACCCTTTGCCATTTGAAAAAGAGTCAACTTTACCAGAAGAAGATAATTTTAATTCACCTACTGGAGTTTCAATTTCTGAAACCAATAATCTTTATTGGCTGTAAATATCATTTTATTCATCAAAAATAATTTTATTCGAACTTTTATTGCCAAAAAAAAGTGGCTTGTTAATCAATTGAAATAAGTTTTTTATTGAATTGTTGTAATTTTAAAAAAAATCCAATTAATTGATGTTATAAGAAAGCAGAATTAAGGAATGCAACAAATGCATCCCCACCATTATTATCTAAAGTAATCAAGTTTTGTTGAATCAATTTTAAGAATGAACGACGTACTCTATTAATTTCAGCAACTGAAACTTTTCTTGGAAGAACAACTCGAGTACTACTTTGTGGTACAACAATAGGATCACCTCCAACGAATGTTGGTGAATTAACAACTTTCATTACTACTCCAATAATGTCTTGGGTTACAGCATCAATTTGAGTTACAGTAGTACTACTTTCAACGGTATCCTGTTTTACACTAAAATTAATTCTTCCAGTAAATTTATTAAAAAGAATTTCACAAATTTGTTTGCATGGTAGTTCTTCTCCAGGTTGAATATTAAATAACGGTTGGTCCCATTTATGAGACGGTAATGGTACTTCATATCGTTCTATTAATTCTACAACCATTTCATCTGAGTATTTTTCTTCTCTTTGAGAATTCCATTCAATACATTTTTCTTGTGGAGCAGTAACAGAAATAGTAACGCTAGTTGATGCAATTGATTTACAATGGCATTTTAATTCATACCTAAATGATTTATTATAATTTAATGAATCTAGTATTACAATAGTCTCTCGATTTAAAAAACGTAATACCTGTCCTTTTAAAGCAGTTCTCATTCTATCTTCAGTTTGCATTGCTAAAACCAGTTAGCATTATTCTTATTACTTAATACAAACAAACTTTTGTATGCTTCTTGTCGTAAAATTCCAAGAGTTTCTTCGTTAATTAACTCAACTGGAGTTTCTGGATAATTTTCATTAATGTATTTAACAAGTTGATTTGCAAAAGTGGTTTTACCACTACAAGGATATCCACTTATTAACACAAATGGCATAGATTTAATTATATTTTAAAGTTCAGTTAGTAGGTTTTAACAAAAGAAAAATAACAAAAAAGTGGTTATTATTAATTCATTATCCCTCAACTTTGAAATTTTTGTAATAGAAATGAAGAATATTATTTAAATCAAAAACTCTTTTATAGAATCTGATTATAAATATAAACATACTGAAGATTTAGAATATTCATTACTCTTTCAAACTATTAAAGTAATAAAAGAGAAATTAAAATGAACACCCATTTATTCTTAGCATCTCTGAATGTCTCGCTACAATATTATAGTGAGAAAGGTATATGCTTAAATTTACTGATTAACTAGTTTACGTAGATGAGTTTAAATATTTTAGGTTAAATAACCTATATTTATTTAATTTCTAAATTACAAATTTAATTATCATAATTTTACTATAAATAAGTTATATTTCTTTTATTTTCTAAATTATTATTTTTTTGTTATTAAAAACAGAATATATTTTTATTTTTGGATTATTAAAAGTTTGTAGATTAAATAGAATCTATACAACTTCTATTTGTTTTGATAATTCATGCTAGAGAATGTGTCAATAGAATAATAAAGAAAAAATAAACTATTTTTATTCTTTACAATATTTATCAAAATATTGGGTTTATATATTCTTTTTTTTTAATTCACCTATTATGATAAAACAATATATTTTGTTTGTGATAGATATTTTTAAGTTACAAAAATAAACTAATCTTTCAAAATCTCATCTTAGCAATTTTATATTAAATTATAAAGGGATTAATTAAGAAATAAAACTTATTTTTATCTAATTAACATCTATTTATTTTGATATGAACAAATAAGAATTAATAGAAGGAATAAAAAAGGCACAGACATTAAAGTTTTGTTTGTTTCAGTATTTTTTTTAAATAAAGTTGTTTATAATTTATGACACCTGTTAATCATAAAACTTTTTACAATTTCCTAGAGTTTGTATTAAATAAAAAGAAGCAAATAAATAAATAACGAAAAATAGAACTTATTTATTTTTATTTTTCATTCTTCTTTTTTATTATATTTTTCTTTTCAATATCTTTATTTTAAAAATGATATTCATTTTCTTGTAAAATACCTGAATATTGTTTTAACAAGTTGTAATTATTACTCATTTATATTTGAATGAGTATTGACTAGAATCTAATTATTAGTTTTTTATTTTCTTCTTTGGGAATAATGACATAAATTATCTTTTTGAATTTATTTGTCAATGAAAAGGATTTACTTAATTTTAAATAAACTTAAACAAATACAATTAAAAATTTAAACTTCTATGGAATTGGAAACAAATTAATTAAATCATCTATAATTTTTTAAGAAGAAGTTCTACATAAATGAATGAGTGTTATTATTAAAATAAAATTTATTTTAATAACATAAAATAACATAATCAATTTGATTGTTTTCTATAATCAGCCAATTCTGTACGATTCATTGCTCCTTTACCAATATCATGTCTAGCAAATATATAATCTTTTAGTGTTAGTTTAATCAACATTCTTTTCTTTTCCATTTCTAATTCTTCAAGCATCTTAATATCGTCTTCAACCCTTTTTTGATTATCATCTAAAAATGCCATTTCTGTTTTAGATAAAGCTTCTCCTCTTTCTCTTTTATTAATTAACTCTTTATATCTTTTAACTCTATTCATTTTAACAGGATCAAATGATGGTGCTCGTTGTTGAATAACTTGTTTCTTTTTCTTGGACAGTCTTGCATCAATACGATCATAAAAGTTTTGCATGTGGTCAGTTTCTTCTTCTTCATCAGGTTTTTTAGCATCATCTACTTCTCTTTTTCTGACTTTCTGTTCAATGTTCAAATTATTTCGTAATTTTTCTCCAATATCCATTCCTCCTATTTCAATGTCAAATTCACATCGCTCAGCATCAGTTCTACACTCAGCTGCTTCTCCAACTTTTTCTACACATTCAAGCATTCTCATGTATGTGGCTTGTGATATAATTTCTAATACCCCTTCCTCAATTTCCATTTTTTGGTTTCGTTTAGCCAAAAACTGTTGCATTCTTCGTTTTAATTCACTAAGAGTTAAGAAATTTTTATGTTCTAATCTTTCTACAATTAGTTTATATTCTTCTTTCATTGGAACTATCTTAAGTTCTGGAACAGGTGGTGCAGAAACAAATTGTTGTGATTGAGTTATACTTGTTGTGATTGGTGGTGGTTGAATAGGACGTGGTGCAGGAGTAGATATTGTTGCCATACTCCTTTGTTGATATTGGTGTTGCATTGCAACCCTCTGGGCATTTACTTGAGTTGAGTGTATGATAGGTTGTTTGCCTTGCATTCCTTGCATTCGTTGTTGTTGAATTTGTTGTGGTATTGCAACTCTTTGAATATTCATTTGAGGGTTGTGCATGATAGGTTGTTTACCTTGCATTCCTTGCATTCGTTGTTGCTGTTGAACTTGTTGTTGAAGTAATCTCTTCTGTTGTATTAATTCAAATCGATGTGATTGTTGTAATGTAAGAGGTCCTTGTAATATTTCATTAAAATTAGGAGGAATTGATTGTGGATATCCAGAATTTTGGAAAGTTAATTTTGATGGGATTTGGTTCATAGTTGGTTTTCCTTGAGGTATGCCTGGATGTTTTCCGGCTGTTTGAGAGTGGAAATATTGTGTGTTAGGTATTCTTCTTTGTGTAGGATGCATTGGATAGAATGTTTGTTGTTGGTGAATAGGAGATTTTGGTTTTGTGCTATTTGATCGTTTTGGTTCTGTTGTTTGTGGAATTCTGAATCTAGGTATATTTTTTATTGGAATTGACATGAAAAATGATTCAATAAATTTTTGAGTTCTAAATCCCAAAATTTATTTATCTCTTTTCTCTAAAATGTGATATATAACTAAAAATGTTATTTCTTTCTTCATAAAATCAAAAATAAAAAGAAACTTTACAAGATAAAGATAATTCAAGAAGTGATGATTAATCTAAGCCCTAACGATATGAGTTCTCAAAGCAACGAGTATGAATAATTAAGTGAATGACATTTAATAAATTTTTTTTAAAAACTAAAGAAAAGAACTTTGAAATCAATAATGTTGGACTCATTTGTTGCTGAGGCACTTACTTCTTTATTAGGACAATACATTGAATTAAATCCTGATGCATTAAAATTAAGTATAGCAAAAGGAGAGGTTACTCTTAATAATTTATCGTTAAGACGTGATGCATTTAATAGATTAAATTTACCAATTAATATTACTACTGGAAATCTTCAACAACTTCACGTTAAGTTACTTAGTCTATTTGATTTAAAAGTTCAAATAGATATTGATAATGTTATTGCATTATGTATTCCTCAAAAAGAATTTACTTATGACCAAAAAGAAGCCATTGAAAAAGAGTTAAAAAGAAAATTAGAACGTATTGAAGAATTTGAATCATTTACTAAACTTACTGATGGAAAACCTGGAACTAAAGTTAGATTAATAAGAAAGTTATTAGAAGGACTTATTGTTTCAGTTACTAATGTTCATATTAAATATAAAGATAATGATGATTATATTGGAGTTAAAATAAATGAAATTACTTTTACAAATGCAAAAGAACAACCAAATGGAATTACTAGAAAAGAAGCAGTAATTGTAACTGCATCTCTTTATGCTGGAAAAGGAAACTTAGAATTTAATGATCCAATACCAAAGAAAAGTATTATCACCACTATTTCAGAATTAACTATTATTATTGATTTTATTCAAAAACATTATAAACAAATTCGTGCTTATATCAAAGCACCAATATTTAAAGGGGTATTAACCCAAATGCAATATCAAGAATTTTTAAGTGTTATTGGTAGATTATCTGAGTATGCCCAAGCAATTAAATTCCTTGGAATAAGACCACAAAAAAGGGTATTAGGAAATGAAAAGGCATGGTGGAAATTTGCTGTAGAGGCTATTAAAAAGAAAAGAATGAATGAGGAAAATAAAGGAATAAGAGAAGATCTTATTAAGTCAATTGAAGAAAAATATATAGAAGTTTATATAAAATGGAGAAATGATAATAAAACTAAAGACCTTGAAGAAGTTAAAAGAATGGATGATAAATTAAGAGAAGAAGAAGTTATTTATTTAAGAAAAAAAGCATTGAAAAAAGTAGCTACTAGTTTTACTGGAGGATGGAAAAAGAAAATGATGGGAATGAAAAAAGAAGAAATAGACGCTCTTTGTCAAATGCTCGATAGTAATGAAACTAAAATTGATGATAAAGAAGAAGTCTTACACATAGAAGCTGAATTAGAATTTGGAGAAATTAGTTTAAATAATAATGATCAAAGTCGAACAATTTTAAGTGTTATTGCATCTAGAATTGATTTTAAATGTATTGTCTATGGAAAAGGATTTCATGTTGGTATTACCTGTGATTATGCTTCAATTAATGAAAAGATTTCTGCTCATCCAGACGTTTTAAAGAAAAGTGTCGAAGAATTGCCATTAGTTAAATGTACAATTGATCGTCCAATAAGTGGTCCAGATGCTATTATTAATGTACGTGTTGCAGGAACAGAGTTATGTATTAATAAAATATTATTAATGAATCTCTATCAATTTTTTATGTTACCTGAACAAATTAGTCTTTCACAAGTTAAATATTTTCTAGAGCAACAACTTACTAAATTTTATCAAATAACAACTCACAGACTGGGTGATTTTGTAACGGATCATCAAACAACAATTCAATTAGACGTTGAAGTTGTTGCACCAACAATCACATTACCACTATTTTTTAATGACAAAGAATCACCTTTTATTAAAATGAAGTTAGGACAAATACATATTGTTACTATAGAAAATCCTATTGGACAAAAGTTTATTTATATTCTTAATGATGTTTCATGTGCGTCATATCCTTCTTTTAAGAATAATAGTTGTACTGACGAAGATGCTAATTATATTATACAAAAAATTAGTGGAAATGGAGAAGTTTTAGTTGGTGAACCAAATAGACCATTTATTGATATCATTGCATCATTTAAACCATTTGTCTCAAAAATAAGTAAAGCAAAAATTGATCTTATAAAGGAATATATTAAAGAGTATACAGATGGGTGGGATGAAATAATTGTTCCTAAACAATATGAACAAGAACTGTCATTAGATGATGTTGAATTTTTAAAACAACAAAGAGGAATGGTTAAGGCATTATTAAAGAGGGTTGCCACTGAGTCAATTCATATTAAAGCAAATTTAGAGAGATTTGAAGTTGGAATTGCACAAATTGGTGATAGTTCAGAAAAGAAAATGGTAACTAAATTAGTTGTTGAAAAAGTTGGATTTGATGTAGGAATTAAGGCAAATGGATTTGATTGTAAAGCAGAAATTGGTAGTATTGAATTAGAAGATCATGTTAATAGGAAACCACAAATTCCATTTATTTTTAGTAGTAAACTAGAAAATTGTAGTCAATGTTATTTAGCTAATATTCATGTTGGATGGGGACAAGAGTTAATTAGTGTTCAAGGAGTAATTCAAATTGGAAGAATGAGAGTAGCTATTCAACCAAAAGTTATTAGTGAACTAATTAAATACGGAATGAGTTTATTATTTTCATATCAATTAGATAATAGAAGTATAGAAGATAAAAGAAAAACAATAAGAAAAGGTTTATTAACATTAAAAGAACCTATAGTTATTGAGGATGAAATAAATACAAAGAATGGTGTTATAAAGAAAAGTGAATCTATTAAAGAGAAGAGTTCAATTCAAAGTTCAAGAAATAATATTTTAAATGAACTTAAAAGGAAAATTGAAGTAGAGTTGAAAGTTAGTGTTGAAGAATGTGGATTGTGTTTAATTGAAGATAGTGATGATATGGTTTGTAATATGAAAGTACTAGGTATTGAAACTGGACTTCAATGGAAAGGATCACCAACAATTGATCTATCGATACGTCAAGCATGTATTTTTGAATATGATGTTGTTAGTAATAAAGAACAACCAGTATTAATTTATCAAGGAAAAGAATTACTTACTATGAGATATGATCAAACAAGAATGAAACTTTCAACAAAAAACCTAATTATTCACAATATCTTTATGAAACTAAATATGGTTCAGTGCTTTATTTGTCCATCATTTATTACAAGATCATTAAAAATTATTGGAAGTGATTCAATAATTAAATCCATTGATCTAGAACAAATCCATAAACAAATAGTAAGAGGATTTATATCTTTTTCTAACAATTTTAAAACTATAGTAAAAAGTATTGCAATTAAATCAAGAGGTGGATTAAATAATGTTACTTTGTTTAATCCAAAAATTGAATTAAATTCTCCACATATTCGTTTATTTAAAGATTATTCTAGTGGAAATTATTCAGTAAATGCATCAGCTGGAATTATTATTATTAGTTCATTAATCAATGTGATTGAAGATAAAATTAATCAAGAAATTGAATTAAAAATAGATAAATGTAATGTTACTACAACTCAAAAAGGTGAGGTTATTCCAATTATAAGTAATTTATCTATTAATTGTAATGAAAAAACAAGTATGGAAATAGAAGAAGAAGTTAAAAGAAATACAAAAGTAGAATGTATCGTTAATCAATTACTCCAAGTTAATATTAAAGCAAAACAAGTGAAATTTCTTATTGATTATTTCTTTGCGGTGAAAGAGAAATTAGATATCGAAACTCTTATGAAACTTTTTGACCATATTAAAACAACAAGAGCAAGAAGAGAAATTAAAAGTGAAGAATATACACAAAATCTAGATAGAAGTACTAGAAAGGAGAAAGAATATAATTTTTTAATGGACATTAACGTTTCTTCTATTCAAGTAATGTTTGGAGATATTAATAATGTTGCATTGGCTAGTATTAATGGAATTAAAACTAATATAAAAATTACTAAAGACCTTTACTTAGAAGGAGAGATTGAAGTAAAAGATATTATAATTGAAGATGCCAGACCAGTTGCAGAAGGTAGATTCCATAGGCTATTAGGTAAACTTAAAGAAACACCATTTTTATCAACATCAATTGATATGTATATTCCAACACTACAAATATTTTGTCAAAGTAATATCGATAGTTTATCAGTTGTAATTATTCCATCATTAATCGGTGACTTAGCATTAATTGGAATTGATTTAACACCACAAATAACAACAGTGCATGAAAAAAAACAATTTGTTAAGAAAAAGAAACCGGTTAGAATGAGTGTATTAGATATTATTGAAATTATTGTAAACAATGGAACGAGTAAAGAAATTGAACTTAAAGCAAGTGAAAATTTTTCAAAAACATTGGATGGAAATGAAATATTCCAACAACTTAAAAAGAAGTTAAACATTTCAGAACATCAAATTGAATATTTATGTGATGAATTACTTAGACAGTCAATACTTATTGGTAAATATCCTTTTGATATACACCATAACTATAAATTATCAACTTTAGATATTACAAAAGATTCAACCATCTTTCTCTCTTCATTTGAAGAGATTCACCCTAAAGAAATAGTTGAAGAAAGTGATTTAAATTGGTTTATTTTCTCCATTATTGTAAGTGATATAAGTTTTATTTTTGTTATGGATGATGAAAATATTAATACTCCATATCTATTAATGCAAGCAAATGGTGCTGGACAAGTTACTATTAAAAAGAATAATAAAAGTAATTTCCTTTTTACAATTAATAAAGCTGAATGGAAAAGTTGTCAAGCAAAGAATGGAGAATTAACGTATCAAGGTGTTATTTTAAATGAAGGATTTGATTTAAGTTTCCATGGAGAAATTCTATTATCTGAGAAATTAATTGAAGCATCAACTCAGTGCATTTTCCAACCAGGAAAATTTATCTTTTCATTTGATGATCTTAAGATGTTACTAGGATGTGGAAAGACTTTAAAGAAAATTTTTGAATGTATTATGAAAAAATTAAAAGACCGACCTCAGACAAAGAAAATAGTGACATTAGCCACTTTATTGAATAACCCTCCGTCATTAAGAATTAAAGGAAAAGATATTTATATTAAAAGTACATTTGGAATTAGTAACTTTGATTTAATTCTTAACCATCCAGTAATATTATCTCCACTATATAAAATTACTATAGTTAAAGCAGAAACAAAGTTATATTCTTATAATGATGATATTATCATTAATATTGCACCATTAATATCATTTGATTTCTTTAATGAAAAGTTTGGTGAATATGAAAAAGTCTTTGACCATATTCAGGCTGATGTTATTATTAGAGCTGTATGTGATATTGTTCATGGAGAGCCACGATTGTGTTTATCAGTAAATACTGGCTTTGGAAATGTTTTCGATATCTCAGTAACAAAAGAGGTTCTTGATAGTTTCTTTGATGTTTATAAAGAAATTGACCAATTTAACCAAAATGCTCTTGGTGTTGGAGAATATAAACCAGTTAGAATTATTAATCAAATGACTACTACGTCATCAAAGTTATATGCAAAAATAAATGGAACATCAGATGTGGAATTATTATCAAACACTACAGTAGAATTACCACTAGAAGCAAAAAGAAAACACATTAAAGAATTTACATTAAGAATAAGAAATGAAGATATTAAAATTCCATTAACTACAACTATTACACAACTTCATGTATTACAAAATAAAGTCTATTTCTTCAGTAAAATGATATATGATACAGATGGATCTCAGTTAGTATATCTTATGACATGTAAAACTGTTAAAAACTCATTAGACATTCCACTTGAGATTAGGCTCAATAAAGGAAATTTAAGTAAAGTATTAATTCTTGAAAAAGGAGAGGTTAAACCAATTCCACAAGAATTTATAAAAGAAAGTATCACTCTTGTTATTGAAAAACAATCTGTTGTGATTAATAGTGATGAGTTAAAAGAAACTACATTAATTCCATTAGATACAAAGAAAACAATGTTTATTCAAGTTGAGAAAGTGACTACTGACTATGAATATAAAGATGCTGAAATTAATGATTTCCAAATTGATATTCGATATGCATTCAGTATAACGAATTTATTACCACGAACAATTTATATTGGAAATAAAGAAGAAACATATAACATTGGTTCTTGTCAAACAAAGAAACTATTCAAAAATTTAGGTAAAAAGATTCAATTTGATGGAGAAGGGTCAACTATATCTATTAACACAAGAGATATTAATTATTCAGATATTGATTTCTATCAATTAAAGAATGGTACAACAATACGTGCTCGATGGAACAAAGGAGATTGTGTTATTGATAGTGAATTCTTAGTTTATAATAAAACAGATGAAAATATTTTTGCTTGTGTTGGAAGTAATAAGATATTATTACAACCTTTAGGAAATGGAGAAGTATTAACATTAAATAAATGTAATTTAAAATTAATTATGTGCGAAGGAATATCTGAGTCACTTCAGTCAGAATCAATTACATCAGGTGATCTTTGTATTAATGGAAAGAAGAAAACAAATTATATTCATTTGGAGTTATCAAGTAATTCACAATTTCAAGGAATTAAAATTATTACTATCACTTATGCATATCATATAATTAATACTACAGGACGTCCACTCTTTATTCAATGTTCAAATCAAACTAGTACAATAACCGAATCACAACAAAATCAAATTGAGATATTACCATTGATACTACCTCCAACTAAAAGTAGTGATATTGTCCCTTCATTTACACTTGCTTGTAATAAAGAAGGTCCTTATTCTGAATTATTTACCTGTATATCTGGAAGTAGTTGTGGTGTTTCTTTAATTCAATCATCTGACTTTAATAACCGAGTTAATTTGTTTATTTCAGTTAGAAATTATGGAGTTGGTCAGTGTGTTGTTATTGAAAATGAAACAACATTAAAATGTAAGAATAAAATAGTTAATGACACTGATGTACCTATTCAATATTTGTGGAGTAAAACAGATAACTCAGGTTTATCTACTTCTGTTGACCCTCATTCAGAAGCAACAATAAATATTCATAACATTATTGATATTGACCATATTGTTATTTGTGCACCATTCTTAAAAGATAAATATGTTAGTTATTCACTAAAAAAATTAAAGTTTTATGGACCAATTATCAGTGGTAAAACCTTATTCTTTGCATATACCTTCATTATAAATGGTATAACAACACTAACATTTACTTGTGATCAACTAAAAGTTATGAGAGAATGCCCATTATTTATTTTATCAAACAATTCAGATCTTAGTAGTACTGGGGCTTTTGAAGTACCAATTATTAATTTCTCATTTAAAGCACCAACTATTGGAATTGATATTATTGATCAACGACGGATTGAATTGTGTTATGCGAGATTAATTAATTTAACAGCAAATGTTCGTATTAACGCAAAATATTCTGAAGTAGTATGTGATGTTCAAGATGTTCAGATTGATTGTGATGAGGTTAATACCCAAGAAGAAGTATTCTTATCTATTCAAAAGACATCATTACCAGCAATTCATTTCTCAACTCAAATCATTCAAAGTGAAACAAGTCAAAACTTTTTCTACTTCCCATTCATTAATGTTTTAGTTCAACCAGTAACAGTAGCAGTAGAAAGTAAGTTTATTTTTGATTTCTATCAGTTCTTCAAATCCTTGCATTTCAAATTAAAAGAAAACCAGAAACAACTTACTCGTGGCATTCCTCCTATGAATAGCAATATTTATACATTCATTCGTTCATTAGTCCTTCAACCAATTGTTCTTTATTTCTCATGCAATTTGCAACCAAGTCATCTTGTACTTATTCCTTATAATGCTTTTACTGCTGTATTACATGCGTTAGGTTCCTCATTATTAAATATTAGAGATTCAACAATCAAATTAAATGCAACTGTTGCAAAGAATGTTAGTGGTGATTTATCTTCATTAAAACAAATATTTGTGGAACATTATTATAAACAAATTATTAATCAAGCAATTCTTCTTGTTGCATACTCTTCATTCTTAGGTAATCCAAGAGGATTATTGAATGATATTTCTACTGGGTGTCATGATTTCTTTTATGAACCTGCACAAGGATTAACTATCTCAGTGAGTTCTTTTGGAAAAGGAATGATAAATGGTGTTTCTTCTTTAGCTCAAAACGCAACCCATGGAGCAGCATCATCAATATCTGGTATAACTGGTTCTGTATCAACATTTGTTGCTTCATTTAGTTTTGATAAAGCTTATATTGAAAAACGTAATTCTGATAAACGGGCTAAAAGTACTGGAGATGGAATTCGTAAAGGATTTGTTGCTTTCTCAAGTGGTGTTTTCCAAGGAATTACAGGAGTAGTATACCAACCAATTAAAGGGGCTATTGATGGAGGAATTACTGGTTTTATTAGTGGAGTTGGTAAAGGATTTGTTGGACTTGTTACTAAACCAATTGTAGGTACAATTGATCTTGTTACAAAGACGGCTGATGGTGTTAGGGCAAGTACTGGTAAAATGCAAATAGAAAGAATTAGAGATATCAGAACAATTAATCCAAAATATTCATTAAAACTATATGATAGAAATGAAGCATTCTTATCAAGAAAAATGAGAGAAGATAATTTAGGAAATATAATTACTTCTTATATCTCAACTGGATCTGTAACGTGGATCCTTGCTGAGAAACGTTTTATTGTTTATTCTCAAGGAAAATTAAATCCATATCATTACTCTCTTATAACTATTACTAAAACACCTGATGGACTATTTATGAAATGCAATCAATTTAATAAAGAATCAAAGTTAACAATTAACACAACATCTGCTGAATGTAAACTATTTTTAGAATTTGCTTCTGACTTAGTTACTTTGAAATAATTTACATTTTATTTTGTTCTCATTCCTTTTATTATCCTTATTAAACTGATAATGAGAATAAAAAAAATATTCTATTTTTTATAATTTATTAATTTACTTCTTTATTTCTTCTTTTTACTTATTATCCATTCTGTTAGTGTACAAAAACTGAGAAAGTGTTAGTCTTATCTGGAAAGATAAGCTCAATTTTTATTTTTATGATAAGGACAGAAGAATAATAAAATACAATACCTCTTTATTATTCCTTAAAACAATAAAATATATTTCATTGAGTCCATCATTACATTATGAATAAAAGAAAGAGTGTATTATGGTTTTATGACATTTTTATCAAAGATTTGAGCTTTAACAAATGCCCATCATTTTTTAGAGTGTTTAAATAAAAGTATAAAGTATTTGTTATTTCTTTAAAAAGGTTTTGTTCGTTGTATTTCTTTTAATACAGTTAAACAACGAACAATACTAGTAAAGAGAAATACTATGGAAATTCCATTTATGGAAAATTATCTTTATATTGGTTTACACATATGGCTAACACAGTTTCATTGCCTCATTATTTAAACACATCTAAAGGAATATACAATCAGGTAATGAAACTCATTGACTAAATAAATAAATCTTCTAATTATAAAAATATTCCAATAATATGTTATATAAAACAAATATAATTATAAAAATAAAAAACTTCATAACTTCAAAACCATTAAATGAAATCATCATTTTATTATTCCCTTCATCCCACTGGGATGTTCTTGGCTAATTGCATTGTTCTTGGAGACACATCAACACAAGAGTTTATTCTTATTGACTGTGGAGGTGATATTTCATCTGCTCTAAATGATGCTGACAAACATGGATTAAAAAAATGCACTGAAATAGTTTGTACCCATGGCCATATTGATCACATAGCTGGACTAGAACAAGCAGTATTAAAAACAAATGCCCCAATTTCTCTTCATTCTCAAGACCTTCAATTATATAACATTGCTCCATTACAGGCAATGCTATTTGGTCTTCAGTTACAACCACTTCCAACTGTAAAAAGAATTTTAGAAGACCAAGACCGTATTTATGTAGGACAGTATGAAGGTGTTGTGTTACATACACCTGGGCATTCTCCTGGTAGTATTTGCATTTATTTTGAAGAGCCAAAAATTTTAGTAACTGGAGATACAATTTATAATGGAAATGTAGGAAGTTCTGTTCTTCCAGGTGGAGATACTGCTAAGTTGAAGCTAAGTGTTTTAAGTGTTTTAAATAACACTAAACCTGAGTCAATTATTTTACCAGGACATGGCATTGCTTCAACGGTTTCAAAAGAAAAACAAACTAGCACAATTTATTATATGTGAATTTATTTTGTTTCTTTTTATTAATTCTGTTATTGTCAGAAATAAAAAACTTTACTAGATGTACTTGTTATGACAACTTCTTTTTAAAAAGAATTGTTGTTCTAAGAAATATACCAAATTTAATTCACTTCTTTTTATAATTTTATAGTTTGAATGTTGTTCTTTGTATTAGTAAGTATGGAAAACATTTTATTAAACTTGTTGTTATTCAAAGAGGTTCAGTGTTGTTTTGATTTAATTAATTTCTTTGGCTCATGAAGATAGCGTTCACTTTAAGTATTTTATATGTTATGATTAGATAATCTAATTTAACTCTTTTGCAACTGTCCTAAGTTTATTTTTATTGGTCATCAAACTTATAAAACTTAAAATAAATCATGCTCTTATTTATTAAGGTCTCGTAGTGGTATAACGTTCATTTAATAAATGAGATTATCATCATTTCTTTGTATTGTTTCATCTATTCAAAAATTTATTTTTCTGTATAACTCTTTATCGTTTTTATTTTAAATTAACCTTTTAATAAGATAAAATAATTAAGAACTGTCTTGTTTTAGCTAGTTTTTGAAGGTTTTTTATTACTAAAACTTACAGACTAACTATCTAGTTGATGTTGTTATCTTCTCAATGAAACTTAGGAGTAAAAATAATCATTCTTTTTAAATTCATTGCATTATGTGTTGATTTGATATAAGTTATATTGTTATTCATTATTTAGCATCATTTGATTAACTGTTACTTTATAAAAAAATGGTTATATGATACAATAATTGTTGAAGAAACTGATAATGGTTTTAATTAGTATTAAAGATAGAAGAAGGTTTCCAAAATATTTGAAAATTCTTTTGGGTAATTTAATTTAGTATGAAGTAATATAACATAATGTAATTTATAGTAATAGTTGTTAAATACAATCAAAAGTTGTTGAGATATGGTATTAACAAGTCATTATGTACCTTTCATGAAATTAAAAAGTTACAACCAATACATTTTTTTTAATTTAAATTTTTCATAGATATTATTAATGAGTTAATTCTGAAAGAGATAAGTGTTTTTGTATCATCAGAATCTTTTTATTAACTTTAGTATCCCTTGTTTATACTATGTTTTTAAAAAACTTATTCAAACACTTATTTATAGAATTAATAGAAAATAAAGATACTTATACTCTAATAATATATACAATATTTTTAATCAAACCAATAAATATACTATATATTGGTTGTAACATCAACACCATTTGAGAATTAATAGATAACAAAGAGTTGTTTGTACAATAAACTGTTCAAACCAACTGTTTCAATGTATTTGTTAAACTATCATTGATTGTTTTATTTGTTGCAGAGTAAAAGAAGAATGAAAATATAAAAATGTTAATCAATGCATTAGTTATTTAGTAATAAAGAATTAAATTTAATATTGAATTTTGTGCATTATTATATCAGTAACTGAATAAACAATTAAACCAAATTAATAACATTTATTAAATAATAATGACTTCTTCCAGTTTAGTTTCAATTACTAACAATAAATAATAAAGTTGATAAAAATATTATTATTTATCAAAGAACATATTAATTGAAAAAAAAAGTAATTGTTTGTTAAGGGATTACTCTTATATTTTCTAAATACTCTAAACAAAACAAAGATAAAAAATTGAGATAATAACTCAATTTGTTCATGAATCATTTTTAATAATGAGTTTTAAATACATCAAAGTGATAAGATAAGTTTCAAGATTAGCTAACCAATTAAAATAACAACTTATTTGAAAAATACGTTAATCTTTTATTACATTTTTATCAAAGAAGTTTTTATTTCTTCAATAGAAAAAAAAATAATCTAAGATAATTAAAACACTTTAAGACCATATATTATCTCTTATTTGAAAATTTTAAACAATACTTGTTGTGAAGGTTATGTTTTGTTGAAGGAATAGTACAAAAATAAGAATTATAATTTTATTATAAATAACTCTCATATATCACTCTATAATTTAATCCACACAAACAAAAAAAGAATTTCATTAGATTGAATATTCAGAAAGTATGTTTAATTGTAGAAGAATAACAAATTTGAAGTCATCATTCAGATGGACAGATCTATAATTATAAACAAATCAAATCAAGAAAAGAAAACAAGAATAAAGAAAGTTTTATCAATTAATGAAATGACAACATTCATTTATTATAAAATTATGGTAATAAAATAGATATTTAAAAATTGTAAATATTCTTATAATAAAATATGTTATATATTACAAATGATAAAAATATTATTTAATGACCTAAAAGAACTAAAAAAAAAATAAAACATAGAAGTGGTACACCAATGCAAATTGTCATTTTGACAAATTATGCATACAGTACCACAAGATTAATTCATATATTTATATTTCTTCTATTTCAATAATAATAAACAGAAGAAATTCCAATATGAAAAAAGAATAAAAAAGTAAAGATATTATAATTTAAAAAGATGAGATTTGTAAAATAATTTGTTCTAATTTTAGAAATAAAATGAGTCAAAAGTTTCTATAGTTATAGTTAAAAGAACAATACCAAATAGTTTACGATAAAATTAAAATAGAAAAAATCTATTTATAAATTTGATGTGTAATTTTAAGTTTTGGAAATAAATTTAAAGAAAAAAAGGAATAATCAGAATGGAAAAAAACGGGAAAAGAAGCTAAAGGTCATCTTCATCAAAAAAATACATTTTAAATTGAGAAATGAATGAACGAAGTGATTTCAAGAGAATAGAAATAATACCCCTTTCTAATCAATCATCCCCAAAGACTTTTGGAATAACAAAACAATTAACTACTTCAATACTAACGACATTTAATAGATGTTTACCTAATGAAGAACTTATCATTACTTCACCATCTATACCTATGTTAAATCAACAACGAGATAATGAAATTAATGATTTGATTATAAGAAAAGGAGATATTATTGGGACATTTACTTCTCTTGAAGGTCCTGAATGTTCAATGGATATTTCTAAATTAACAAAATATAGAGTTATTGAACCACTTGGTCAAGGAACATTTGGTCAAGTATTTAAATGTGTTGATCTATTAGATAAAGAAAAAGAAGTTGCAATAAAAATATTAAAAAATCATACAGCATATTTTCGTCAAGGACTTATTGAAGTAAGTGTTTTAATGATTGTTTGTTAAATAAAATTAAACACATAAAAAGAAAAAAAAAATATTAATAAATATAGTTAAATACATTTTATGATCAAGGACAAAATAATAAAATACTTACAATGAAAGATCATTTTATGTATTATAATCATATTTGTATTGTTACAGAATTATTAGGAAAAGATTTATATCATCTTATGAAAGAAAATAAAAATAAAGGGTTTTCTATTAGAACTATTAGAAAATTTCTTTTTCAATTATTAAGAGCATTAAGAACATTATCACATGCTAATATAGTTCATTGTGATGTAAAACCAGAAAATATTTTATTACAAGGTGCTACTTCAAACATTAAATTGATTGACTTTGGATCAGCTTGTTTTGAAAATTTCACAATGAATACATATATTCAATCAAGACATTACAGAGCACCAGAAATTGTTTTAGGGTTACCTTATTCATGTGCAATTGATATGTGGTCTGTAGGATGTATAGCAGCAGAATTTTTCCTTGGGATTCCATTATTTGCTGGAACAAGTGAATATAACTTATTATTTAAAATGATAGATATGTTAGGAATGTTACCTAATGAAATGTTAAAGAATGGAACACGAACAAAAGAATTTTTTAATTTAAAAAATGGTGTTTATGAATTTAAAGAACAATTTCAATATGAAGCAGAGAAAAATATAAGACTTACACCAAATAGACATTATTTTTCATATCATGCTCTTAAAGATCTTATTGAAAAGAATCCAATGAAAGTTGGATCAAGTGAAGTTGATGAAGTTAAAGAAATTCGTGCTTCACTTTATGATTTTTTACTTCGTTGTTTTGTATATAATCCAAAAGATCGTTTAACTCCTGATCAAGCTCTTGCTCATCCATTTATTATAGGAACAACTATAGAAGGATATGAAATACCATTAAGAGAAGTTCCTTATAAAGAATATGGTAAAGTAATGACAATGAAAGGAAAAGAATATATTAATCGTGTTTTTAATGGTATAGAAGAAAATATTTGTGATAACCAAATGTATTATAAAGTATTTATGCATGCACTTTATAATGGTCATATTGTTAATGTTCTTACTGAATCACCATATGTTGGTTCTATAACACCAGAAAGTTTTATTAAAATTTTTAATGAAAAATGTGGTTTTCCTAAAAAACTTCAAACTATGAAATCTATTACTCCAAGACAAGTTAAAGTTGTAATAATTGATGAAGGTAAACAAGAATTTTCTTCTTCAACTGAATCTCCTAATTCTGGATCAAAGTCTTCATCTCCACAACTTGATAATGAAAAAGAAAAACGTAAATCAAAAGTAGGAAAAATAAAAGACCTTTTTCGTAAATTAACACCTAGTCATTCTCCTAGAGTTTCACCTCGTTTTTCTCCTAAAATATCACCAAGGTCTTCTTTTAATTCTTCACATGGTTCTTCTAGTAATGGTAGTAATTCACCTAATTCTACTTCTACTGATGATAGAAGTCAACAACTTGTTCCAGAATTAATTAACGAACCTCATACTAACAAACTCTCAATTGTATCTTTACGTATTAATGAATCTACATCTGATTCTGATGGAGAAAAACAAAAAAAGAAAATTCATATAGATATCAGTAGTAGTAGTAATGAAAAGAAAAAAAAGAAAGATAAAAAGAAGAAATAACAAAACCACAGAATTTTATGTTTTGTACTAATTTATTTCTGTTTAATCTACTCCTTCTAAACAATTCAAATCCATTTGTAATTGAATAGAATTTTTGTTTATATTAGATATTTTCAGTCCTAGTTTATTATTACCCTTGAAATTACTCTTTGCTATTTTCAATTTAATTACTTCTTATTTCTTATATCTTTATAAAGTCCTATTTTGAATTAACCTCAATAAATTATTTTAAATAACAAAAACAAATCTTATCATAACTGTGGTGTTCTTCTATAGGTTATACCAACTAGATATTTATACATTGTTTTGTTTCTCCATCAGTTCAAGAACTAATCATAATTGAACGAAAAGCATCTTCTGTTTTAATAAAATTGATTAAAATCATTTATAACTTTAGATTCATTAACCATTAATATTATATTATAAAACACAACTCTTATTACTGTCTTTGTACATAATAACACAATTTAAACTAATACACATCTAATAATGTCTCTCTTTCAAAATTTTTAAAATGACAAAATTCTTTGAATTGAACATTATTGTTTTATTAATTATGGAATGTTGACACAGAAATCACAATTCCTATTATAATTTAAATGAATTAGAAAGTACACAAATTAATTAAAAAAATAAATGTCATTAAATGTTTATTAAATAGACCAACAAATAATCAATCAAATTACTTGTAATTCGCTTTTATTAATCAACGTCATCTTCTTCATCAATAACGTTACCCTCTTCAACACTCATATCTTCTTCATCAATTTGATCGTCATCTAATCCTAAAAGCTCATTAGTTTCATGATCCATAATATCGTCATAATCATACTCATCTTCTTCATTCTTTTCTTGTTCGTTGTTGATATTTTCTTTACTAACATTGAATTCAATTTCTTCAAGATTACCTTCTTCAGGTTCTTCTTCTTTTTTGACATAGACTTTTCCGTTATAAATAATGTCATCATCTTCTTCCAAGTCTTCACTCATTCCATCAGAGTCATCGTCTTGTTCTTCTTGAGTGTTATTTGGTACTTCCTTTTCAGCAATACCTTTTTCAACGTGTTTGTCAATATAATAATCAAAGAAAAATAAAAGTTCTGATGGTATCTTTTCTCTTTTTAACTCAATAAATTCATCAGAATTAACAATCATCTTTCTAGGATCGTTCTTTTCATCTTTGACTTTACTAACAATTTTTTTATCAAAGGAGATATGTCCATCATTTGTTTTTTCTTCTTCTTCATTTGGTTGACCTTTAACTAACTTCTTTAAGGCAAAACGGTCTAGTAATAACTTTGAGCTTAATGACTCCCAAATTTCCAAATTTACATGAATTGGAGTTCCATTAATTAATGACTGTGTTAATTGTCTTACTGTTGGATGGTAGTGATGCAATAATAAATTAATTTCAAAAGATTTTGTATTAATAGCACCTGAGTATGCTGGGTCTCTTTTATTCCAATCAAATTCATGGTGACTTTTTTCACCTTCATTTTTGATAATTTGGTTACCATTATCATCAATATCAATATCGTGGTAATGTTCATCATCGTCGTCTAATAGTTCACCGTTATCAAATAAACCTTTAAGAATAGGGTATTTTATTAACATATCTGATGTAATTCCAAGTACAGAACAAATGAATGAAGGTGAAGAGTATAATGATTTAATCAATAACTTTTTAATAAAAGAAGCAATAACATCAATAGACTCTTCTTTTAATAAGTTACTTCTCAATATATTAAGGAAAATAAATTGTTTTTCTGAAGGTAATTCAGTTATTTCATTAACCTTTTCATAAATCAAGCGATTACAACGTTTTGATCTATCAATTTCATTTAACAAAGAGACACATTCTAAAGCTCTAGTAAATGGAATAGTTCTAGCAATTTTGTATAAATCAGTTAGATGTTCTTCAATTTCTTTAAAATTTTTACAATAATTAACACACTTTCTCATTCCAATAATAACATTTTGAAGAGCACGAGTATCAATTTCTTTTTGACTGTATAATGATTTAAAATAAACAATAAGTAATTTAATCATTGCTTCTGCTTGTTCTGGATTATTTTTTGAATATTGAATATTTTTGAGTGAAGTAAGACCTCTTCTAATAGTAACTTGATTAACATTAGGACGAATAATTAACTCTCTTATAGCATTGATAATATCTTCTGTTGTATCTTTATATCTTTTTAATAATTCTTGAATATAAAAATCAGTTTTATTTGCAACTTTACCATTAAGATCACCTAATTTATTTACAACTAATGATATTGCTTTATACCGTTGTTCTGGACATGACGCTGCTAATTCACTTGCACAACGAATAGCAGTAAGTTTAAATTTATTAACATTTCCCATAGATGCATTTTTAAGAATTTCAAGAAATTGTGCATAAGAATTTTTTAATAAATGTTCAAAGTAATATTTTGAAAGAATATAAGGAGTTGCAATTTCAAAATTTTGTTGTTGAAAATTAAGTAAACAACGTTTTGGTAATAGGTGTTGCTGAAATAGTTCTTTTGTTGCTCTTATAGCTAACTCAGATTCATCTCTATTTTTCTTTGTGCAATGTCCTAGTAATTGAACAAGATAATTATATGTATTAAAAGGACCACTCGATACTATTAATGCTAATGCCTTAATTTTATCATTGTATGTACCAGTTGTAATTAATGATCTCATCCATTTACCATTATGTTCTGCAAGTTTCTTTTGTTCATAAATTGATGTCATCGCTTCATATTTTTCTTTGGCTTGTTGAAATTTCTTCTTGGCAATCTCGTTATCATTTTTGATTGGTTTAATTTCTTCAGGAAGATCTTTCCACCAAGGAGCTGGTTGGTTTTCACTCATCAATAAGAATTAGGTTTTCTTTAGTTTTTTATTTTATTTTTTATTTTATTTTTTATTTTATTTTTATTTTACTAAAAATTTTTAAACGTCAATCTTAAATTTCATTCTTCATGACATCTGAACATACATATTATTGTGAAAATTGCCGTAGAAAGTACAACAGAAATAAAGGATTCTTGATATGTCCGTTTTGTGGTTCTGAATTTGTAGTTGAACAACCATTTGTTATGTTTAAGAAAATACCAATCCCTGAGAATGAGATGATAAGAAGATCATACAACCAATCATTTGAGAATTACCCACAACCTAATTTGATTGATTTTCCACAACCTTCATCGGGAAGAATTCCTTTTCATCCAGGCCCTGGGAATTTTTCAGGTGATTTATATCTCCCACAACCACGAATAAGAAACCCTATTCAAATCTATCCAAGAAATCCATACACAGGAAGTTCTCATGAGCCATACCTTGGTATTTATGATCGTGGTAATTTTGGTACTATAAATGATGCCTCATATAATCTCCCAACACAACCACTACGATCAATGCCATCTTCTTCATTGCAAATTATTCCAAAAGAGCAATGTATCTTTTGTGAAAAAGAATTAGAAAAAGAAGAAGATATTATCACATTATCTTGTGGGCATCAGTGCCATAGCCATTGTGTAAAATCTTCTCATTGTCCAATCTGTACTAGTCTTTACAACTAATTCATTTGTTTCTATTTATGATATCTATAACATAAATTTGTTTTAGTAACATTCAATTACTATTTTAAGGTATGTTTCATTATGAAGTAAATACTAGACACTATTCTCCACAAACAATAAACCTTGAGAAAGATTCAGAAGGAAAGAATTAATAGTTTATTAAAAAGATATTTTAAAGTTTATTATTAGAAGAGTCTAAAAATAAACCAACACGAGATGAGAGAGTATTAAAATATTTTCAAATCATATAAAAACAATAAATAAAGAAAACCATTAAAAAATATCTCAAAGTGTTGTTTTATTTAGTTTATTTTGGGAAAGACTATTTATAGTAGTTTCATTTGAAGAAATAAAAATAAATATCTATTTGATTGGTCAAATAAAGATATGATATTTGTTTGGGGGAAAGTTTAAGAGATATTTAAATCAAAGTCAATCTTAATATATCATTTAAGTATGTCTTTAACTGAAAGCTGTAAAATTTCTAGTACCCCAAGAAGAAAAGAATATAATGACCTAAAATATATTATCAAAAAAAAAGTAATTAAGGATTTAGAATGTTATCAAGAGTCTATCCTTATTGCTTTATTGAATCAATTTTGTGGGATTACTATTTGTAGACCGAGAAAACAATGTAGTGTTGCATTGTGTTGCGCTAAGGTTCAGACTATTCATCTAAATAGTGAGAGTATTGAGGTAATGAAATTAGCAGAACAAAGATTTAAACCTATTTATGATCAAGACATTAAAGATGGTATAGCTAAAGCAACTTCTTTTAGAAGATTTGAGAAAAATAAGAGGATATTTATTCATAACTTTTTATTTGATCTTGCTTTAGAATTTGGCTTCTTTTTTGATTCAAAATTATCAAGAAAATCATCAAAAACAGATTCTATTGAAAGGATTCAACGTGTTTATTTTCGAGGAAAACTCATTATTGAATTAGAAGAGGTTGTTGAAAAAGGAAGTATTCTAACTAATCAATTTTTTGATTTGGTTAGATATGGAGTTACTTATACATTAAACAAAAATGACCAAATTATCTCAAAAGTGTTTAATCATTTACACCCTGTTATTAATTAATGAACATAGTTTTATTCTTCAATTATTCACATAGCCTTATGATTTATAAATGAAATTAACTCTTTTATTTTTGTTTAATACTATTTTTTTTCAACTCATATTTAATGTAATCAGTTTTTTTTTTTTTAACTTTATTGATAAAAAATAATAAATCATGACGATGATTATTTTTCAATTTCTGCTTTCAAACTTGCCATTCCCATTTTAAAAACTTTTTTTTTCTAGTCTTATTATCGAATAGTAGTGAAATAGTTTTTGTAGATTAATGAAAATTGAAACTTACAAAGAACAAATGAATTAATATTACTTTTTCTTCTCAGAGTTGTCTGGGGTTAAAGGAATTAATCTATATTCTCTTATATCTCGTTGACGTTTAATAGATTTTCTTTGTGGTTGAGATTTAACTTTTATAGAATCTAATGACTGAGGTGATTCTAAAGGTTCTCCAATGTATCTAGTTTTAAAGATATGCCCATTTTTATATTGAGGTGGAATATAACCTAACATATAGCACTTACTTTTATCTTTTCCTAAATCCATTCCACGTACTGGAATAATTAATCCACCAAATTGGTGTTTTGTGTAATTACTTTCAATATGTAATGGTTTATATGTTTTGATTGGAACAATTTGATCATTTGAAATATACGTTTTAATTTCTTTTTTTATTTGTTTCCATGCTTCTTTGCCTGTTTTCTTGAACTGATGGATGTCTTTTCTATAATACCAATTTGATTTACCTATGAAAATAAAAGCATTTCCATATCTAGAGTTCCTTTGTTGATCTTTTTTTCCTAGGTCTTTTTCAATTGGTTCAACAACACTCAACAATTTCTTTTGATTAATAAATCCAATCAGTGCAATGGCTTTATAAAATGATCTTTCTCCATTCATATCAATTTTAAATTCTTCAGGATAGAAATTACTTAATGGTGAAGAAGTTGAATTCATTAATTGACGAAATTCTTTTGGAAGGCAATGCTTTGATTGAGGTGGTAAGACTGATAACAATTGTTCAAATGGTCTGAAAGGTTTTCCTTGTGTATATTGTACTTCAAATTCTGGATCAAGTAATTTACCAATGTCTTTAGCAAAAGGAGCATAGTAATACGGATAGTACCAATCCCATGATTGACACCCTTCATAATAGTAACTAAATACCCAATTTAGTCCTTCAACATATGACTCAATAATTTCTATAACAAGACTTTTTTCTTTCTTATATTCTACATGAAACTTTTGTTGGTAATATCTTTCTTCGTACCCTGGTTCCCCTAATTGTATTTCATCATTTTTTAACTCTTCTATTTGGTGAAATAATTCCTGTTTCTTTTTCTCAAGACTTTCTTTTATCAACTGTGATTCCTCTTTTGCTAATTGTACCTCTTTTATACTCTTTACTTTAATTTCTGTTTTACGTTGAGGTAATGCCTCAGTTCGATTCTCAAAAGCAGATTGAATTTGATAATCTAATTCTCTCATCCTTTTGTCGAAATAAATTTGGTCTTCTTTTTCTTTTCTTAATCTTCTGTTAACCAAAAGTTGTTTCTCTTCTTTACCTACAAGATGTAAAAATTTTTTAACTATCTTAATATTAATGGTTCCATTTTCGGTAATATAACCATTTTCTGGAAGAAATTTAAGATATATTTTAATCAAAATATCAATTGCTCCTTCTTGAATATCTAAAGAAGGGATACGAGGTAAGAAATCATTCCCAACTAAGAAACAAAAGAAGATAAAATCATCTAGACAACGTTCAAAATCATATTTTTCTACTTTAATTGTTTTATTTAAATATTGTCTAAGAACATGACAATCAACAAAAATGAATGGTTTTGTTATTGGGTCTAATGGTGCTATTCTATTATAATTTTTACAATGATCTGGAGAATGATAATCACCACAAATATAACATTTATCTCCTTTATTATATGGTTTATCTCTGATAATACTAAAATATCTTTCATGAGTTGCTAATGCTAACATAATCAAATCTGCATCCAATCCATACATACAGTGTCTTATGTATGGATTATAATTTTTACAATCCTTTTGTCTTCTAATAAAATCAATAATTTTATGTTCTCCTTCTCCTGGAACACTTGAATCACTAAATATAACAATGATACTGTTCCAATATTTAGATGAATTCATTCTTTCCTTAATATAGGCTTTAATAACTTTACTAACAGCTTCCATAAATTCAGTTCCAGGAGTTATACAATTAGAATCAACTGGTTTTTCTTTAAAGATACTTTTCTTTTCTTCAAAACTTTGATTTTCCATATTATACGCTGTCTTAAATCTACGACTTCGTTGTTGGTTCATTTTAGCTCGTGGAGCAACACCGTCAATTGCTATATATAAAAGTTTTCTTGGTCTAACTATATCTATCATATAATCAATATACTGAGTTAATAAAACAAATACATCAACATTTGTTTCTGGTGTTTGTCGGTCTGTAGGGTGATAACAAGGATGAATTAACCCATTCAGATCAATATAAAAATTATCATACTCAACTCCATTAGGGTTTGGAGATGACAAGTCATCATTTTCTATAGAACTACCTCTCTTACAGTCGTTAGTGATCCCGAAATACTTTTTAGTAAGCCAGGCAAAGAATGAAGGCACTCCCATGGCTCTATCTTTTGCTCATTTTATCAGTTCTCATACAAATAGTTTTATGTTATATATTACATAAAATTTTTTACTATTTATTTTTAGAAAAGTTTTATCCTAAAATATTCTGATTTTTTAATTCACTCAAAAATCAAGTTCTTTAAAATCAGTGTATTTCTCAATTTTTTTTTTGGTTGTTTTTTGTCTGTTGTTATGCGTTCTTTATTTTCTCCGAAGAATAAGATTTACAGTTATTGAATATATCAATTTTCAATTATTTTTTGTGGTTTACATAACAAATTAAAATGATGAAAAACAAAATGAACTGAAAATAGGATTAATGGAGGAGGTTAAAGAGAAGCAACAAGCATTAGATTTCAGTGTTAATGGAATTGAAATTCATTTTCCATATCAATTCATTTATCCAGAACAATACCAATTTATTAAAACAGTTACTAGTGGAGTTACAGATAATAAAAAACCACCTCACAAACAAATTATTATTGAAATGGGTTCTGGAACTGGAAAGACAGTAAGCATTATCACTGCAGCAAAAGGATTGTTGGATAATCAAGGAAGTAATATTTCACATACAATTTATTGTACTCGTACTATTGATGAAATTAAACGAGTTTTTAATGAATTAACAAAATTATCAATACCATCAATTGTACTAGCATCAAGAACTCACTTATGTTTATTGGATGATGTAAGGGAAAGTAAACATGCACCATTACTGTGTCAAGAAAAAAGAGATAAAGGATTATGTCCATATTATCATGAAATAGAAGATGAAATACCAACCATTGCTGGGATAGATGAATTAGTTCAATTTGGTAAACAACATAGACAATGCCCATATTTCTGTTCAAGAAAAAATTTTTATAAATCACCATTTATAGTTTGTACATATAACTATATTCTTGACCCTAAAGAAGAAAATGTTACTATAGGTAAAATGATTGATTTAGATCAGACATTACTTGTTTTTGATGAAGCACATAATGTAGATAATATTGTTGTTGATGCACAAACACTTACATTATCATTAGAAACAATAGAACTTGCAACAATTTCATTAGCTCGTCTTACAAAACTTCTTTCAATTGAAGCATCAAAAAAACCTTTAGAAAATGAATATAAACGACTTGTAGAAGGTCTTAGACGTTCAGAATTAACTAATAATATTGAAGAAGGAGAGCCATATTTTTATAATGAAAAAAAGAAAACATCAGAAGGAGATGTTGATTATGACAAAGTTATTCCAGGGACTTTTAGAAATTCGAGTCAATTTGTTCTTTTAATGAAAAGAATAGTAAATTTTTTTAGAGAGAAATTGCATGAAGCTCCTACAAAAAAACAACAACGAATTAAGGAACAACACTCAATTCAAGTGAAAGATATTGTTACTGGATTATGTGATTCTTCAGTCTTAACACCAGAAATCATTAAATTTATTCCTAATAGACTTCATTTACTTATTCAAACACTTGGAGATGAATATGGAGGAAGACAAGATGTGAAAGGAGATTCATTTTATTATGATGCCTTATATCTTGTAGCAGATTTTGCAGCATTACTCTGTTCTAGTCAAGAAGGATTTTCTTATGTTCCAGATGTAGTGAAAATAGATAAAGATGATTATTATCATTCTGTATTAAATTTAGTTTGTGTTGATGCAGCAAATGCTATCCAACCAATATTAAATAGATTTCATTCGATAGTTTTTACATCAGGAACATTAAGTCCATTAAAAACATATATTAATATTCTTGGGTTAAAAAATGTTGTTGAAGAAAAACAAATTAGATCACCAACAAGTAATGTAGGAAGAAGAATTTGTCCATTATTTGTAACAAAAGGATTTGACCGTATTGCTATTACTTCTCAATTAGCAGATTCTAAGTATGCTGGAGCACGGAGTGACCCATTAATTCTTTCATCTCAATTTTTCTATAGAGCTGATCGTTTAATTCTCCATTCTTATGGTAAATTAATTGTAGAATTATCTAAAACAGTACCAGATGGTGTTTTATGTTTCTTTCCAAGTTATGCTTATATGAATATTTGTATTTCTTATTGGAATGAGATGAAAATATTTGAATCAATTGCACAAAATAAATTAGTATTTATTGAATCAAAAAATGCTTATGAAACATCTCTTGCTTTCCAAAATTATAAATTAGCTTGTCATACTGGTAAAGGTGCTGTATTACTTTGTGTTATACGTGGTAGATTATCTGAAGGAATAGACTTTACAAACCATCTTGCTAGAGCTGTTTTAATTATAGGAGCTCCATATCTCCAGTCAAGTCCTATCCCAATTAAAGAAAGAGTTGAATATCTTAATAATAAAAAAATTATTTCAAAAGATGATTATTTTACATTTGATGCTATGAGAACTTGTAATCAATGTCTAGGAAAATGTCTGAGGGGAAAAACTGATTATACAGTTGTAATATATGCAGATAAAAGATATAAACTTAATGATCGTAATGTCAAGGCATCTATGCCACAATGGATTCTTGATGCTATCCAAAAAAGATATACTGACCTTTCTGCTGATCAAAGTATTGTATTAGCAAAAGAATTCTTAATGAAAATGAGTTATTCATTTGATACTCAATTCCCAATTAAAGAAATGATTGGTAAAACATTATGGACATTAGATGATATTCGTAAAGAACAATTAACAACACAAAATTAATGGTTTTATTATTACTACTATTCTTTATTATTCTTTTCACTGAAAGTACTACACCACCCCCTCCAATTTTTTTTAGAATTAATAAATTAATTGAACAGAAGTATGTCATTCATTGTTAATTCAGTTTTCTTTCTATTTTTAGAAATGATAATGGAATCTATTCCATAAAAATGAATCTATTTAACAGATCTTTGTTGGATCAAATATACACATATTGGAATAATGAAAAGTATGATAGAAAAGATAAACTCTGATGGTAATATTGAAGAAAATCAACATCAACGAGTGACTAATAATCAATCAGGTGAACTTCGAAATGAAATTATTTTTAAACCTAAAATAGGAACAGAACAACTCTTAAGAAATGCAATAAATAATAATAATACATTTTTCTCACAAGATTCAGGTTCTATCGGTGTTACAGCTGAAGAATTACTGAAAGAAAATTCTACAAATTTTGAAATAACAAATACAACAGATCCAGAAACACATACAGACACTCAAAAGACTATTTCTTATACTGGAATTGGAACTCTTAAAACTGAAACTCCATCATCTCAAGAAACAATGATATTTAAACCTATGGAAGATATTGAAAATGAAGATGTTTTATCAAGTGAAAAAACCATTTCTATGGGAAGTTCTCTTGATCGAGATGATGATATTGAACAATTTAATAATAAAAACGTTAGGGAAGAAGAAAATAATGACATCCTTTCAGATGACCACACTATTGAAACACTTACAGCAGACTCAGATAATTCTTTAATAGAGAGTGATGAAGAAGAAAAGAAACAACAAAGAAAACCAAATTGTTCAAAACAACTATTAACAAGAATTGAATCAAAGTATTTTGATGAAACCTTATTAGGGAGTGTTCCAACTATTGAAAAAATTGGCAGAACTGAAGGAGAAGATGGTTACATTAAAAAAACACAAAAAGAAGAGACTAAAAAAGAAGGCTTTTTGTGTAATCAAAACAATAATTATCTTCGAAGTATTTCAAGTAAATATGAAGATGATGATCTCTCATCAAAAGAAACAATTGCATATTCATGTCATCGATTAAATAATAAATATGATTCAACAGGTGAGAGTACAACAGCCAAAGAAATTGATGAATTAAATGAATTACTTGAAGAAAGAAAAATAAACAAAAAATCATTTTATTTTGATCGAAGTGATGAAGAAGATGAAAAATTAAAAACAATTGCAGAAATATATAATGAAGAAGAAATGTTAAATCAACCAGAGTTAAATGATAGTAATGATTCATCAAGAGATACAATTATGACTCTTGGATTAAATGAACATAGATTTCAACAAATTGTAGATTCTCTTGATCTGTTTGATGAGTATAATGAATTAAATGAATTTGAGAGAGAGGCATATGCTAAACTATTTGGTAAAGTTGGACTCTTAAAAGACCATATCCCAGTTGGAAGAATTCAACAACCCACACCAAGAGAATTTCATATTTACTGTGAAAAAGGAGAAAAAGAAGAAACAATTAGAGAGTTTTGTTCAAGTTGTAGTTCAGTAGAAGAACTTGAACTATTCTTGAAATCAACTTGTAGAGTTCTTGGACTGAACTGGGATGAAATGAAACAATTTTTTAATACTGAGTCATTAGGAAAAATGAAAGAGTCAATCATTAACTTATTTAAAGAGATTGAATTGAATGAGTAATTGAAATGATTTTTAACTTTTTAATAATTTGATTTAATAATATTTGACTTTTCGTTTAATTCTCAATAACCAAAAAAGTAGATGAGATGATTATATCTCAATGAAAAGAAAAACATTTAAAATAATTTTGTTGAAAATAAGAATTTTGAATTATCAAAACTCATAAAAGAACGGAATGAACGAAAAAGAAGATGAAGATATAGATTATGAACTAATCAGAAGAAGGTATTATAACTCTCTACCTCCAGTAAGAATAAGAAATATTAAACCTACAAAATCAGAACCAATTCCAAAAGACTATTATGAGCTATCTCATCAATCAAGTAAACCAATTCCAATAAAGCATAACTCTCCACAATCACCTTCTATATTTATGCCACCTCATGAATATAAAAAATTACATCCAGAAGATAGTTATTCTAATTCTCCTCCTTCAGAAGAAAGGGTATAATGGAAACGATTTTAAATATTAAAGAGTCGATTTCCTTTCAATAAAATAAAAGAATATATTGTTAATCTCAAAGAACTAAATCCAATGAAAACATATATATGAGTTAACTTTAATTCTTTTTTTTATACCAACACTCTTAATTTTTTTAAAAAATGACTAAATCCAATAAAAAAGTTTATTAATTACCTTTTTTTAATAAATATAGATGTGTTTACATTGTCCTAAGTTCAGTTTAAAAAAAATATGGGTATGAATTAACAGTTTAGGTTAAGTTTATCTAATGATGTATCAAATAACTTTCATTTTAAAAATTTCATGTTAATTTTATATTTAACTTGTTGGCATTGAGTTTCTTAGTTCTTCTTATATTCAACTTTTATTTAATTACATTGTAATTATTCTTTGAAATTAGTTACAAATTTAGGTAATTAATATATTATTGTATTAATATCTTGTTTTATGAAGTATTTAAATAAAAAAATAGCTATATAATCCTTAAATTATAATATTATTATTAAATGAATATTTAATTATATATTTTATGAAGAATTACTATATATAATTAATGTTTTATATTTAAAATTTAGGTATAATGCGTAGCTAGTGTTATAAACTACCTTTCTTATTTATCTCAAAATGAGTTAAATCTGGATTATAGAATTAAAAAAAGAACAAAATAATTAATCATAAATCCTTACTTCAAAATTGTATTACTATCTATTCACAATTACCTGTTTATGACCTGATTAATATTATCATGTTTATCAAACTTGTGTTTTTTTGTCACAAAGTCTTTAATTATATATAAATAAAAAATATCATAAAAAGTAGAAAAGAAAGGCTTTTATAGAATTATAGGTATTGTCAAAGAATAATGAAATTATTGTTATTCTTTTTTGTTTCAAGTTTTAAGTTCAGTTCCATCAAAAACATCAAAGTCATTTATAAGGCATAGAAAAAAACAAGATTAAATCTTTTTCTATAATCTTTACTATTCAAAAAAAGAAAAAAATTAAACAAAAAAACACAAACAATGGCAACCGAACAACAAACAACACCCGCAGTAATGTGGCCATTTTATATTGAGGATGAAACAGACTTTAGTACCCTTGGTATAATTTCTTTTTTGTTATCAATTGTATCATTCATTTATAAAGTTTGACTTCTTTAATTTTTATTTAATATTATCGCCAAGACTAATACATTAGAGCCGTGTAACTGTAATGGCTGCTCTTATTTTCTTTGTCCTTTCGATTCCTCACAAACAAAAAGTTGATCTTCAAATTTCAGCTCTTATTATGTCTGGGTTTCCCCTACTTATTGCTCTTTCCTTTGCATATATGTTCACTCCTGATAGTTATGCTTAATTGATTAGTTTCTTAAAACAGTAATAATTTGATATTATTTATCTCATGCGTTATTTAATAAAGTGATATATAACACAAAAAGATTAATAAGAAGGGACTAATGAGGAAGTAGTTTACTGTCTGTTTGACAGACAATAAAAGTACTGAAAATAACTAAAAATGGTTTCTGTGGAATTTACAATACCATTATAAAACAAGTAATTAATAAAAAAAAATGAAAAGGAAATGGAAAAGAATAGAAAAAACAACAGAAAAATATCAAAAAACTCAGATTGATTTTATAGAGACCAATGAGAAAAAGTTAAGAGAAATCATCTTCAAAAGAACGAAACTAAATAAACTTAAAAACCCTACGATGAATAAGTTAATGATATGTATTTTTTGTTTTATCATTAACGGAATGTATGCATTTGAACTTGATGGACTTCCAGCTTGTGAAAATGGACCATTAGAAGATTCATCTGATTTTGCATTTGTTGATGAGATGAATTGGTTTGAAATATTATTAGGAATTGCTATTATCTTTTTCTCATTTGTATGTTTTGTTCCACAGATATATAAAATATTAAAAAGAAGAGATGGAAGTGGATTATCTCCTTCTTTTTTACTTATTCTTGCATTTAACCAAGTATTTGCTGTTATTAATGCTACTATAACAAATTCACCAACTATGCATAGTTGTGTTGTTATTGGATGGAAATTATGTTTACCACCATTATTATCATATTTTCAAATTTGTGAATTAATGATTTTATGTTACCCAATGTTTGCTTTATTCCTTGTCTTTTATAAAGATAAAAAAGAAAAAGGATATAAACGTTCATTAATATATTTTATCTCTGCTTGCATATTTTTAGTATTTTCTATTATTTTGATTTTAACTTGTTTAAAATTATGGGGTGAATGTTCAAAGATTACTTATGCTGTTGGATTTTGTTTTGGAATTGGTTCAACTGTTACAACACTAATAGAATATCTCCCTCAAATTTGGAGAACTTTTAGAACAAAAGAATGTGGTTCAATGTCATTTACTACGAATTGGGTTACTACTGTTGGTACTGGTATTATTACATTTTATATGATTTTTTCTACAAGCCAACACTTCACTACATTAGCCAGTTATATTGCATCATTAATTCAACATATTGTATTGTGTGCATTACAAATTAAATATGATTATATTGATAAATGTACTGTTCCTATGGCAAAGAATGAAGTTAAAAAGAAAGTTAATGTATTTAGAAAGTTATTCCATTTACCTTTATATCCTGTAGAAGAAGAGATAGTCTTTGGCCATCTTCCTCAAGACAATAGTGATGAAGAAGGTTGTGAGCTTGTTCAAACAAATAAAACAGAATACCCTTCACATAATTCTCCATCTCCTTCAACTGGGTCATCAAATGATACCTTTTATGACTTAGACAAGGAAATAATAGGAGGTGATAGTGAAATTGTTCTTTAAAAATTGAAATATTTTTTTTTGACTGATTTGGTTAGATTTTCCAATGGAGATAATCCCAAAAAAAATTTATTCTTCCTCTTAAAATTTTTAATTAGATAGATTTGATTATTTTTTTGGTTTTAGGTCAGAGGTTTATTTTGTTTAACTAATTATTCTAATTTAACTCATTTATCCAACCAAAAAAAAATAATCTATTTTTTCTATTTTTTAAAAAAATAATAATTTTAATTGATATCTATCATTTTTTAACTAAGAAAACTAATTTTAATAAACACAATAGATTAAACAACAATGAAACAACAATAGAAACTATTTTAAAATGAATTTTATAACAAAATATTCTGTCGTAATAATTCTATTGAAACATTACCTCAAAAATTTTATGATTTTTTATAGAAATATTTATATAAATAGAAAATGGAAAAAATTAATTGTTTATGACTTATTATTAGAACAATAATTCTTTGATATACATAGTTTCATAATACCCCCAACCATCTTATTCATGTATCTGTTATTTGATTATAATGAGTTCATGTACAAAATACAACCAATTTATTTTATTTCTATCAACTCATTTCAAATTATTTAAACAACTGACTATTAAATCTCACAAAAATATTTTTTCTATTATATTTTTTTATTACAAATTACTTCTTGACTGATAGAATTTATTATGATTTATTAATTTATTTATAGTAATATAATACCAGAAATCAATGTGAAACAAAATCATTAAATCTAACTATTATTCAAGACTCCGTACGAATTTAATTTTGTTATTTTTATTGTAATATTTTATTTATATTCTACTACAATTGAATTAGATAAAAAATATAAACATCTAAACTTCAAACAATGATTAAATGATAAATCTAATTAAATTATGAAATTATAAAAACAATATCAGAACTTGATCAATGAGTGATTGATTTTATATTATAGGAAGGTTGGTATCTAATTAAGGGTTTATAACTTTTGATATTTAAACAATAAAAACATTAAAAAACAATCTAAAAATGATAAGTAAATATTCACAAAAAGATAAACAATATTTCATTTTTTTGTAGTCATCTTATTTATGTTTTATTTGACATCTTTATTCTTTCTTAGATTTTGTTTATCATTAGTTTCTTTCTTCTGTGTCAGTTAATAGTTGATTTTATTTTTCAATTTAAAAAATATTGATAGAGGTTTGTATATTAACATCTATTTCTGTTTATTCTCTTACTTTTAATTCAATAGTAATCCTAGTTGTTTATCATTTATTAATGTTATATTACTCATCTATTTTTAATACATTATTCAATACTGTCAATATGAATTATTCTCTTTATCTAACCACTACATTTTAAATTTTTATAGATATGTTTTATAACTTCTTTTTAGTTTAAGTATTTATCTTTTCTTTATTTCTCTGTTCATTCTTATATTTAATTAAAATGAGTAATACCATCAATTTATTGAGAATATTGTTATATAGATTTAGCATTTACAAATTCAATAATTATCCCGTTTCTATTTAATCATTCTGAATTTACAAAAATGAATTTGATATTCATAATCATTTAATTATCAAATTAAATATTGATACTTCTCTTTCCTTATAATTTTCAATATCATCAAACTTATTTCAATGGACTATATATTTAATTAAAATAACTGTTATAAAATAATTTATTGATCTCCTGAGAACTTGATAAATTAGTATATCATACCGATAAAAGCAAAAGTACAAAACAAACTTACTGTAAATAATAATGAAATATTTAAATTTCAAAAATTAGTATTGTATCAAATTAAAAAAAAAGAATACAATGTTTGAAACATAACTGTTGTTGATTGTAGAATGTACATTATTGAAAAATAAAAAGATTCAATAAATTATGTTACCTTATAACAAATAGATGTCTGAAATAAAATTGATTAATTCGATTGTTTTATTAGAAAATTAAACTGATCGTTTTTTACATAAATTATAACAATAAATTATGTATATATTTATTTATTCTTTATTATATTGTAAATTTAAATAAAAATTATACAAAATATTCATTTAGATAATATTTAAAATCAGTAGGTAAGATAATTTCATAAATTTTTCAAATGATAATGTTGTACTAGCAAAAGTATGTATTTATTTAATATTATTAGAATCTAGTTTTTAAATACAAATTGGCATTATAAAATCAAATATACACAAAATTATACTTAAATTAATTTATTTTCTTTTTTAAAAATATACAGACAATATATTTATCTTATATTTCATATCTATTAGTTTTTATTTTATTATTTGTTTATATCAATAAATAAACAAAAAATAATCATATATTTGCATATTTTCTAATAACTCTTGATATTCCTACAATATTTGCAGAGAACTACATAATATTGTAACAAGTAATATGGTCAATATATATAAAGATAAACATAAGACAATTTATTTATTTGATTTTCTATAAATAATTAATTAACCAAAATTATCAAATCCATTTGTTTCATATTATTGTTGTTGATATGTCTATATTATTTTTCATATAGATTAATGTATTAGTGTATTAAGTTATCTTTATTGTTTAATGGATAATCGTTTTAATAAATAATAAATCTCATTATTTGATGGATTTAAAGAACTATTATTATATTTTTTTAGTAACTATATAATATTTTCATATCAATTATTATTTATTTTTATACAAAGAATATTCAAAATCTATTTTAATTGTATGATTAGCATATTAATCTTTTCTAGAATTAAAACCTCTTAATTATTCACAATTTTATAATTGGATGATTTAAGAAGGTATTCTTTCATATGCTTCCAATTTATTTAAAATATATTTTATTGTTCCTGATATGTTATTCATTTTTTGTGTTATTTAATAATTAAGAAATTATCTGGCAATTTAACACAAAAGAAAATCCACTTTAATTTATTCTCTTAAATATGTATATTACTATCAAATAACTTTACATAAAATGGTAAACTAAATATTACTAAATATAAGAAACTAAGAAACAAACACTTTTATAAATAAAAAGAGTACTTAAAATTATACTCCACATTGTTAATAATAATAGGCATATACTAAATAATAAAAAAATTGAAAATATATCCTTATATAATATAGATTAAGAAAATATTTGATGAGTAGAAATATAAAAATGTATTATTTTAATTTTTAACAAGAATTATAATCATGTTGAAACGTTCTATAAAAAAGTTTATATTTTAGAAATAGTTGTTTGAAGTGAGTCTTATTCTTTCTTGAATGTATTAAAAAATAAAAACTTTCATTTTTTCTAAGGAGAGGTTCCCTAATAAAGGAATGAAAAGATGACAATGAAAGAAATACTACTAATTAAGTTCCCTAATTAAAATCCTTCTTCTATATTACTAAACATATTTTTATTTATAAGTATTAATGTATTAGAAAGTTATAACTAATTCATCTTTTCTACACTACAAGAAAATCTATAATTTATTTATTTTTAAATCTACGAACCAATACTATTAAGTATAACTTAATATTTTGATTTAAATAACAAATATTAATTTATTCTAATCATACCATTCCAGAAATAAAATACATAAATTTTAACTGGAATTAAATTTAATAAAAACAAGTAAAAAAATATATTTATATCTGCACAGCAAAGGAGAGAAATAAAAATAGAATATTCAAAAAAAAGAAAAAAATATCGAAATCTTAAAAATCAAGTTATCATTAACTTATATGGCAGAAGATTTACAAGCCAAAATTATACAAACAAGAAAAGAGATCGATCAAATTAAAGAAGAAACCCGTGCAAATAGGGAGGCTAAAGAAGATACAACAAGTTTGTTATATAACATTTTATTTTAATTTTTTATTGGTTTAATGAAAAAGTATTAACATAGAAGTGAAAAAATTTACATCAGAAATTCCAGGTATTTCAAGGAGTGACCACGTTAGATTTAAACGTGGATTAAGAGGTCATATTTCTAAAATTTATGCTATGCATTGGGCAAGTGATTCTACTCATCTTGTTTCTGCTTCCCAAGATGGATTGATGCTTACGTGGGATGGTCAAACAACAAATAAAATTCATTGTATTCGTATTAGAAGTTCATGGGTTATGACATGTGCTTATGCCCCTTCTATGAAATTTGTTGCTTGTGGTGGTCTTGATAATATTGTATCCATTTATTCTATTGCACCTAAATCATCTTCAAGTGAACCACTAAATAATACTACAGCAGAATTAGCAGGACATGTTGGATACATTTCTTGTATGAGATATGTTGATGAAAATCGTATTTTAACTTCATCAGGAGATTCTACTTGTTGCTTATGGGACGTTGAACAATCTGCTAAAATTATGGACTTTAAAGACCATCAAGCTGATGTCATGTGTGTTTCTGTATCTCCAGATCAGAATACATTTGTTTCAGGTGCGTGTGATAGTATGGCAAAATTATGGGATATTCGTATGGAAAATTGTGTTGCAACATTTACTGGACATGATGCAGATATCAATGCCATTGCATTCCATCCATCAGGAAATGCTTTTATCACAGGAAGTGATGATTTTTCTTGTAAATTATTTGATATTCGAGCTGACAGAGAGTTAATGAATTATTCATCAGAGTCAATGCAACATGGTGTGACAAGTGTAGCTATTAGTAGTACAGGAAGATATTTATTCTGTGGTTATGATGATTTGGGATGTTTATGGTGGGATGTTCTTAAAGGAGATTATATTACCAAATTAACTGGTCACGAAAATAGAGTTAGTTGTCTTGGTGTTTCACCAGACGGTTATGCATTGTGTACTGGTTCATGGGATTCTACATTGAGAATTTGGGCAAATTAAAATTGCTTTCCCAATTAATTTTTTTTATTTTAAGAATTTTTTTAATTTTTTTCAGCGTTTAATTTTATGACTCGGTTAAATTATAATTTTATTATTTTGTTAAATTATATTTTCAATTTAAAAATGAAGATTTTTGGTTTCATTAAAAACTTGAACAGATTGAACTATGAAATTGTTAAATGATATTTTGGTTACTAATACTCTCAACATTAGGTGTAAAGTGTTCAAAAGGGTTATATGAATATAATAATAATTGTTTACCAAGTTTGGCTATTATATTATTTTTATTCTTTATGACACAATAATAATATTAGTGTGTGGTGATGAAATACTTGCAGGGTGGGAAGAGTGTGATGGAGGAAGTGGTTGTGAACTGAATTGTTCATGTGCTTTTGGATGGAAAAGAGATTATAAAGGAGGATGTGTTCCATCTTCAAATGGTTTAAGTGTTGGGTTTAGTTTTGTGATTGAACTTGAAAAAGATGTTATTTTGAAAGAGAATTTATTCCGATATGAACTTGAAAATGAAATATTTAATGCATATAATTATGAACTTAAAAACTCATACACAAACATTTCTATGTCTAGAGATGAAGTTATTGTAAAAGCTTTTACTAAAGACCAAATCAATAACAAAACAATTGAAGTTAAATTTAAGTTAACTGGTAGTTCAACTGAAGTTCCTGTTTATGTAGATTACTTTAATTATATGATTTCAAATTATTCTTCATTCTGGTATAGTCAAAACTCAACATACTTAAAAGTTATTAACCCTATTGAACCAGTTCATATTTTTTATCAAGTTGATCCAGCAGAATTTAATGGAATTATCCCGGTAGTGATATTATTCAGTGTTCTCTCAATTCTTATTTTAATTTAAAAAACTAATACATGTTGACACAAGTCTTTTAATTGTTCTTTTTTTATTTTAAAAGAAGACTTATTAGAATGAGTTAAACAAATCACTGTGAATAATTGTAATAGGGTGTTAGTGGCTTATTTGGTTTTGTTGTTTGGGTCTCATTTAATGAATATGTTTGATTGTTATTTTGGGGTTCTAATTTATAGGAAGAATATGGGTTAGTTAATTGTGACTGCTGAAAAGGAAGACTTGGAGATGAAAGGGGTTGAGACTGGAGAGTTTGGGAAGGAACACTTTGAGATAGAAGAATTGGTGGAAATGAGGTTGTTGATTGTGAAGGAAGGATTGGTTGATTGGTAGACATACGACTCATTGGATGTGATTGTGAATATCCATATTTTATATTTGATGGAGAGACTTGTGGTGGCTCAGAAACAAAAGCTAATTTGAGTGGTATCCCATTTTCATTTTTATGATTTAGAACAGAAACACAAATGACTGCGTCTTGTGTAGTTTTAAATGCAAAAACTCCACTCCTTTTACATAAGTATCATTTCATTTTATTGCAAAGTATATATAAAATGAAAAACAAACGTTGGAGAATCAAAAAAAACATCAACAGGGCGTGGAACAAAATAATGGTCAAAGTAATGACATAATGCCATTGGAGTGTTTGGGCTGCATGCAATAATAGGATGAAGTTGAATAAACTTAACAAACACACTAGGGGCAACAGAAGGAAGTAAAGGTTTTAGTGGTTGGAAATGTTTACACCAAATCCCAGGAGGTGCTGCGACACTATCATGTTTACTATATTTAACAATAAGTCGTGAATCAAAAAATTTTACATCAGATAGGTTTTGATATGCATTAATAGTATCTTCAATAGAGGCATATTCAATCATTGCAGTACGTTTTTCGCTAAGAACATTAACTTTAATAATAGACCCATATAATGAAAAAAGATTATAAAAATGAAAAGGGGATTGTGGGGTTAAATACCGAGGTAATTCATTAACAAGTAATACTCTTGTTATTGGTGTTTCATGCCCAAATCTAGGACTAATCGTATAGTCATGTGCTTGTGGACTCTCAGTTTTAACATTTAATGTTTCTGCATTACTTACTTCTGCTCTACATTTATAATTAAGAATTGGGAGGGGATTAGTTTTAAGATATTCAATGCATTTATTACTTGACTCTGGTGATTCAAATTCTATTAACGAATGGGGCATGTCAGGTCGAGGTGAGTTCATACAAATAATTCTTTGAATTTTACCAAATCTTATTACTGAATCATACAGGTCATTGCAGACAATTGCCTTTTTTATTGGCTGTTGAAAAGCAATAAATACTGTGGGGTTTGAGTTTGGCATATTGTGGGTTATCATATTTAAGATTTTTTCTTTTAAGATTCTTTTAAAATTTTTAATTTTTATTTTATAAGAGCTCCTTTCATACAACACATCTTTTTCTATTAATCCATCCTTCTTTTCTCTACTCTTTTTGAAAGTGTTAAAATAAAATGAAGTTTGTTTAATGGAGTTAATAAGAAGTTAAATGTATTGTTGTTAAATAAAAATGTGTTATTTTAGAAATATGAAAGAAAAGGAAGAGAGAAAAGAAACAATACTTTTAGAAGAAAGAATGAAAGAGAATATTCACTTGACTCATTTTCCTTTGATTCTTTCAAAGTAAAAAGAGTAGTTTTGTTTGAAATCCAGTTTTAAGATAGAAGGAAACAGATAAAAGGGTAATATGATTTATAAATTAGTTTTAAATCACTTCTGTTATTAAGATGAAATCACAAAAACAATTTCATGATTGGATTATTAAAGAACCACTTGGTAGTGGAACATATGGTTTGTATTAATAAGTGGATTGGTTAAAAGATAAGATAATTTATAAGAATTAGGGAATGTATTTCGTTGTTTGAATATAAAAACAAATAAGAGTGCTGCAATAAAAATCATTAATGAAGAAAGTAGTGCATTAAATAAAACTACTATTATTAAAAATCTACAAGGAAATGAAGGTATTATTCGATTTTTTGAATGTGGGTATGAATTATATGGATATTGTTTAGTATTTGAATTACACATAATAAATCTTAATCAACTTCGATTAAATCAACCAACATCAAGATTCTCTTCACAAACATCTTTTAGATTATTATTTAAAATGATAAAAATTGTTGAATATATTCATTCAAAACAAATAATTCATTGTGATATAAAACCTGATAACTTTATGATATCTCAAGATGGAGATATTATTTTGATTGATTTTGGTTTATCAGAACATTATCAAGACTTTTCTTATCATCAGAAATTAGGATTTAAAGGAAGTCTTCAATTTGCATCTCCCAATCAACACTTAGGAAAGAAATATATTCCAATTGTGTTATTATTCCTTTATTTTATATTCTTTATCAAAACATCACAGGAATGTTTAATCATTCTTTAATTCCATTATCTCTTGCATCATTATTTGAATCATCTATTTGTAATTCATCATGAAGATAATATTGATAAACAAGAACAATGTTATTCTTCTCAAGTTGTTCCAACAGAATTATCACAAAGTCTCTTTAAAAATATTAAATCTACATTATCAAAAATTAATCCATTCTCATCTGTTATTTCAAGAATTAAATAAAGATACTTTTAATTTCTTTCTGTTTAATGAAAATAAAATTAAATTAAAATTAAATTGCTTTTCTTTGATTCATATCTCTTTTCTTCTTCAATAAATTTAAGACCAATACAACAGTACAAAATTGCATTAAAAAGAAACAAATCCAAAAGAGTGTATGTGTAGAAGCTTCATTATTTTTTATTGTATTTTTGTTAGATGATATTGTTGTTGAAATTAAAATCTTAAGATCATTTGTTGTTGTTCCTGTAATTTCTTCTATAGCTCTTAATCTTTCCATAAATGTATCTACATCAACAAGAATATCACTTGTATCAATGATAAGTTCTTGACTCTTTAACATTTCATTTAAATGTTTTGCTCCATTGACAATAATTTTCATTAAATTTGAATTCTCATCATTTAATTTATCTAATTTACTTGCTTGTTGTTGAACTTTTCCTAATACTAAATAGATTTTTTGTAATGCTAAATCAATATCATCTCCATCATTAAATAATTCACTTTCAGTAAAACCAAAATTTAATCCATTAATACTTTTATCATTTCCTAATAACTCTTTAGTACTTTTTGTTTTCTTCTTTAAATCAATAATTTCAAGTGATTTAATTTGATGATTTCCACCATTTTTATCATCTAATGCAGATATCGCAAAATACATATGTTTTATTTTCCCTTCATATGTCATTTCACATCCTCCTTTGTCTTTTCCTATTGAAATAATCAATTTATTTGTTTTCTCTTCATACTTTAATTCAAATGAAATACTTTCAAAATTAATAGAATTAGGAAAAGTGCATTGAGTTAATTGTTTTTCTGTATTGTAGATTGTTGTCGTTCCCCTCAATGAATCTGTTGGTACTTTTACATAAATCCCTTCACTTGATTCAGTAAATTTACCCCCAAAATTATTACCTGAAACAATTGGTTTTGTTGTTAACCATAATGCAAATCCTTTTCCAATACCATCTGACTTTATTTTTCCATTAATTTGGAAATTAGTTGGAAGTGTCTGTATCTGTTAGTACTAAATCATTAGTGTAAAGTGTGAAATAACCAAACTTTTATTGTTGAAATAAGTCCATCTTTTTTAGATTCTGTTGTCAATAAAATCCCTTTTGATGTAATTTCTCCATCAACTCGTAATAATGTTTTGATTTTGCCTTCATCAATAGGAGATTTAATACTTAAAAATTGAGATGACACAAGATTAATGAAAAGCAACAACCAGATCATAACAACCATATTTTATAGTTCCTTTTTTTCAAATCCAAAACATAAAGAACTTTATCCCGATTTCTTCCCTTTTCAAAACCTTTATTCTTTTTTATTTTAATGAGATATTATACCATTCATAATTTTGTTAAATTGTTATTCATAACACAAATAATGTATTTTGTTTGATGAAGAAAAAGTTTGTCTAAGCAACTATGTGGTTCTCCTCTCTATTTACCCCAAACATACTAGAGACAATTACTTAGTTTTAAGTTTTATCAGAATAAATCACTTTGTTTATCGTAAAAGATAATAATACTTTAAGAGTGTTAAATTGGTTTTATTGAAAATTTTTTTAGTTTATTAATTAATTGTTTATATTGGTGAACAATCCAGGAAGAAAGGTGTTTTAGTTAAAACCAATAAAGAAGTATTTATGCGGTACCTCTCAAAAAGATTACAAAAAAATTTGTGAAGTTTTGTTTATTGATATATTTGATTACATAAAGTAAATATTCTTATTTTATTTTTTTATAATTAATTTTCATAAGAAGGACGATAGGTACATTTCAAGTAGAGAGTCTGTTAATTTGATTTTAAGAGAAATGGATAGTTTGAACTTATAACTAAAAAAATATTCTCTTCAATTCTTATACTAATGAAGAAACTAGAACGTGTGTATTTGATGAATATCATTTTTTATTTAGGAACAGTAGATGACTTAATTAGCTTTCTTCAAATTAGTAAGAATTGTTATGAATCGTTCCAAATGATGCACACCAACCCTAATTATTCATTCAAAACACAAAAAAAAGAATTACAAATATTCAAGGATTGTTCATCTTTAGAAACTGTCACTGGATCATTTGAATATATTAAAGATTTTCAATGTAATTTAAATGCTACTTTGTTTTTGCCTGTACAACATGGGGTATCACGAGGAGAAATGAATGAAGTTATAGAAGAATTAGTGAGTTGTGCAAAAAGAATAATTAAACTCAAATTAGTAACAAGTAGAAGTGATTTTGAAATTCACTGGAAAACATTTATTAATTTAAAAGATATAACTTTTGATTTATCTGGAGAGAGTTGGGTTCATTTTTATGATGGTTATCTTACTCTTAATCAAATATTCTTTGATAAATGGAGATTTTATGAACTTAAAGATCTTTCAGAACTTAAGAGAGTGTGTGTACAATCAATAAGTTTTAGTTGTAAACCTCCTAATGTAGAATCGTTATTAGCTTCTAAGTGGTTTGTTGAAGTAGCAAATTGGAAAAGAAAGTTATACGTGTATGGCAATCAAATTCAAAAAAGTTCTCCAAATGAAAATATTGTCCTTATTACAAATTCACTTACCAGAGAACCAAAAACATTAGTCTCTTATTTATCTTTTTGTCAAATAGATGGAAATCATTTAGACTTATTTATTAGAGATTGGAAAAAATACTATCCAACAAAAGTAATGCTTTATTCTTGTAAAACAACAACTGACATATCAATGGTTGATTCTTTAGAAGAAGTAGAATTAGGAACATCAGGTAATGGACATAAATTCATTCTTCCAAAGAATATTAAAAAAGTGAAAGTTGGTGGTGGTGTTAATACAATTGATATCTCACTTTGTCATGACATTAAATTTGAAGTCCAGTACCTTAATTTTTGGATTGAGCCATCAAAAAAAGAAATTACATCCTTGGTTGTGGATTGTACTTACCTACATGAAGACTCACTAATGAGAATAACTGAATTTGAAAATGTTAAAAAAATCATACTAAATGAGTATGACGATAAAATTATACTTCCTCCTTTGCCTGAGTCAATTACCATTGTCAAAAACTATCTGACTACTAAACAACAACCTTATGTATTTTATACTCATATTAATAAAAAAGCTCCTCGTGAATTTGATGAAGAGGATTTCTCTCATCAGAGAGGATGTATCATTAATTGACTTCTTTTTTCCTATTTCTTCTACCACTAAGGCTTTCTTAAAAAGAATAAACAATGCAAATAAAAAAAATAAAAGAAAAATAAAGAAAAAGAACAAATCATGTCATTATCAGGAAGAAACCATAAAGCAGAACAAATGTTTGCAGAAGCAAACACCCTCCAAAATAAATGGTCGTTCTTCAATAAGGAAGCGAATATGACAGATGCAGCTGAATTATTCAATAAGGCTGCTAATTTATTTAAAGCTAGTGAAGAATATGATAGAGCAGCAGAGGCATATGACCGTGCATATTTATTATCAACAAAATTAGGAGATAATTCAAGTGCAAATAAAGCAGCATTAAATAAAGCTTTATGTTTATCTAAAGGAGCACATCCAGAAGACGCAATTGCACCACTTGAAAATGTTGTTGAGAATTATATAACTAATGGATCATTTTCACAAGCAGCAAAAACAGAGCAAGAGATTGCAAAGTTATATGAAAGTATGAAGAAATATGATAAAGCTTCTGAAGCATATAAAACAGCAGCTGGGCATTATGAAATGGATAATAGACCAGCATCTGCATTACCATTTAAAATTTCAGCAGCTAAACTTGATGCATTGAGTGGACAGTTATTGAATGCATATGAAACATTTGATAAGATAGGGATGGATGCACTTAATTCAGGAGCACTTCGATTTGGAGCAAAAGAACATTTTGTTAATGCTATTATCTGCCAAATTGCTAATGATGATGAAATTGGAGCAGAAAAATCAGTTGAAAAATATAAAACAATTGACCCATCAATTTCTTCAGAAAGGGATTATAAGACTATGAGTGATATTATTGAATCAGTTAAACAAATGGATGCAGAGAAATTTAAAGGAATTATAGGTGGATATGCTCAAATGAAACAAGTTGATGAATTTAGAAAACAAATGTTTGATATCATTAAACAAAAATTAGAGGATAATGCTAATGCTGGATTACTTTAAGAAAGATGATGAATTTTTCAAACTTTATTAGTTTTTTTTTTATATTACTTTTTAATAAATCAAATAAAACAAATTGAAAGAAAGAACTATAAACACATTTAAATAATGTTTGTATCTAAATATAATGTTAAATATAATTATATTATTCAAGAAGCAAAAACATTTTTGAGTAATAATTATTATTCGCCATTACATGAAATTATTAGATATGAAATTAAAGGAAAAGATATTACACCATTAAAGGAAGAATGTATATGGTTTTATCAATCAAACTTTAGATTACTTGAAAAATATGGGAATTTTTATGATGATGACTATAAAGATCTTATTTGTTTTATTATTGAAAAATCAATTGATATAGAATATAAATTACTTTCACAAGAAAAACGAATGAATGATAATAATCGTCGACTTGCTGTTCAAACATGGATTGGAAGAATACAACGAGACCAAGAAGAACAAAACAATAATCATTCTAAAGACCTTTTTATTATTACAACAATATGTCTTATTCCTTATTTAACAGAATCTGAATTAAAAGTCATAATGAAAATATTAAAAAGGTATGATGAAATTTTAGCACAAATTGTTTATTTTATTATTAGTTATAATTTTAATGATTGTTTTGATCAAAAGAAACAGTTCAGAATGACAAAACAAGAAATAGAACGACTTAAAGTTGGAGTTGTATCTCTAATTGATATTGATCAATTAATGGTTCATACTAATGAAGAAACAAGAAATTGGATTAAAGCAGCAATAACAAAAGTTCAAGAATTATCAGTAACAGAATGTCCAAAGAGTGTTAAAGAATATATTCTTTTATATGATGGAATTGATTTTAATTGTATTAGTAAAGGATGTAAAAAATTAATTACAGTAAGAATGTCAAATTTATCTCATGGATTCATTAAATTAACATCTAAATTTAAAGCAAATCATCCATCATTTGAAATTAGTCCATCAGAACAACAACCAAATGGATCAATTATTACTCATGATTTTTATGAACTAATTCAAAAATATAAAAATGATTCTGTATGGTTAAAATATCTTGTAACATTACCATACCAATTTTATAAAGAAGGACTTGAAATAAATGGAAATGAAATTAAAGAATTATTTAAATCAATTCCTATTGCACCACTTTTAGTTTCTAATAAGAAAGAAAAAATAAACAATAAAGAATATCCAAGAGTTTATAATATCAATGCATGGGATGAAACAAATAATGATATTGAAAAAATTATAGAATGGTCAAAAACAGAAATGTATGTTTTTATCAGAACAATAAAACTATATTTTGAAATGTTTTTTGATAATACAAGTCAATTATGTACAATGAATGATTGCAAAGAATGTATTATAGATGGATATATCCATCATAAAATTGTTAATATTATTGAAGAGATTTTATCAAATTTACTTCAAAATATTTCTTATGATGAAAATATAATTCAACTAAAACAAATTACATCACTCATTACATGGATTTCAGCAAAAGTAGAAACACCAGAATTAGTTAAATATTTAACTAATCAAATTAAAATTAAAAAATTATCAAAAGATATTTGTATGATTATATTTGATAGTATTGAAGAATATTTCATTCTAAGTAAACAAAATCCTAAATTTCTTGATTTACATATTGATTTAATTAAAGAACTTGATCTAATTGGAGAGGAAAATAATAATAATGATAATAATAATACAGGAATTTGTGGAGAAGAATATCCAATGATAACATTTATTCTAACTGCTTTTAAAATGGTACAATGTAATATTGAACGAAAGAATAATAAAATTCTCTTATATTATCCAATAGATTTTGATGCAAAAATTTGTTCATTAATTTCAAAAGGAAGAAAACTTAGAAAAGAACATAGTTTATTGTTTATTTTACTAATTATAAACTATTGGTTAAACTTAGAAAGAAAAGAGTATATCTCAAAGTATAGAATTCGTCTTGATTTATTTCAGTATTGTAATGATATACAAACAAAAGAGTTATTTGAAAAATTGGCTAATGAACAATATAACCTTGGAAAAATCAATGAACTCTTATTTGAAAAATATCAACTTCAACCTGATTTACCAAATGATGAAAATGGATTTAGTGAAATGGTTAGAAGGATCATTCAAAAATATCTTCAATTCCATCCAAATGAACTATCCTCAAACAAAACTATATTAAATGAAGAAAGTTGTTATTATTTTGAGAAATTAATACCAAATAATATAGGAAAAAATAATCCAAATAAACAAAGTGATGAAATTGAAGGAAAAAAAGAAAAAAGAAATGGGAATGAATGGAAAGATGGTATGAAAGAATTTGAACAAGGAAGTCCATTAGAAACTTTTTATTCTAAAGAAATAGAATCTAGTCAGAATGACTGGGAACTTGCAGGACATCTTGCAAACTATTGTGTCCCTTATCTCAAACAAGAGTTGATTAAAACTATAGAAGAAGAAATTATTGAAAATAAAGGTGGAGAAAAATGGGAGGAAATGAAAACAACAATTTCACAAATGAAAATGAGTGAAAAAGTTGATATTTGTCAGGCAATTTATAGTAGGATTGAAGGGATGATGGGATTAGAAGATAAGAGATGGCTTAATTCAAAACGAAGAATGGTTGTTAATGAGGGAATTAATGGGTATGTCATTGGAATGATGTGTTCAAAAATAAAAGAAAATCAACTTATCAGTGAGCAAGATATCATATCATTAAGTAAAGTAGTAGGAATGAAAGAGATTGAAACGCTCATTTCCATCTTAATTCGAAAAAGAAGTACAACAATTAATATCAGTAAGTTAATTGAATCAACTATGTTAATGGAAAATAATATTGGAAAGAGATTAAGACAACTAGCTATTGAATGGTTAAACTCAGAGAAAAGATGGGATGATATTGAAAATTTTATTTATCTTGGGAATGATTTAATCTCCTCAATCAATAAGACTAAAACTAGAAATGATACTCTTCCAAAACCACCAACAAATTTAGATGAATATCATCGTCATATCACTGATCGTATTGAAGAAATAAAAAGTATACGTAGTAGTGTTATTGGAAATATTAATTGGGAAGAGGTAGGTGATGATAAGATAAAAGAGATATGGGAGAATGATATGAATGGAATTAAAGAACTTATCAAAGAACCATATGATGGAATTGAAGTGTTTGTAGAAAAGAATATTGTCAATGTTGATGACCCAACAATAGTAATGATGTGTCTTTGGATAATGATGCTCAAACAGAAAAATATTGGTTCTTCCAATATTCGAAAAATTGAAGAAAATGAAGTGAACAATTCTCATAATGGTATTAAGTGGGATCAAATTAATGAATTTAGTATAATTCTTGACCATCTAATAACTGTTGGATCCTTTACAATTAAATGTACAACATTAGAAGGAATTGAACAAATGTTTAATTGGACAAATATGACAAGCACAAAATATAAAACAATAGAGAAACTATTGACATCAAATGTTAAATTTCTTAAAAATACAAAGCTAATCCAAATGTTCAATACCTTTACATCAGAAAAACGGATCCAATATCCAAATAGATGGTTCTTTTAATTCCTTCAATAATCCAATATATTTCTAACTATGTCTTGACATCATTCATTTTTTTTGATAATAATAAATGAAGGATCAATCTTAATATTTTAAAATATTTTTTATTATTTTAGGATTTATTAGAATAAATAAAGATATAATAAATTATATTTAAATAGTACCTTTTATATTCATTTTATAATTCTCTCTTTTATTTGTTTCATGAAAAATAAAAATATTTATTTTATGTTTTATAACTCTTTGTTTATAACTTTATTTATATTACATATCCTGCATTGTTTTATGATAGTTTATAATATTCTAAAACTGTTAATATAAATTTTATTGAATGTTATTATAATCATTAGACAATAATTTTTAAGAATTATTTAACTCATTTACTAGAAAATAGGTTTTGTAAGAAGGACTTCTTTTAAAGTATTAATACAATAAAATAAAGTAGTATAAGGTTGTGTTTTTGTTATATAATCTCTTACTCATTTATTTTATTTATGGATATTTCTCTGTACATTGAAATTATTTTTGTTATTTCCTTTATCTAATAGAACATTAATATATTCACTAATTAATATTCATAGATTTAATTAAATAAGTATTCCTTTCATATTATCAGTTATCTTTCTTATTATTTATTATTTAATAAAATAACACAATGAATGTGATTATTTGAAATGAAATAAACAAGAATGAAATATATTCATATTTATATTCACTATTTCATTCATGAGCAGATGGTATGAATGAAATATTTTATTCTTCATTTCAGATAAAACGTATTTTAATAATTTCATTTCAATTACAATGATTCGTTTTGGTATGAAATATTCTAGAGATTGTTTTCCACAAAGTGTATTTGATATTCCTTTATATGAAAATGAACATTGATAACAATAGATCTTGTTTTATTATTTCTTTATAATCACAAATATCATATCCAAATCCAAATAAACAATCACTTGATTGATTACATAAACAAAATGCACATTGTTGATCTTTAATATCAAATTTCATCATTCCTTTTATTCTTCTTTTTGATTTTAATGAAAATAAAAATGATTTTGGATCATTTATATAATCATCAACTTTATCAATTTTCACATTAACATATCCTCCAAATTTATTTCCATTTGTATCTTTAATAATAATTATTATATGTTTTTTATTTATTATTCTTTGTTCAAATACTGATGTATTCTTATTCCAATTATCAATACCTGAATCAAATAGTATATTGGATACTTTTCTTGAATTCCATTCTTCTATTCATTTCATTTATTTAATTGTATTCATTCCTTCCATTATTTAATATTTTCCCTTGCTTGTAATTGCTGTATTGTGTAATCTCATTCTTCTTTCTTTTTATTAATTTTTCTTTAATTTTGTTAATTTCTTTTGTTAGTGTTTGATTTTATCTTTCATGTTCATTTCTTCAATTGAAATGATTTTATTGATTATTTCATTCCGTGTTTTACTTAGTATTTCTTCATCGGAATTACATTCTTCTATTATTTTATTCTTTATTATTTCTATTACTTTAATTGTTTCTTGACTTTTTTCTATTATTAGTTTTCTTCTTCTTTCTGTTTCATCAATCCTATCAAATATTCCTTCTCCTCTTTTAATAGCTTCTGAATATGTTTCATTTGGTTTTATTTCAAATATTTCATTTTTAATACTTCCTAAATAATATTGATAATGTTAAGTGTTTCTATTTCTTCTTTAAAGAAATGGTTGTTCTTGTTTATTAACTCTTCCATTTTAATTTAATGAATATCAGATCAAAATAAGATGATTAAATAATTAAATATGTTTATAACACATCATTTTATTTATTATTTTATCATTTTAATAAATTAATCATTAAACTTTATTTTGTTCGTTTTTTAAATAATAAAATAAAGAAGTGTTGTTTTTTTATATTTCTATTAAAACCAAAACGAAGTAATAAATAATATTACACTAGACTTTCTTTATGTCGAACACAGAGGCTATATTCTAGCTTCCTCTAGTCCTTTTGTTTCTTAGTGGTAACTTATTTTTTATTAAATAAAAACTTAAAAGAAATGTCATAGTCTTGTCAATTAAATCTTCTTTTTAAGCTAAATATCTTCAGAATCAGTTAAAATTTCAATATCATTTTCTACTTCTTGTGGAATACCAACTATTTTTTCTAAGGTCTTTGGATTATTGACTGCATCAAGAACCATTTCCACTCCACTTTTTGTGTATGCCTCTTTGATTGCTTCTGAACAAGCAATACATTTACTATAAGCAGATCCAACACCTTCTTCAATTTTCCATGTGTTTAGATATCCACGTAATTGGTGAGGAATGTATCCTTCTCCAGAAGTTGGTGCTTTAGAATGGAGTGGATGATGAATCATTGAAATAAGTATTTCAACAGCTAAAGCAGAAGCAATATAAGAAATTCCAGGTCTAGTAACAGTGCATTGTTGGTCAAGAGTTCTTCTTGACAAAGAATCAGTTGGTGCAACAATATCAGCACAGAAATAACATGAAGGTTTATGTTCTTTATCCAAAGAACTATCTCCGTGTCTCATAACAACAAAAGAATCAAATCCAAGTCCAACGGTAATACAAATTTTGTTATAAACAGAGCATAGCATTGAAGGTAACCATCTGCATTCTCTTGAATCACCAAGTAAAAACACAACGTCATGTTCTTGCACTAATTGGTCAAGCAATAAAATATCTTTCTTTGTTGGTTCAATTTCTTTCTCTCCAATAGGATGACCAGGCATTGGAATTGACATAACAATTCCTTTAGATTTCATTCCAGGAAATACTTCTTTAACCATTTCTGCTGCTCTTTGAGCTTTATACTTTTTATCAACACAATCTTCAAATTTATATAAACTTTGTCTTACTGGATTTGAATATGATATAATTCCATTATCTACAAATGTTATATTTTGAACTCCCCATCCCATTAACACACGTGAAACATTACACCCTAATGTCCCTGCTCCAATTAATAAACACTTTGTGGCTTGAATAGCTGGAAGATCTAAATTTCTAAATAATTGCCATTTCATTAATTGCAAATTTAAATCAACAGCTTGACTAGCTAACATTTCTGGATTCATTGACTCTGCAAGGTGATGAATTTGTGTAGCAATTTTGCCTGTTGATTTTACAGTAAACCATCCACTACTTCCTTTAAGTGGTTCTTCTAAATGAGTTAATTTTAATGTAAAACTATTATTTGGTCTAATACAATGAATAATATCCATTTTATGATGAATAAGAGTTCTAACAGTCCATCCTGGTGTTTCTTTTACTGGAGATAAGTCAAGAATATAAGCCTCATTATCTCCTTTTTTTAAAGGTTCAAATTGGTTATTTAATACTATACAATTCTTTTCTTTAAATTTATTTAATAAACCATTTGATTCTTCATTATTTATATTTACAAACTCTCCAATTACTTTATGTTGTTTTGGAACAGGACACCCTCCAATGAAATGAAAGTCATACTTTTTTAAATCACCATATGCTATTAATATGAATTTAGCTACAACAGAATAATCCTCTTCATATAATTTCATACATCTCTCAGAAAATTCTGTAAATATTGCCTTTTTATCACTTTCTTTAAATGAAATAAGTGTGTTGTAATTTAATAACTCACCTTCAATACAACTTTCATGTCTTTCAAAAGAGGCATGTGTCAATCTAATAATATTACTTCCTGGTTCAATACTACCATAAATTGGAATAACTTTTTCACTTAATTTAAATATTTCTAATTTTCTTCTTGTAAACTCATGCCAAAATGTGACATCAATTTGTAAATCTAATGGAAGTGTTTTAACTGCTGTCATCTAATTATTCATTTAAAGTTCCTTTAGAATATTTTAGATCATTTAAGTATAAATGTCATATAAAACGATATTATAATAAATGTTATTTAAAGCAAATATAAAAAATTAATAAATAATAATTATGAAATAATAAATCTAAATAATTAAAAATATTATTATTTGAGTAATTAACCCTATTAGTTTTCTTTCATACCCTAAAAATTCACAGGTCGAATCGGAATGAGTTCAAGACCATTTGTAACCATTTATGATGGAATTACTGGAGAAGCTGAAAAAACACCAGTCAGACTTCCAGCAGTTTTTCTTGCACCAATTAGAGGAGATGTAGTTCATTTCGTTTATAGAAATCAAAGTAAAAACACTAGACAACCAGAAGGAGTATCAACTGAAGCTGGTAAACAACACTCAGCTATTTCATGGGGAACTGGAAGAGCTGTAGCTAGAATTCCAAGAATCAGTGGATCAGGATCAGGAAGAAACGGACAAGGTGCTTTTGGTAATATGACTAGAAAGGGTCATATGTTCTCTCCACTTAAGAACTTCAGAAAATGGCAAAGAAAAACACCAAAACAAATGAGAAGATTTGCTGTTGCTTCATGTATTGCTGCTTCAGCTGTTCCAGCTCTTGTTTCAGCACGTGGACATCATATTGCTGGAGTACCACAAATTCCATTAGTTGTTAATTCAAAATCAATTTCAGTTATTAAGAAGACCAAACAAGCTGTTTATCTCTTAAAGAAAATTAATGCTTATTCAGATGTTCTTAAAGTTATTGCTTCAAAGACTGTTCGTGCTGGTCAAGGAAAAATGAGAGGAAGAAAGATTAAGGAAAGAAAGGGACCATTAGTTGTTTATGGTAATGATGATCTTCAAGCTGTTAAAGCATTTAGAAATATTCCAGGTGTAGATACATGCCGTGTTGAAAATCTTTCAGTTCTTAATCTTGCACCAGGATGTCATATGGGTAGATTCATTATTTGGACAGAATCAGCATTCAAGAAACTTAACACTATCTTTGGAACTCAAAAGAAGATGGCACAAGGTAAATCAGGATTTAGAATTGCTCATGCTCAAATGGCTGTTCCAGATATGAAGAGAGTTGTTGTTGCTGCTGAAAAAGCTAAACTTCTTAGAGCTAAAATTGTTTTACCAAAAGTACCAAAGAGAACAAATCCACTTAAGAACTGGGCTGCTATGGTCAAATTAAATCCATATGCTAAAATTGCTTCACATAAACTTGCACAAGTTGCTAAAGCACAAGCAGCACATAAAGCACAATATGCAGCTAAAGTTGAAAAGATTCTTGCAGCTAAGAAAGAAGCATTAAATCAATCAGTTGCTAAGAGATTTGTTAAAGCACAAAAAGTAGATGGAAAGGTTGTTAAAGTAAAAGTTGAAAATAATCTTCTTAAAGGTACTGTTAAGAGAACTGCTAAACAAGCTGCTTATATGAAGAAGTATGATGGAATCGTTAAGGCAAATGCCAAGAAATATGCTGAAAAAATTGGATTCTAAGAGAAGATAATAATGAAGTTGTTTTGGTTTATTATTTCTTATTTTTATTTATTTTTGATATAAATAAATAAAGAAAAAACAAAAAATGATAAAAAATGTAATTAATACAATTATTATTAATGTTAATTGAATGATTTAGAATATAATAATTTCATGGTGGTATTGGTTGTGTAATTTGAATAACTACTACTGAAATATTATCAGGACTATTCTTTTCATAGGCAATATTTCTAATGTTAACTGCTTGTTGTTCTAAACTAAATATAGGATTTGTTAATTCATTAAATAATTCACATCTAAAAGTGAATAATTATTATTTTTATTAAACAATAAACAAACGGTATTGATGATATTCCATCAGAAGCAACAATAATTGAATCTATTTCTTTTAATGGAATTGAAATTATTGTTGGTTCATTTGTTAATGGAGGGTGAAGTGATTTATCACCAAGTGAACGAGTGAGTACAATTTTAGAATTTACTCTTTTTGTTCCATTAATGTCTACAACACTCCCACCACAATTAAGAATTCTTTTTACCTCTTCTTCATTACTTGTGTTATGGTCAATAGATATTTTCTTTACTTGTTTATTTGATTTTATATAAATTGGTGAATCTCCAATATAACAAAATATAACATCATCCTCTCTAATAATAACTATTGATGCAGTTGTTCCTGACGCAGTTGTAAATGATATTAATTGTTGTAGTTCATTAAATATATTATTTAAATGTTCTTGATAGTGGTCTGATTTAATTAAATATTCATCTAATAATTTATGAAAAGTTTCCATTGCTTTTTTGGCTGCGTCTTTTCCATTATGACCATCAAACACACCGATATAATCAATTCCATCAAATAATTCTCCTTTAATCATAACCATATCTTCCATGTATATTCTTCTACCAATAGTTTGTGATACATTAATATTAAATCTTTTAGAAGATGAATATGTTTGTTTCTAAAATAAAGGTTAGTTATTCTTCCTAAACATAATTATGAATAATATAAAATTAAAAACTCTTATTAATCCATAACAAACACACAACAATTGATCTTCTTCATTCTCATCAAATGACTGTCCTGTTTTAAGTCGTTTAATTTCTCCATTCCTTGAAACCAAATATGAAGAAGATAATAGTGGAAGGGTAAGTCCTCCAGATATTAACACTTTTCCATTAATTATAACTGGTCGTTCTTCTCCATAGAACGTACTTTTTCCTGTTGCCCCAATTGATCTAACTCTTTTGTGGGGGATTCTCGTTTTTGGTAATTCAGGTGAAGAGGTAGAAAGACGTGTTATGGCACTCATTTTATTTTAACTAATAAAGTTTTTTTATCTTTTTTTAAAAAAACTTTTTCTTCATCAATATGCATTTCATTTGAAAACATCAAATGTATTTTTAGAATTAATATTTATAGAAAACGTTTTTTTTTTGTTTTCTTTTTTTGTTATATAGTCAGTTTTTCAAAAGTGACGCTATAGACAAATTCTAAATTTTATAATAAGTTAATTTAATTTATTTATTAGTTACTAAAATGGTTTATGTTAATATTTTGCCATTACGAAATATAATTTTAGTTGAGGGTAGTTAAAAACAGAATAAATTAAATAAAAATTATACATCTTTTTTTATGATGTACTATAAATTTGAGACAGTTGTAACTTAATTTAACATACAAAATCAGTTAAATCTTTCATTGTATATTTAAATAGTTAAGTTTGTATTGATTTAATTAGAGTGAAACAAGTTAAAAAATATGATTTTTTAGTTTTTGTAGTAATTAAGTCTAAGAGAACTATTAATCCAATTTAGTAAACATGAATAATTCTACAATTTGTTAGATATGACAAAAAAACTAAAACTAATTCTTTTTTTTTTTTGCAAGTTGAATAAAAATTTTTATGTAATCATCATAGGTCATAGTATTATTTGAATGATAGTAAAATAATACAATTGTTTTTATTACTAAATTTATTTTATATTATAAAGTAACATTTTAACATATTTCATAATTAAGATGAATGGTGCAAAACAATGTCGTATAGTTATCAAATCTAATTTATTAATACAATGATATCATCCTTGTTTATTAATTTCAAATTCTAATTGACAAAATAAAATAACTATAAAATTGAAAAATATGAATTTCAAATAGAAGAATATAGAAAATCATTAGAATAATATGTAAAATAAAAGATAAGTTATCTTTTGTTTAGTTATTATAGAAATTGTATTTTGATATTGGATAGAATCAAATACAATTTTTTGGTTCTTGATTTATTTATAGTAATAAAATAAATATAAAATTTAACAAAATGTTTTATTAATATAATTTAAGTAAATTTAAATAATAGGTTAATAAAAATAAATTTATAATCAATAAATTAATAAAAATAAATAGGCTTCTATAAAAAATATTCACAATTTTTTTATTTTGAATTTTTTTTATAGCTATTTTATTTATTTCAAAACTTCTAAATGATTTTTCTTAATGGATATAGATATAGATATAAAATTATTGACTCTTTTTATCAAAATGAACTAATTAATTTCAACAGTTACTATTTTAAAGAAATACTTAGTTATAGTTACTGTCATTATGAAATTGATATAAAAAAAGAAAGAAAGACATGACTTGTATTTAATACTATTTCTATTCTTCTTATGCTTGTTATTTAACAATAAGTAATATTTTAAATGTATCAACATTGTATAAAAATTTATAAATAAAATTAAATGTAATTAATGGTATGTAGTCACACAAAGCAAACTTAATAATACTTGATAAACAGTTTTGTGAAAAGAAAAAATGAATCAGAATTACTTCAAATAATATTAAATATAAACTGGTTAAAAACTGACTAGAAAAATGAATAAAGAAACATTAAGTAAAAAAAGAATAAATGTTTTATGAAGAAAGAAATAAAAAAACTAGCAAAATAGAGAGTCTTTAAGAGGTATAAAAAAGATATGTTTTATTTTTATAATAATTAATAAAAATAAAATTAAATTAATGTATCTATGACTTTAAGAAATTATATAATTTTAATTTTACAATAATAAGGTTTTTACATATAGAAATTAAGTAAATTCTTTTGTTCTATTACCTTTATAACCTAAGAACATGTATTCAATCTTTATTTCATGTTATTTGCTAATTTAATAAAAAGTGTTTATTTACATAAAAGAAAAATTATATTTAACCTTAACTCCTTTGTGTAGTGATATTATCTTCTTGTATATTTTCATTTCTTCAGTAGATCTACCTTTCTCAATCTTTTTAAACACACTCTTTTGTGCTCTCGTACTTTTCTCTAGTTAAGGCCCATGAGAATAACCAAAGAAAAAACTAATCCAATTCCAATAATTGAAATTTGTGTGTTAATACCTTTTAACGATGAGTAATTGCAAAAAAAGATTCTTTTAAACAATGAAAAAAAAGAAAGGTTAAAGAAATAAAATAATGAAGAGAATGAAAGTAGAAATAAAATATAAAACTAATACAGAAAACTTAAAATAAAATAATAACCAGATAGACTTAGAGTGAAATAAAGCACTGAATTATTAATAAAAAGTATTGCCCATATCAAAAAGTATTGGTTTGTGTCATAATTACTACTATTTAACAGAATTAATAATATAAATATTTGCTCTTTATAATACTAAGTATTAGAAAAGGATTTTTTTAATATTTAAATAATTTTTTCATAAATAAAAGAAATAGAGCAATCTTAAATTAAGAAAAAATTTAACTTAATTATTAAAATAGCATATTCTTAAATAGTGGCAGTTGTAAGATTGTAAATTCACAATATAGCACATCAACAAAAGACTTTGTTAATACAAAGAGTGATAAAAAAGCTAATAACAATTATAGTATTGTAACTTCTCAAAACAATGAAAATATGAATAAGCAAATAAATACCATTAATTAATTTATTTTTTCTTTTTTTTTTAAATTAAATTATTCTTGAATTTATAACACTAACGATAGATCAGTACTTACCAATTTATGAAACAAAACTTATTTTAAATTATGAGAATTAAAATATATAATTTAACACGTATTTTCTGTGATATTTACTCCTAAAAGAGAGCATAATCTCTCTGTTTGAGAGATAGCAGTTTCAAATAATTCAGTTGAAAGACCATGATCATCTATCTGTAAGTTAGGTTGTTTAACTGTAATAAAATCATCTGCTTTTACAATACTATATTTCTGTAGTTTTGTTATTTCTTGACCAATGACTCTATCACATTCATCACAATATTGCTGTAATTCTAAGTCCATCATTTCAAAAATTTGTTCTGGAATAACTGGTGGTAGTCCTTGTGAACAACACCTATCAACAGCTTCATTTAAATGTTTTTTTGTAATTTCTATTTGTTCTTTTAATTGTTCTATTGCATTATCAAAATCAGAGTTAAACTGGTTGTATGTGTCTTCTATCTTTTTAGCTAATTAAATAAGTTTTTGTAAGTTTAGAATATAAAATTTATTCATCAAACTATAATCAAAAATCATTTTATCAATGACTTGTTCTTCAACTGTCATAATATTTTTCGCTTTTTTAATTCTTTTTCTTGAGTTTTTATATTTTTTATGTTTTATAATTTATATAATAACATTTAACATGATGAATCATCTCTGATAAGTGTCAGACTCAAAAAAGTCAATGCATAAAACTAATTCGTAAAAATTAATCCAAGACAAAACAGAAACTGAGGGTTATAGTTTAGTGTTACTTTATCTTTTGTTACAAATAATTTCTTGAAAACCCCAAAAACAGATAATAACAATATAATAAAAAATACCCATCCAATATTGTCATCGTGGAACCTCGTCAGATCGATTAAAATGATTTGAAAATTTTTCTTCTTGTTTTGATAGTTAAGTTAACTAAAACAAATAAGTTTTGAAAAAAGAAAAAAAGGTTCTTTATGTTATTGGGAGGAGAATTATATGAATCTAGTAAAAAATAATAACGATTAAATCAAAGGAAAAAAGGAAAAAGAAAACAAAAACAATAGAAATGTATTGACGTTGGTAATTTAAAGATTATATATATAAAAAGAACTGAGAACTATTTGTATTAAATCAGGAGTTAGAAATGTCTGAAGAGGTATGCTATGTTTGCAAAAAACCATTTGAAGATGATGAAGACCCAATTGAAATTATGAAAGGAAAATATCTTGTTCATGAAGATTGTTTTGTATGTGCTGAATGTGGGGAGCCATTAGAAAAATATTTTATGAAAGATAAAAAATTAATGTGTAAAAGCTGTGCTTGTCCAAAGTGTAAAGTTTGTGGAGAAGCAATTGAAGGAAAGATTATTCGTGTTGAAGAAGATAGATATCATCCAGATTGTTTCAAATGCCCAGAATGTGGTACAGTTATTGGAACTAATGATTATAAAATTAGAGATGGTAAAGTATTGTGTATGGCTTGTGCTGATAAACAATAAATAATACTTCAGTTTTTTTTTCTTATTTATCATTTTATTATTTTAATTAAATAGGAAAAAAGAGAAGATTTGCTAGATTAAAATCTTTAATCTTTTTGAATATAAGATTGAGAAAATCACATGAAAAGTCAGTTATTCAAAAGATTATTGTTGAAAAGAAAAAATAAGACGTTGTGAGATATGGCATTTCATGTTTGTCATCGAATCACATTTCCTAAAAATGTAATCTCTATTCAAGAATGTCCAATTAATTCATCTTTGATTGCATTTCAATCTAGTTCTAGTGTTGTTTATTTATTAAATAGTAAAACAATGAAAGAAATTGCTTGGATTGATTCACATAAATCATCAATTGTTTCTTCTTGTTGGGAAAATGATAACATATTCATTTCTTTTGAAGATGGTGTTTTATTACATTATATCATGACTGCAAAAAATTCAGAAATATTTACATTTATGAAAACACCTGTTCACAACTTGTGTTTTTATAAGAATAAATTGTATGGGGTAATACCTTCTCCTACTAAGTCCTCTATCATTCAGATTAACTCAATTTCTAAACGACCTCCAATTTTCACAACTAAAGAGATGATTACCTCTATGGTTATTTCAAATGACTGTATAGTTATTTCTCTTAGAAAATCTCTTATAACACTTAATCTTCAAGGTAAAGTGTTAAACAAGTATTCCTTTGATAAGAATCCATTAACATTAGTTGCTCAATGTTGCAGTTTTAAAAGAAAGTATGCACACCCTTATTCTCATATTAAAGAAACTAATATTGTTTCAGCTTTTTCTACTTCTGGAGATGTTTATTTTATTGAAGTAATAAATCATAGTCAATTGCGTTTTATGAAGAAATGTACATTATCTAATCAATTTATTCAATCTATTGCAATTGATCCTTATTCTTCTTCCTGGGATCGTCTGAACTTTTGTGTTGCTTTTGGAAACAAATGTTTGTCTTGTTCAACTTCTAATTTTGATACAGAAGAAATTATTACAACTGAAAAACCACCAATTATTTCTCTTCTTTTTACCACGAAGAGCCGACTTTATATCTCTTCTCATTCTGGAGAAGTTATTGTAGGAGAGTGGGTTGAAAATTAAAAGTAATTTTATTTATTTATTAGTTTTACAATTTATCCTTCTTTATGACTCTAAAAGGAAAAAAGAACAAAAAAAGGTAAAAGATTATAACAGGATGGATTCTTCATTAAAATATCCAGAGATTGGTGATGAATTTGATCCACGATATCATGTTTTAATTCCATCAAAACACGACGTTCAAGATCGTAGTGATAATCCTCACTGGAACTCATATGAAGAAATTTTTCGTGACAATTTTCCTGTGAGAAAGTTTGAAGTTCAAGAAATTCCAGGAAAGGGAAGGGGATTAGTTTGTACTGATAAAATCCATCAAGGAGAAATGGTTTTCAAAGAAAAAGCTTCAGTATTTTATGAAGGACCAGAAGAAGACGATGATATGAAGGATTCAACATATTATATGGTTAAAAGCATTTATTTTGGAACAGCATTTTGCACTGTCCAATTAGCAATTCAACTTGGACAAAATCCTGATAGAGTAGAAGAGTTTAGTGAACATGTCGATTTTATGTATCAAGACTTGTTAAAAGATGATATTCTTGAATACCCAGTTAAACGTGAAGACATAGCTAAAATTGTTAATGGAATTCATACAAATTCTTTTGCATTAGATTTTCTTGATGGCTATGCATTATTTATGGCATGTAGTTTATGTAATCATTCATGCAGAGAAAATATGGGGTGGCACACTGTTGGAGATACAATGTATTGGACTGCATTGCAAGATATTGAGGTTGGAACTGAATTAACAATCTCATATACCTTTCCTTCTATTCTTCCTCATAGATTAAAATATTTTAAGGAGAATTATGGATTTATTTGTGACTGTCCACTTTGTAGTGGACCAAGTGACCCATGGAGAGCATTTAAATGTGGTTGTGGAGGAAGAATTTATCAAGAACCAGAAGGATGGATTTGTCATCAATGTCATAAAATATGTACCCAAGAAGAAATTAATGAGTTTATTAATGAAGAAGTAGCTTTCAAAAAATTAAAAAAACCAAAGAGGATTCAACACTTCTATAATAAAACAAGAAAAATGGATAATTCACACATTTATATGTTTAAAACATTAAGAAGTTTTGTCTTTGATGAGAAATGTCCAAATCCATTGATATTATTTGAAGATTATCTTGTTCCAATTGCAAAATATCAAAGCTCACTCTGTCATAGTAGATTATATTCTGCAATTCTTGAACAGTTTGGTGTTGCACTATTAAAATATGCTAAAAAATTTCCTTTTCAAAATCAGTTCTGTCAAGATAAAGCCAAGAAAATATTTAAAATAGCATATGATTATCGTTGTTCATTGGGTATGGGAATTACTGGATATGCAGCACAAGAATATATTGAATGTCTTGAATTATTTGATGAACATAAATTAGAGAAATATACTGAATATGTTGAATATTAACAATAAAATGAAATAAAAGTATTCTTGTGGTGATTATTTCTTTTTAGTTCTTTGGAAAATTTTTTTGTTAATTTTAATTGGAAAAGTCAAAATTAATTTTGTTTTTTTTTTTTAATATTAATTAAAAGAAATTCAATTTTGTTAAAAAAGAATATTTCATAAATAAATTATAGTATTATCTTTCTAATTTAAAAGTATTTATTATTATAATTAACAAAATTGTATGAATAAATAGATAGTGTTGTCAAATTTTTTCAAAAATTCAGTGATGTCGTTTTCTGTTAAAATAACTCCAATAAAAAAGTTTTATTAATAGGACTAATACAACAAAAAAAAAAGAATTTCACAATTAAACAAATTGTTGAATGAAATCCATATTTAATAATAATTAAATAATAAACATAAAGAGTTATAATAGTTAAATTGTTAATGAACCTAAATGGAATAGAAAAACAAAAAATGTATATTCAATTTAAAAGTTTTAAGAGAATAATACTTTTAAAATAGTTTTTGAAAATATTCCTTTCTTATTTTTTTTTTATAACTCTCAAACACTCCATTATTTTTTTCGTTTAAAACTTAAATAAATAAATATTTTATTAAAATTATTTCTACAAGTAGTTTTAGTTATTTCAGTCGTTATTTTTCTTGTTTTGTGAGGTTTTGTAGACCCCTTCTATTAAAGTGACAAATCACTCTCCAAAAAATTAATGAGTTAAAAAAAAATTGGTTATGGATTGAAAAAAGATAATTCAAAACAAATAATTTAAATGGAATTTTTATTTTTAATCATTCTAATAAAAAAGTAATTTTTCTATTAAAGTATTTTTAAACCTTCTTTCTATTTTGTAAGTGATTATTTTAAATCTTCAAAAGAATCTTTATTTACTATCGGATTCGTAGATGCAGATGGCGTCAAGTTATTCCCCAAGAAGCCAATTTGAGAAAACAAGAAATTATATGGCCTGCCAACAAGCTATACTCATTGGTTTACTTAATGAAGAGTTTAAAGTAATTATTCAAAAACCAGTTAAAAAGGCTTCTGTTACACAACAATATTTAAACATTAGATTAATTCAACGAAAAAGTGATGTTATAGAAATAGATCGTTTTGTAGAAGAACGATGTGCTGAAAGAAAAGAACATGACATTAATTCTGGGGTGTCTATAAGTGCAGCAAAACAAAGAGTAGGAAAAAATAAAATTACTGAGCTAAATCTGTTATTAATTGATATACTTAATATGTTAGGGTACACCTTCACAACAACTACATCAGAAGGGAAAAATGGTGCAATGAAAAATGAAAGTATTAAAAGTGTTTATAGAAATGGGAAATATTTATGTGGCAAAGAGGGTATTGTTAATATTGGAAAGAAAATAAATAAATACCTCTGTGAATTAATTGAAAGAAATAATGAAATCACAATTGATTATAATGATGTTTCCTTAAGAGAATATATCAATAGTTTGGTATCTTTATAGTGTTAATTTACATTTAAAAAATTATTTTCTTATTATTTTATATTTTTTTTCTTTTAGGATTCGAAGGTAGCACGTCAGAGACACCACACAGATCCCTAAAATATTTCCATCCTTCGATTCCCCCCAGTTATGGACTGGTTATGACGTTGCGTTTGGTTAGAAAAACATCTTACCCAGTACTGCAAGAATAGCAGTGTTTATTATGTACAATGACAGAATATCATTGACAATAAACGAATGGGTATTTATAAAGATGTTATTATTACTTGTTAGAATACAAGTATAATTGATAATATAAGAAAGATTATCAAAAGAAAAGGGTCAAGTGGATGAGGCTAAAAGAATATTAGCCCAAAGCAATACAATGGTAATTATATACTCTCCTTAAAATAAGAAAATAAAAAAGAAGAAATCTAAACCCAAAGAAGAAGAAATTTAAACCCATCAAAATTAAAAAGAAATTAAATAATGAATATTTAAATAAGGGATGTTTAAATACTCTATTCCACATCAAAAATGAGAAAAGAAAATTCTCACAGTTCAACAACTAAAAGCAAAGAATAAGCCAATAGTTGAAGAACAAATACTTTTAAGCGAAGGGACGGGATTAGTAGTCTCCCCTGAGCAAGGAACAATAGAAAATATTTCTATTAATACTTAATTAACTACTTTTTATTATATTTTTTTTCTTTTACAATTTACTTTATTTAATCTTTTATTTCAGTCAGTTGAAATGAGTAACATTTTTTCATCTTCTTTACAGGAAAAATTAAAAGCATTATCGTTAAGTGTTAGTAAAATTAAATTATCAGATGACCAAAAAAATGTAAGAGGAACAAGAGATACTGAAAATCAATCTTTAAAGAGAAGATATAAAGAAGAACAAAATGAAGACAAACAACACCAAAAAGAACTAGTACCTAATAATAATTTTAACTTAGAAGAAATAAAGAAACAATGTTCAACTATCCTTAAAAAAGAATCAATTAATATTTTCTTTGATTCTATAACTAATTCTTTCATAAAATTTAATGAAACCCTATTAGAAATAAATGAAGGAATCATTATTAATATTACAAATACTCATGTTCACTTTGGCTATCTAATTGAAAAAATCAAAGAAAAATATCAAATTAAATCATTACTTATTATTAAAGATAATAAGATTACTCAAATTGGTTTAAAAGATGATCAAACAGATTATATTATTTTATCATCTTCACAACCAATTCTCTACTCAACACAAACTAGTTCTCTTCTTTTAAATGGAATATCTTTTATTAACAAAAAGATGATAAAAACTTATTTAATAAAAGATGAATTAAAACCATCATTTACTTTAAAACAAGTTCTTATAATACAATAAAATTTAAGGAATTATTATCATTTTATTTATTCTTTTTTCCTAATACACATTATTACATTAATGAAAGAAATAAAAATAATAAAGTCATTAACCAAAAAATCAATAGCAACCATACCGAATTTAATAAAGTTCTTCGAATTTAAGTGGAGCAACAGTAGTGAACTTAATATCAGTACCTTTAATAAGTTCAGCTGGTCTTGGTTGTTTTGGAAGTCTTTTAGCTGGTAATGGAAGAAGTTCTTTTCCTTCTTTCTTCAATTGAATATTTTGCTTTCTAATAGCAGCAACAGCAGCTTTTCTTTCAAGGAAATCTTTTTGGCATCCAGATGGTCTGATATGTTCTGGGCTAATGTGAAGTCTTTTAACTACAATTCTGTTATTAACTTTCTTATTTACCATAACTCCAATAGCGTGTGGGTTAACATTCCAAACACGTCCAGTCTTTCCATGGAAAGCTTTATATGGAAGACCGTGTTGAATAGATGAATTACAGAGGATGGTTACATAATCACCAACTTTGTAGGTATGAAGAATGGTTGAAGTGTTTGAAATTCCATGTCCTCTGAATGGTCTCTTAAATAATTTTCTTGTTCTTCTATTTCTACCGTTAGACAATGGCATGGTTAACTAAACACCCAGTGACAGGGTTTTTTGAGTTCTCAGGGCTTCAATTTACTAGTTTATTAATAGTTTTTTATAGTTAATGTTTAGTTTCTTGGGTTTTTTTTATAATTTCAGTATTTACTATATTTTAATAATTAATTTATTTATTATTTATTATAAAAAAAGGAAAAAATTCATGTAATAAAAAAACAAAAAAGAAATCAATCATCTTCTGATTCATAAAAAGCATTAATAATGGATTGTTTATAATGACTAAACATAGCTGAAGAAATATAAAGAGTTTTGTTAAATCGAGTAATATAATTCTTACAACAAGTATCAAAATTAATTTCTCCATTAATATTTAATTCTAACTCTTTTGAATTAAGATGAGGTTGGTTATTAAGAAATGGTTGGTTATAAGAAGCAATGATATCATCAATTGGAAATTCTACTATAAGAACAATCAATACGGAAAGTATTTTCTATGAAATAAGAAATTATTAATAAATCCAAAATATAAATTAACACAAACTTTGAATAGTTGAACTAACATTAATACGAAAGTAAAATATAAATAATAAATAATTGATGTTGGTAATAAAAAGACTAACAAAGCAAAGAGAATTGTACCTAATAAGAAATTATCTTGTTCATAAACTAATGTATCAACTCTTTTACGTAAAGGATTGTATTTTGTTCCCATAAACAATCTAAACAAAGAAACTATTAGAGAGAGATGAGTTTGTTCTAATCCTCTAAAGAATACAGATAATAATTCTATTGGTAAAAAAATTAATACTAATGCATCATTAAAAAATGAAAGAATTCCTGTTATTCCTGTTATAAGAGATACAAATGTAATAATTTTAAAGATATAAAATGAAGGTAAAACAATAAATATTAAACAACCTAATAATTATTTCTTTCTTTTACTATTTAAAATTCTTTAACAAACTTCTCCAAAAATGAAGGAAGAATAACGATAGTGATGATAAGAAATAATTAAAATTGATATTAAATTTAAATCCACCAGGATTAGTTATAAACCATTTTACACTATGTTCTATAAAATTAATTAAACGAAATAACAATGGAAATATATATGAAAATGCATCTACTCTATATAATACCATAAATAAACTTATTCCTAATAAATGATCAACAATAACTGAAATCGTATTTTGCATATGTTTACTTAATTCTTTATTCTTAATATCTTCAAAAAACTGTTTTCTTGATTTAATAAAATAAATACTCCATTGACTAAGTTTGAGTTGGTTCCAAAGCATACCTTGGATATTAATTTCATTTTAGTTTCTTTTTTTCCTTTCATCTAATAACTCAACCCTCTTTTCTTAAAAAACACAATTTTCAAATAAAAAAATTACTAAAAATTTTATATATTTTGTGATAAAAAACATAATAATACATATTCTTTATAACATGAATTATATTTATTTTTGTTTTTTATAAGTGTTCATTAAAAAATGAAGACATCAAGAGAGTTAAACACTGTTAAAACAACAAGAGAATGACAATAAAAGAAGAGTGATAAATTTCCTTTATGAGAAATAAAAAACACGAAAAAAAGAATAAAAATATTAAAAGTCAAGAAAAAAAACTGAAAACTAAAAATTATATTATTTAATAAATGAGAATAATAGTATTCTTTGTTATGATTTGTGTACTTACTGAAGCACAATGTAATATGAGAATGGGCTGTATGAGAAATTACAGAAAACGCACATGTAAAAATGAAACAAAAAAATTAGAACGAATAGTTAAGAGGCTTGCATTTAAGAATAGAATTAATCGTAATAGAATTGCTACTATTGAATCAACATTTGTTTTACCAGAATTACCAATTGATAAAGCTAACGTTAACACAAATAAAACAAGTGTTTCTATAAAAAAAGAATTAACAAAAGAAGAAAAAGCAAAAATTGAATTAATAAAGAAAGACCAAACACCAAGTGAAGATAATATTTATGTTAAAGCAATGAACAGTTATCTTGCTACATTAAAACCTATTGTTAAAGAAAAAAAAATTATCAAACGGTATATTGTTCATACACCATGCACTGGGGATTTATGTAAATTCTTAAATAAGAAATTAAAAGTTCCTAAATGCAAAGATAAATTTAAGCCAAGTCAGTGTATGAAGTTAGGTCATAGTTATAAGGCAAAAGTTCAAACTGTGGCAAAACAAAAGTGTCTTCTTTAAAACATTTTTTTTAAATTTTCTATTGGTTTTATTTAATAAAATTTTTTTTAAATTTTCTATTGGTTTTATTTAATAAAATTTTTTACTTAAAAAAACTTAAAAATATTAATTTTATCATTTAATAGAATGCAACAGAAACAAGTAAGAGTTATTGAATTTTTTAGTGGTATTGGTGGGTTACGTTCAAGTTATGAACATTCTTCAATTAATATAAGTGCAACATTTATACCATTTGATATAAGTTTGAAAGTAGTACAATAAAAAGAATATAAAGATAATTACTTACAAAAATTATAGATGAAATTGCAAATAAAATATATTCAAAAAATTTTAAAGAAGAAGTACAAGTAGTTTGTAATGATTATTAAAAGGAATTAACAAATAATAAATTACTTATTTAATAGAAAAATTTAGATAGTATTTCAATAAAACAAATAGAATCTCTAAATTGTAATACTTGGTTTATGAGTCCACCTTGTCAACCATATAATACTTCTATAATGTCTAAACACAAAGACATTAATGATCCAAGAGCAAAAAGTGTATTACATTTATATCGTGACATTCTTCCATTTTTAATAAATAAACCAACACATATTTTTATTGAAAATGTTCCTTTATTTAAAGAGTCACTTGTTTTTAAAGAGATTTATAATATTCTTATTAAAAACCAATATTATATTAAAGATATTATTTGTTCTCCTATTGATATTGGAATTCCAAATAGTAGAACTCGTTATTATGTTATGGCACGATTAACTCCTTTTAAAAATGAAATTCAGTTACATCAAGAAGAAGAGTCAATGATATCAAATTATTTAGATGATAATGTTAATGAGTCTTATTATATTCCTTCTGACTTAATTCTAAAGAAAGGAATGTTATTTGGTTTGTTTTTTAATGTACTTTAAATAAAAATAATGAAAGTAGAAATTTAATTAAAAAGATATTGTTGGTAAAGATGATAAAAGAACTTGTTGCTTTACTAAGTCATACACTAAAATTGTTGAAGGAACTGGTTCTATTTATTGTCCAATAGAATCTCATTTTATTCCAGTCAAAAAAGCTGAAAATTTACTTAATAAAAATTTAAGATATTTTACTCCAAATGAAATAAAAAAAATTCATGGATTTTCTTCGGAATTTACAACTCAAGTTGATGGAATAACTGATAAACAGCAATACCAATGTCTTGGTAATAGCGTCTCTTGTTTCGTAATTGCACAATTAATGGAATATTTATTCAGTGATATAAAAGAATAAATTATCTTTTATCTTAAATTTTGAATTGGATTAATTTATTTCTAAAATTAAATTGGAAATTGTTTGTTTCAATTTGGATGTATTAAATAAAAATAATTTAAAAGTCCAAGACATCGAAGACTAATGATTTTCATAATTTCAAAAAAGCAAAAATGATGAGAAAAGAAAAAAGCCCTGGAGTTCCAACCAGGATGAATACCCATGATGACAAATCTAATCTTCTCACTGATTTGCTTTATTTTTTTATTACACGATAATAAAAAAATAATAACAAATAAATAGAAAATAAAGAAATTTTTTATTAAAGAAGATCAATGTAATTACGTACTGACATATATGACTGGGTATAAAGCATATTAGAGAAATGAAGAATTTTATTTATTGGAACAGGTTTTAAAGATTTTAAATCTGATTCAAGAGAAGTAGAATGAAGAAGTTCTGAATGATAAGAAACTACTAAAGCACTAACAACATATAAACAAAAAGAAGGATGAGTTGCAATTAAATAATCCATCAACTTTAAAGAATCATCTAAAGAATAAAGGGTTAAACAATAACTTTGTAACCAAGGTTCTACCACATCAATATATTGAACAATATGAACACAAAGATCCATATCTACAATGGATAAAATACTGATTAGAGCATATTTCCAAGCTTTTTTATTTGAATAATAAATAGATTGTTTTGATAAAAATGCAATACAACAATAAAATGTATTTAATTCATTTGTTATAGATAAAAATACATTTATTAAATGTATAATTGTATTAATATTGTACCATTGTTGATTTCTTTTATCAAACCAATTAACAATTGCATTACTAATTTTTTGAACTATTTTATTTTGGGTTAATTCTATTATCGTTTGATTTAATCTAGATAAATTACAATATTGAATATATTCATCAGTATTTAATGGTTTTCTTTTTAATAATATTGCCCATACTTTTTCTCTTAATTCTTTTTCTTCTTCTTTAAATCCTTCTACTAAAACAGATTTTCTTAATTCAAAGAAGTTTCCTATTTTATTTTTAAATACTGAATTTATACTATCTTCATGATAATCAATTTCAATATTTTTTAATGTCTTTAACTGTTTTATACTTTTTGATTTCTCATCTTCTTTTTTTTCTTCTTCTTCAAACGCAGAATCCCAATCGCTTCCTATATCTAAAAATTCATTAGAAATATTTGGCTTTATTGGTTCTGGTGATCCGACATTAAATTCACTAATATCATTAAGTTCATCTAAATTAAAATCATTGTCATATGTTGTAATACTCATTTAATATTATTTTCCATTTTTTTAGTTCTTTTCATTAAAAATTATTTTTTATTTATTTCTTTTTTTTTTTTTAATAACATGATTTTAAAATAACTATATTTTTTAATTAAATTTACTATTAATTTAGTATTAATGCAAAATTCTTTATTAATTGAATTGAAGATTAATTATTTCTGTTCTTAAACGTTTATTCTCTTCTATTACTTCTTTAAATGCATTTAATAATTGGTTTTTACTTCTTCCTATTATTTCACAAGATTTTTTAATTCTTTCAAATGGAGGGACTTGAATTTCTCTATTAGGACGAAGGATATTAATTGTAGTAAAATCAAAAGGATTAGGATGCATTTTAGATACATTTAAGGCTTCAATAAAATCGGTTTCTTTCCATCCAATATTTGATGCTTGAAGATTTTCAATTAAACAAAAGACAGATTCTATTGAAGTAATGTAATAAGTTTGTTCGTCAAAAGGAATATTCATAAAAGCTTTAATATAATCAATATTTGAAGCAAAAAATGGGATGTTTGCTTTAATAAGAACATAAACTAATGAAGGAAAGAATACATCAGCAGATACAGGACTACATTTTGGTAATGTTTTATAAATTATTAATTGAAGAAATTTTAATGAAGTTATAAGAATAACAGCTTTTTGATGAGGATTTTTATAACTATTAATTCTTCTAAGTTGTTGAATAGTAATATCAATTCCATATTTTCCTAATGGACAATCTAAAAAATTAATTTCTAAATCTTTAAATTGAATAAATTGTAAAGCAAGAATTCTCCAATCTAAATCTCTATCTTTTTCACATGATTTTTGTATAACTTCAGTTGTTTTTTCAATTAATGGAGGCCAAATATCATAAAATATTTGATGAGTAATAATTCCTTCAAAAGTTCTTCGAATATGATCTAAATTAATTCGATTTTGATATTCTTTAGGAATTTTATTCATTATACCATTTATTACTTTTCTTATAATAACACCTTGTTCTTCAATTGACTTATTATTAATCATTCCACTAAGGCTTTGTAATACTAATTGAATATAATTTTTAATTTCATTAAATAATTTATTTTCTTCTAATTCTTCAGTAAATTGTAATGATTTATCTTCATAAACTGTATAATACATCCAATCTTTAATATCTAAATTTAATTTATCTTCTTTACATTGAATTATTCTCATATTATTCCATTTAAATCCATTTAAATTATCAAATTTTATTCCCCAAGTACACCCTTCAATATTAAATGGTCTTGATATCTTTAATACAGGTAAATCTCCTAATGGAGTAACGACAATACCATTTCCGATAATAGAAACTGTATCTTCTATTCCTAAACTATATGAATCTTCTTCACTAATAATTTCTGAAGGTAAATTAATATCCATATTAAATGGAAATTGTTTAAATGGATCAACACACATTTTCCATGGATATGTTTTTGAATTGTGTGGTTGAAAATAAATATCTATTTTATCTGTTATTCTAAGATAATTTCCATTTAATGTAATACCTCGTTGTGAGGCTGGATGTCTTCTAATAAGGTGTGTTAAATAAAATTCTATTGATGGGTAGATTGTATGTGGTAAAAGTAATGTGCATCCATATTTTAATGCTGGAAGAAGCATTTCTTTAAATAATGGAACATTGCAATACATTTCATATAGTCCTGATGGTTTTTGGTCTAACAAAGCTCTTCCACCATGACAATTAATTGTAGTTTCAATAATATTATACATTAATTGTTTAGGTAATGGTTGAGTTATTTCTTCAATATCTTCTTTCCATGATGTATCTCGTTTATATGTTTTTTTCGTTGACTCTGGCTCTTGTGAAGTTATCGTAATAGAAGAAGAAAGTGGTTGTGAATGATGTTTTAGTTTACTCAGTGTTTTTCTCATAAATAACTAATTTATTAAAAGAACTTAAAAACTTCTTTTTTAAATTTAGTTTTTTCTTTTGTTATTTATTGAAAACAATTCTGATATTTTACTTACAATAGAATCTTCTTTGTATAAATTAATTGAATTAAATTTTTTAAAAGAACTCAAAAATTTAAAAGAAAATAGAATTATGTTTTTATAAGTTAATTTTTTCTTAACATAGATTTAAGTATTTATTAATTTTTTTTTTGTTATTTATATCTTGTTAAAATTTAAATAAAGAAAAAAACAAAAGAAAATTAAAGAAAGAAATTAAATGAAAAAACAAATACAAGAAAAATTAGTATAAAATTAATAGATAATAATAAAACAGTGTTAATGAAGGATTAATTTTCTAGAAAAAAGATGAGAATTTGATTGAAAATAATGATTAAAAAAATCTTTTCATTAAAAAGATAACAAACTTACTTCATTCTGTTTTCGTTCTATCATTTGTTTTCTCTTTAAAGCCATTTCTTCAATTAATGAATTCCATTCTCCTATAGGACAAGATTTAGTTAATGCAGGTTGTTGTTGTTCTTTCATAGTTTTAGATTTAAGAGATTTTGATGGTAATAAAGGTTTCCCTTTTATTTCATTATCCAAAACATCGTCTGTAGTTGTTGAGATATTAATAATTTTCTTTTTATGCATTTTCTTTGTTGAAGAATTTGCACAAACTTTATTTACAAGTTGTTGTGGACGAGGAGGAGGTAGTGGTGGAACATTTAAAGAAACATCAGATTTAATTTTTGATTGGTTTATTCTAGAGGAAGTATTATTTACAGTTATTTCAATAGGAGGAGAAATTGCTTTAACAGAATCAGTATTTTCAATAAATTCATGTTTTTCTTTACCAGAAATTAATGTGGCTCTTCTTTTTTTCGTTAAATTTACATTATTTTTATGTGACATAGTATAAATAACTTTTTGAGTATTAAACACGTATTTAAAATGTTCAATAAGAGTTTGTATAGCCATTGTACAATATCCTGTTTCTGTAATATCTGCTTTAGAATCATAAAGAATACAAGGAGCTAAACAAATTGCTAAATTATTTGGAGTCATTAAACTTGGTCCATTAGCAATTTTAACTGCTAATTCAATAAAATAATGAAGAACAGTTGATGCAATAGGAAGTTCACTTAATATACTTTTCATTTTACATAAATAAATCATTAATGGAGTAGATTCTTCTTGCATTGTATTAATATGAGGATTTTCATTCATTTGAATATAAACCGGTTTTAGTGTTTGTATATTGTCAACCATTTGTTGATCATATTCACGAGTCGCTTCAATTATTTCTTTATATGCATATGATGGAAATAATGGTTCTGGAAGGTCTCTCATAAACTTTTTTAATGTAGCTGCAATAACAATACTATTCTTTTCTTCATACTCAATTAATAAAGGGTACTTTGCATAAAGTGCTACAGTATCAGCTCTTCCTGCAAGTCTAAATATTCCAGTTGAAGAATAACCGATTGTATAAAGGAAATAAAAGATTTTATGTATTTGAAATGGTAATTCATATAAAGATAAACCTTCATTTTCTATTAATGTTTGTAATGATTGATTCGAGATAGGAACGGTTGCCTGTTTAATTTTATTTTTAAGGTTATAAGTTAATTGAGGAACAGTGAATTCTTTCATTGAACGTAATTCATCAACTGTATATTTTTCGATTGCAGTTAATCTATTTAAATCAATAGATATATTGATTGATATTGAATAAATATCAATAAGAGTAGTTTCCATAAATTCATAAGCTTGTATACTACATAAAGCACATGCATCAATATTCTTTTTTGTTCCAAAATCAATCATTGTTTTTTTTATTTGATTTATTAATGGAAATATACTTTTTTCTGCAACTTTTAATAATTCAGTTGCACTTGTAAAAGTACAACACACATCCATTAAAGTTCCTTTAAATGCTTTTAATTTATTATTTGCATTACGAATTATATCACTAATAAATCCTTCTGGATTTATTTGTGTTAATTGATCAAAAATATTAATTGTATCTGCTAATGCATTTGATAATGAATCAGTTATTTGGTTAATTTGATTAATACTTTTATTTAAATTTTGTAATAGTTTTTTTTGATTATTTAATCCTATAAACTTATCAATCATTTTCTTAATAAATATTAATAACTTTTTTAACTATAAAACAAACGAGGCTCAGTTTTACTATACCATTCTTGTAAATCTTCTGGTTCATTACATTCAATTCTTTTCATTTGAAAATATCCTTATTTAAAGATCTCTTCTTTTTTGTTTTGTTTTTTTTCTGTAATTGTTCTATAAAAATTGCTATCAAAAAGCGTTTTAACTGAATTTTGAACATCCACAGAACTACTTTTTTCGTTTTTTTTTTAAAAAAATCCTTTAAAAACCAAAATTTTTTCATTCAAAAAAATTTTCAGTTGTTTATATTTTAATGGAATGAAGTAACTAAACTCTTGGAACTAATAATATTTTTTTTTATTTTATTGTCAATTTTTCATAAACTATCCTTTTTTTTTTAATCTCAGAATTTAATTTGTCAAAAAAAAAAAAGAATTTGTAGAAAAAAAATTTTTTATATCACTCTATTCATCAACAAATAAAAAGTAGTTAATTAAGTATTAATAGAAATATCTTCTATTGTTCCTTGCTCAGGGGAGACTACTAATCCCGTCCCTTCGCTTAAAAGTATTTGTTCTTCAACTATTAGCTTATTCTTTGCTTTTAGTTGTTGAACGGTGAGAATTTTCTTTTCTCATTTTTGATGTGGAATAGAGTATTTAAACATCCCTTATTTAAATATTCATTATTTAATTTCTTTTTAATTTTGATGGGTTTAAATTTCTTCTTCTTTGGGTTTAGATTTCTTCTTTTTTATTTTCTTATTTTAAGGAGAGTATATAATTACTAGTGTATTGCTTTGGGCTAATATTCTTTTAGCCTCATCCACTTGACCCTTTTCTTTTGATAATCTTTCTTATATTATCAATTATACTTGTATTCTAACAAGTAATAATAACATCTTTATAAATACCCATTCGTTTATTGTCAATGATATTCTGTCATTGTACATAATAAACACTGCTATTCTTGCAGTACCGGGTAAGATGTTTTTCTAACCAAACACAACGTCATAACCAGTCCATAACTGGGGGAATCGAAGGATGGAAATATTTTAGGGATCTGTGTGGTGTCTCTGACATGCTACCTTCGAATCCCTATTCATCAACAAATTAATATATAAATTAACTTTTATCTTATGACATAAAAACGTTAAACCTTAATCAACTCTTTATCACTTAATTTTTTTTGAAATTATTAATACAAAATCTTTTCTTAAATAATATTTTGAATTGAAAAACCTAGAAATTATATAAATTGATTCTTGTTTGTTTTCTTTTAAAATAATTATTGTTTATTTCTAACACATTAGTTACTATTGGTTTCATAAAATATAATTAAATTTAATGATTTTTATAATTTGTTATTAATATAACTTAAAGAATTTATAACTTTTCTTTTTATACTATGCACAACATTCTCATCTTCTTTTCAAAGAGAAAAACATCACACACTTGGTAAACGATACCTTTTAAAACTCAGTTATGGATTGTATTTCATTTTGCAGAATTATTTTATTTGAAATTCATTAATGGTATTCTTCTTGTACATCCTACCATTAATATGATTGGTATTGATTAGAGGTGTTGTACAAAAATATAGAAAATGTCTTTTTAGTGCTAGAGGAAATCGTGACTTATCAAGAATGAAGAATAAAATAAAAATATAATATTTGTTGTACTCTTGTATAATGAAAAAAAAGACAGATTAAACTTTGTATATTATCTAGAATGTGATAAGGTATAGGTTAGTCTATTGTTCATAGATGAATTTATTATAAAAAAGGATGTTTATACCCACAAAAATACATATAACAAATTATCAAAATTGAGAATAAGTTTAATTTTTCATATGAGAAAAATTTATTAGAAGTGTGTGTTTACTTACAAAACAGTAAATACTAAAATGGTATATATAATAATGTCTTTTTGTTAGTACATATAATATTTATTTAGATAAACTTCATTTAATTTTAACAAAATGATGAGTATGATAAATGAATAATTAAGAAAATAAGAAATTAAATTTGATATGATATTCATTAAGTAAAATAGATTTTAAGAATTAATAAATAAGATAAAATATTGTATAAAGAAGTAGAAATAATTTAAAATATTCAACAAAGAATTGATGATATTAATAAATATATTGTTATTAAGATGTATTAAAAATGAAAAATTGAAATAAAATCAGATGAAACATATTTGAAAGTATTAAAAATTAAGAATTAATATTGATATAATTGATGAAACAGAAAGAAGAAAATGAATAATAGAAATAAGAATAAATAAATAGAAATAATGAAAAATAAAATGAAGAAGATAAAAATGAAACAAAATCAATAAAATAAAAGATGAAATGATCAATAAAATTATTCATAATAAGAAATAAATATAGAAAATCAAATTAAAACATTAGAAGAAAAAATTAAAAGAATAAAGAATGAAAACAAAATTAAAAAATAATAAAAATAAAAAGAATGGAAAATATAATATAATCTAATATATATGAAGAAAGAAAAAGATAACCAAAAATACACAACATATAATAATAATGAAATAAATAAAAGAATAAACAAACCAAAAAGTATTCGATTTACTATTTGAATCATAAATTGATAATTGAATATTAATACAACATAATTGAACAAAAATAAGAAATAAAGAACAACTAATAATAAAAATACAAATAAATTTTGAATTCTTAATTCTAAAATTAATTATTTTTCTTTTTATATAAATTTTTTTTCTTTTTTATTTATCATTTTATTATTTTATTTATAATATGAATATAAATGAGTGATGTTAATATAACAAAAATAAGAATAAATCAAAATAATATAAATAAGATAAGACAAAATAAATTATTATTTTATATTTCTTTCTTATTCTAAAAAAACACAATAGCATAGATAGAAGTAATGTAATAATTGCGAGGAATAGATAATTTGTAAAGGTATAGTTTTATTATTATAAGTGAAATAAAACCTTTTAACTTTTTTAACATATTTTATTTTTAAGTTCAGGAATTATAAAAATAAAAATAAGAGTTTATCCATTATTGATTGTTATTACTATTTAATTACTTTATATCTTTATTTATTTGTGAATATTAGATATAGCCACACCAAAAATAATTTTATTTAATATATTTCTTTATGAATATTGGTTATTTAGAAATAGAATGTATTGGTTAATCAAATATTTTACAATCTACAACAAATTAATGCAAAATATAAATAAAAATCATTATTCTTTTGATTGGATTAATAATAATTCTTTGCTAACAACTACACATCAGGCAAATATATTTTTATATATTTTACCACTTTAATTAATTTCTGTTTTATCAAGAATAAATAATAATTTAGATTGAACGTTATTACAAAGTGATAATAAATATAATTATTAACAATTCAATGTATTTAATATCAATTCTTTACAATTGTCAGATTTTAATATTACAGTATATAAAATAAGAAATGAACTTAAATAATAATCATTTCATTTATTATTATTTAATATCTAATAAATCATTTTATTAATTGTTTATTAATTAGTGATTTAGAACTAACACATATATTTATTAAACTTATTAAAGTAACTTTTACTTATTTTTTTCTTCCCACTGAGTTATTTATTTTCTTCTTCTTTAATATTATTCAACGTACTTTAATGAGTTACATTAAATATTAATGATAGTTAAATCAATATCTAATTCATTCATCAGGTAATACATTTGTTCTTTTTTATTTTTAATTAAACATAATGTTTGGTTATTCATTATAAAATTAAATAATCATTAATGAATAAATAAATAAATAAATAGAGAACAACTAATTGAATTGTAATATAATTGAATTATAAATCCAGTTAATTTATTTGTAAAAATTATGATTATTAAATTGATAAATAATCTAAAATTGATAAATAAATAATAAATTAATATAAAACAAAATGTAAAATATTTCATATTCAACAGATAAAATCAATGAGAAACAAGAGAATAAATTATAATAATCAATTAAAATTCTATTTTGGATTAAATTTGATTTATTATTGTAGTTTTATTTATTGTTTTATTCGTTATCATCATTCAAATACTCTGTTGGTATTCTTTTATTATGTTTTAGTATTTCTTCAAATGAACATTCATAAAAAAAAGATTTTCAGAGTGATGTAATTGTTGATGAAATATTAAATGATTTTAATATGCAGAACAACAAAACAATAACTTCCTATTTCACCAAATGATGTTTGAAGTAACTGAAACTAATTGTGAACATTCTTCAAAAGAATTTCTTCCTACCTATTAACACATGCATGTAGATTAATTTATTTTAATGATTTATAGTGTTGAAAATAATAATACTATATTTTAGTGACTATGTTGATATACTAAATTTAATAATACGCTTCTTTATATTTCTTTTCAATTAACCCTTTTAAATTATCAATACTAATAGATAATAAGCTTTTTCCATTCACAAAAATTCAATCATTACTAACAAATTAAACATCTTCAATATTTATATTTGTTAAAGATAAACAACAAATAAAACAATAATGTCCTACTTTACTAGTCTTTATAGAGATAGCAATCGTGTTAATGTTCTGCATTATTCAAAACAAAACTATTTAACTTAGTAATTGATCATCGAATAATAAAGTCATTAATATATTTCTTTTCAATATTCTTTCCATTTATCATTGTAAAAAAATAGTAAATCAACACTTATTAACACTATTTCATTAATAAATATTCTTTTTTTTTAAATGAGTTTTATATTATCTATTCATACTTGTTAAAGAAGTGCATCTATAAAAATATTCATATCCTATTTCACTAATTGTTGATTGAATGACATTTAATTTTAAATCTAAACATCTCTCAAGACAATAAAATCTACATGTTTTAACTTCTAGTGGCATTGTATTTCAATATTTCTCTCCTTCTTCTTTTATACATATTATTTTTACAGGAACTTCTTTTTTTTCTTTCTTTTGTAATGTCTTGAATAACTAACTTTATACCATATTAACAACTTAATTATTCTTCTATATTTACATACTTCATCTTTATTATAAATATGAAGTGTTTTATGATTAGGAAATAATCGTCTTGAAATTCATTTAAATGAACTGGACTAAAATGAAACCGTTCTCTATTTCCTCTAAATCTTTTAACTCCAATTAATAAATTAATAAAATTATTAATATCATTAAAATATATTGATGTTATCATTTTTTCATTATGTCATAATTTTCTTGGATCTCCCTTGTAACTTTTTTTGTTGGTTTTCTCATTTTCTTTTTTTATTTAAATTTAAACATGAAAAATATTCAAGAATTTTATTTGATCTTCTTCTATTTTATTCATCACGTATTGTTATAGAGTAATATGGAACATTATCTTAATGTAAAAGTAAACAGAAAAATAAATAAAAAAGGACAATTAATATATTCCACAATTGGATTTTATGATATTGAGAAGTGATTATTTCAGTGAATTCAATATGCTCTATTTCTATCATAGAGTTTATTTCTAACATATGAAAATTAAAATATTCTTCTTTTAGTGTGTTTCCAGAGTTGAATGTGTAAAACATTAAATCATTCTTGTTTTTAATGATTATTGTTCGTAGTATTTGTTGAATATGTTTGTGATTTATTGCCTTCAACCTTCTTACTGATTGGTTAGTATCAACTTATTGATAATATTACAGGTATTATTTCTACATATATTATTTCTCTATTTTGTCTTAATTTCTCTTGTAATTCTTTGTATTTATTTTGTAAATATAATTTAATTCAATATTTCTATCTTGGCATATAACAACATCATTAATATATCATTTTTTATCCTTCATGTTTTTGATAATATATCTGGTCTTCTAACATTAAAAAGATTGGTCATAACTAATAATTCATTAATGTAAGTTATAACCATTTCATCATTATTAAATACTTAAGAGAAGTATTAAAATCTATTTCATCAAGTTCATTAAAAATATGTAAATAATATGTGTTTATATATTTGATTACACCCATCCATGTTTTGATAATTGATTCTATGGCTAATAGATAGAATAGTGTTAGGATAATGTTTACAATATTTTAATATATCAATAAAAAGTATTTTAATTTAATACCTACTGTCATAGTTACTCCTTCTTGCATCTTTACTACTTGGAGGAATGTATTTCTTTTTATATTTAATGACCCCATATGGTTAATGCTAATTTCATATTATTAAATATACAATTTACATTTCTTATATATTCAACTCATTTCTTTTAATTCATTTTAGGTACTTTTTTCACTTAACTCGTTTATTACTCATTCAAGTATTTTCTGTACATAATATTTTTCTTGCATTTAATTATATTATATTCACTCATTGAAATTAATATTCTTACCAAATGTTCTCTTTATTCTTTTAATTATTCTTTAAGTTTTTTCATTATTAATTTTATATTTCTATATTTCATTTATTTATTTTGATATTGTTTATATACTCTTTGTGTTTTATTATGACAACATGTATTGTTAGTATTAAAGCTATTGTTAAAGTATTAAAGATGATGAAAATGAATGAATGATGAATAAACTAACAAGTGGGGATTGTTGTAGTTGTTATAATAAAAATAATTATAATTTAATCCATTCAAATCATTTTATTTTCATTCTTTCTTTTTTTAACTTTTTTTATTATTTTTTTATTTCTCTTTCTTTTGTTTTTCTTTTTCACTTTTTTTAATTCATATTTATACGTAAATACTCAATAGACTAATAAAACAACTCAAAATAGCAACAATATATAAATAAGATTATTTCGTTATCTGATGATATAATAATTAACGAGATCTATTAGAAGTGAAGGTGATCTGATTATTTTTAAATAAAAGAATAAATATTATGATTTATTTTTTTACTTAACTCACTAATAGATTCGAAGGTAGCACGTCAGAGACACCACACACAACACTAAAATATTTCCATCCTTCGATTCCCCCAGTTATGGACTGGTTATGACGTTGCGTTTGGTTAGAAAAACATCTTACCCAATACTGCAAGAATAGCAGTGTTTATTATGTACAATGACAGAATATCATTGACAATAAACGAATGGGTATTTATAAAGATGTTATTATTACTTGTTAGAATACAAGTATTATTTGATAATATAAGAAAGATTATCAAAAGAAAAGGGTCAAGTGGATGAGGCTAAAAGAATATTAGCCCAAAGCAATACACTAGTAATTATATATTCTCCTTAAAATAAGAAAATAAAGAAGAAGAAATTTAAACCTATCGAAATTAAAAAGAAACTCAAGCCCATCAAAATTAAAAAAGAAATTTAATACGCATCGAAATTAAAAAGAAATTAAATAATGAATATTTAAATAAGGGATGTTTAAAATACTCTATCTCACATCAAAAATGAGAAAAGAAAATTCTCACATTTCAACAACTAGAAGCAAAGAATAAGCCAATAGTTGAAGAACAAATACATTTAAAGCGAAGGGACGGGATTAGTCTCCCCTGAGCAAGGAACAATAGACACAAGTTCTATTAATACTTAATTAACTACTTTTTACTTAACTCACTAATTCAGAAATTGGATAAAATGAGATTAAAAAGAAGAAAATATTTTTATAAAAGAGAATAAAGGAGAAAGGAAAAATTGTTTAATGAGAATGAATACTTTTTAGAGAGTACAACACAATTTTTAAATTAGACAATAGCAAGTGTTATTTTAGAGTGATCAATTTCAATAAAAATAAGAAAGTATTCATAATACTTATAATAAAGGTCTTGTAAGACTAAAAAGAACCTTTACAACCAGTAACTTTATTTAAACAGAAAAAATTTCATTATCAAAGTTATTAGCAAAGTTATACAATCATAGTATGATTTTTTATTTAATAGAAGTCTTTTTCTTTTAAGTTTTTTTGTATATTTGTGTATTCAAGTTATATTAAAGAGGAATTGGTCACTTATAAATTGGTAAATTATGATTACACAAAACTTGAAAGATTATTTATTGAGAAGTTTGTGAGTTGAAAAAAGAAAAGAAAAATGATGATTTGAATGAACGAAAATTAAAAAGAAAAATGAAACACCAAAATTCTTTTTAAAGACTAAAATATCAATTTTCAGTTCATGAGCGAGCCAATAGTATTCAAGAGCATTTCTATTCTCACTAATAAAAAATTTAAAGAAGTCTCAATTGAAGAGCCTATTACAACACCCTTTGGAAGTATTTTAATGATTAATGAGAAAAAAGTAATTGAATTACCACGAACTATTATGACATTTAATATAAATATGTCACTTATTCCTAAAGAGATGAACATAAGTAAAGAACAACTTTCATTGGCATTTGAAATTATTTATGATAAAGAATATCTCTTTTTTTGTAAAACAAAAGAAGAATTTAGACATTGGGCTAAAATTATAGGACTTGGATGTAAAACGTATGGTGTTTTTTGTTTTCCTCTTGAAGCTGTTGTTAAAAAATCACGATGGAGAGTACCTAATATTATTTATCGATGTATTGAATTTCTTAAAAATCATGATGCTATTAATGTAGAAGGTATTTTTCGAATGAATGGTCGTGTTGGTAGAATAGAAGAAATGAAAAAAATGGCAGATGATGATGAAGATATTCATTTTGATGAAAAGGATACATGTTATCTTGCTACTTCATTATTAAAAGCATATTTAAGAAGTATGGTTGAACCATTAATACCTTATAAATATTTTGAATATTATGCACAATTACCTGAAGGAAATGTTGACAGTAAAAAATTTATTAATTCTTTGACTGAATCACATCAAGACACTTTATGGTATATTGGAGAATTTTTAATGGAAGTTGTAAAGAACAAAGAAATTAATAAAATGGATGAAACAAATCTTGCAACATGTTTTGGTCTTGTATTCTGTGATAATCCTCCATCATTAGGTTTAACTGAACTTGAATTTACCAAGAAAGCAATTCAATCTTTTGAATATTTATTACGTAATTTCAAATATGCATTTAGTGATGTTAAAAAAAGGAATGTAGCACAAGGAATTGAACCACCTCAATATCCTGCTTTTCAGCCATTAGTTCATCTTCCTTTTGATATTTTAATTGAACAAATCAAAATGGAACTTAGAGACATTAAAAAATCTCGAAGAATGTCAGCTACTTATTTAACTGATAAAAGTACTAGAAGAAAGAAATTTGGTGGTTCACTATCTATCGCTTCAACTACCTCTGCTGTTAGAAAAGAATATTTAAAGACAAAATATAAAAAAAATAACGGCTCTTTTGCTGATTTAAGTCTTTCACCAAGTTTAGAAACAACAGACCATCCTAGGTCTTCCCGGTTTAGTATTTCTGGTTCTTCTTCAAGGTCTAAAACAATTCAAGTTTCTTCTCTTTCAAAACAAACTCCTTCTAATATAAATCAACCTAAATTCTCATCTGTTGAACATTCTTCCTTTATATCTTCTCATTATTTACCAAAACCACCACCCAAAGACAGTGTGACTCCAGAACCACCTCTACTTCATAACTCTCTTAAAAATACTGAATTGCCACATTAAATCTTTATTTTTCTTATTTGTTAATTCACGTCCCTTCATTATGTATTCTTTTTTTTAATTTTCTTTTCAAAACTTTTGATAACATTCCAAATTATTGGGGTTATTAAATAATTGACATTTGATTCAGTGAGTTGAATGTTTTTTTTTTGTATTTGCTTTTAGGTTCCTTATATAGGAACATTATCCTTGTTAAAAAGAGTTCAGAAGGTAGAAGATTTCTTATTGTTAGTGTGGTGTATCCTTTATTTTCATTTTCTCTATTACAATAAATAATATCTTTTTAATATGTATCTATTTTTATTTTTATAATTCTTATGATAATATGTTCTGTGGTTTAATTTTCTGTTCTGTTGATAACTTCTGTGTTAATTATTTGTTTCTTCAACTTATCTCCTTTTATTTACGACTTATTTTTTTTTTAAATAAGAATAAATATGATTATACACTGTTAAAATATTTTATTTAATAAGTTAACAATTATTTTACATACCTTATTTAACAACAATATTTTTAAGTTAATTTGTCCCATTATTAAAGTATACTTTTAAATTTTACAGTTAGCAAAATAAATATATTCTTTCCAAAAATAAATATGAACAGATTTTAACTCAAAACACTATCTAAATATACTCATTATAATTTGTTTTTATTTGAACATACTCTAAAGCGATTACAACACTAATCAATGAATATATTTCGTAATAAATTAAAAGTTTTATCGTAATATTATTAATTTTTTCTATATATATTTGTATATACTTTGTTGAACATTATTATTTAATTAACTCATGTTATTTGTTTTTCAAATTCTTTCTTATTGAATATAGTCAGTCTTTTTAGTTATTAGTCATTAAACATTCATGATAATTAGTATATGTTGATAATATTTTTAGTATTTCTTTGGTTGGTAAGTTAAAAAAAAAATCATCAAATAATATACTCATGTATCAAAAAGAGTAAAATAAAGTTATCAACAGTTTTAAAAAAGTTCCTAAAATAATGTTTTAATTCTTTGTTAAAAATGAAGAAACCATAAATTAAAATTTCATTTCTATATTGTTATACTTTAAATGAAAACATACCTAATAAATTTCGTTTCATTCAATTACATTAATGTGTTTTGGTGTGAATTGTTCTGAGTATTGTTTTTAACATAGTAGTTTTATTATTCCTTTATATTCCAATGAATTTTGTATACAAAATGATTCTATTTTATCATTTTCTTTATAAACATAAATATTATTTCTATTCTAAATCTAAGCAGTCACCTGTTTGATTACATAAACAAAATCAACAATGTGATTGTTTAATATCAAATTTTATAATTCCTTTTATTCTTCATTTTGGTTTAATGAAAATAAAAAAGAAAAAAAATTTATATAAAAAGAAAAATAATTAATTTTAGAATTAAGAATTCAAAATTTATTTGTATTTTTATTATTAGTTGTTCTTTATTTCTTATTTTTGTTCAATTATGTTGTATTAATATTCAATTATCAATTTATGATTCAAATAGTAAATCGAATACTTTTTGGTTTGTTTATTCTTTTATTTATTTCATTATTATTATATGTTGTGTATTTTTGGTTATCTTTTTCTTTCTTCATATATATTAGATTATATTATATTTTCCATTCTTTTTATTTTTATTATTTTTTAATTTTGTTTTCATTCTTTATTCTTTTAATTTTTTCTTCTAATGTTTTAATTTGATTTTCTATATTTATTTCTTATTATGAATAATTTTATTGATCATTTCATCTTTTATTTTATTGATTTTGTTTCATTTTTATCTTCTTCATTTTATTTTTCATTATTTCTATTTATTTATTCTTATTTCTATTATTCATTTTCTTCTTTCTGTTTCATCAATTATATCAATATTAATTCTTAATTTTTAATACTTTCAAATATGTTTCATCTGATTTTATTTCAATTTTTCATTTTTAATACATCTTAATAACAATATATTTATTAATATCATCAATTCTTTGTTGAATATTTTAAATTATTTCTACTTCTTTATACAATATTTTATCTTATTTATTAATTCTTAAAATCTATTTTACTTAATGAATATCATATCAAATTTAATTTCTTATTTTCTTAATTATTCATTTATCATACTCATCATTTTGTTTATTATTTTATCATTTTATTAAATATCATTTCATTTTTATTATTTTAAAATAACAAGAATAAAATCAATAGAAATAGTGTTGTTTAACATAGATTATTTCTTTACTACTTCACTACTCCATTTCTTTTTTTCTTTCTTGCTTGATATTTATTTTACTATCTTGTTGTTTATTCTTATTTAATTATTATCTTCATTTTACTTCATTTTATATTATTGACCTCTTAAATTTATTTTATTTTAATTATATTTTGATAATAATTAAGTGATGATAACTATCTAATGAAACAATGAATAAATTCAAAGTGTATGTACTAAATTTTAGTTACGTTAAATTATTATTTTCTTATTTGAACTAATAATTTAAAATATTTACTAATTCTTATTAATATACTCTTATTACATCTAATTTCATTATCAAAATTATAATGATAATTTTTATCAATTAATATTGATATAACTTTCAATTATTGTTTATTATTTTATATATCAGATTATAGTACTATAATAAAATAAATATTTAATAATGAAATAAACTCTAAAAATATTTTGATATGACTAGTACCAATTAGTTAAATTTAGTAATAACAAAACACCTTGTATATACTAAAAAATAAGAATGAAATCCTTTTTGAATAAAGAAGAGAATGAAAGCAAAACATTTGTATTGAAAGAATTAAAGAAATAAATTTACTTCTTAAAAAAATATGGATGAGATAATCACTGAATGAGAGAATTATTTGATGAGTGTTTGAGTTATATTTATTTTTCTAAAAAAAGTTGTGTGTCTCTTAAGACATCTTACACAAAGAACTTGTAGTCTAATAAAACCTTTTTAAAATTAAATAAGAAAAAATTTAATTTACAATACACGAATCTAATTTTATACTCTTTTTACTTTTCTTAGTTTTTGAATGGAGAGTAGAAGAAGGAAGGAAATGGTATTTTGTCAAATCAATGAGTGGACAATTATTAAATGTACTTTGAGGGACTTCAAGAGAGGAAGAAAGAGAAAGAGAAGACAGTGATGTACAAGAAGCAAAACAAGAAGATCCAATTGATGTTACTGTTGAAGGGATAGATATAAAGACTAGAGAAGAACAACGATAAAAACAAAAGTCATGAAGTGAAAGGAGAGAAGAAGGAAGAGTAATTGTTTTAAGAGAGGTACAATATTCAAAACAATTTGAAGGCAGCAATAGTAATGACGAAGAAAATGTAATAGATTTTAACTGAACACAACTACAGAAAGAACGAACTCCAAGTGTTTTTATAGAGTTGTTTAACTGAATCATTTTTAAATTCCAACAGTCTTCAAAACATGAAGAGCCAATATGATGAAGTGAAGAAGGAAATTCAATAACAGATAATTTATTACAACCTTTAAATGTTCCTTCATCAAGACAATGTATTCCTAAAGGTATTTGAATAGATTTCAAACCACTACAATTACAAAAACAATATTTTCCGATAATATCAATAGGACCATTAAAAGAAATAGAAGACAATGATTTACACATTTTAAAAGCATAATCCCCTATTCTCCTAATATTTTCAGGAATAATAATTTCATTAAGAAAGATACATTTTTCAAAACAGTTATCAGGTATTGAAACAATTATTGAATTAAATGTGAATGATTTCAAAAAGTCACAAACCCTGAAACAACCTTTTGATAATTCTATAATTTGGGATGGAAGTTCAAATGAATGAAATTTGAAACATTCTGAGAAACAATTTTCTCCTAAAATTTTAACTTCTTTTGGAATTTGAATTCCTAATTTATTTACATCTTGTTGAGTATAAACTAATGGACTAAATGAATATGTTATTTGAGATGAATCATTAATAAGACACTGATATTGTAAATAAGAACAATGTACATAATGACGTTGTTGTATAAAAGGAATTAAATAATCATTTTGAGAATAAACAAATTGAGTTTCAATGTTTTTAAAAAGAGATTTGTTTTTTATTGTTAATTGAATAGGATTAAAATGAAATTTATCTAGTATTTCTTTAAACTTTTTACATACACAAATAATATTAATAAAATCAGATGAAAGCATGAAATATTTACTAACAATCATAATAGAATATCCATCAAGTTGTGAACGTTTGAGATAAAGAGTCATTTTGTTTTAAAGTTTATATTTTTGGGGTTATAATTCTTTTTTTTTCTATTAAAAGAAGTAAATGTAAATTCCTTTTTGCTTAAGCTATGTTAGTATCAGTTATAGTTAAGTCTTTTTTTTTAATGATTAGATTATTATATTCAATAATTTAATATCATAAAAAAGAATTTTATTAATAAAAATTACCTAAAGAATTAATAAATAAATAAGAAGGATAAATATAAATCAAAAAATCTAAAAAAAGTAGAATGTAAGTAAATAAGAAGTAAAAAATTCTATAATAAAATAAGAAACAAAGATATATATTACTTGTTTTTATAAATACGTGAACAATCAACGGTTCTTTCAATTTTATAAATTGGATCATAGAAACAGGATGAACATGGAATTTCCCTTTTATTAATTAATGATGTACAAGTAGGTTCTGAGTAATAGTTTGTTATAAATATATTATTTTCAACTGATTGATTGATATAATAACTAGTATCCTCTAAACGAACACAACCAGTTAATTGGTATTGATTAATTCCATAAGTTTTATTACATCCAAACTTTAAATTTGCAGTTAAACCATCAGGAAGAAAATCAGCATAAATAAAAGAAACAGACATTATATAATATCCTATATCTTCTAATCTTGAATTTCCAATGAAAACAGTACAATTAAGATCACTGTATAATTCACTTATCATTGTTTCTCTTCTAAAATAAGGTCTAAAACTTTGTTTTAAAGATTCAATGTAATAACAGTGTCCTTCATTAAGAACTTGAATAAAACTGTCATAAAATGTAATAAAGTACTTTGGTTGAACAAAAGGAAAAATTAAAAGACTAATAACCAAAAGATATTTCATTGGTATTAAAAATTAAAAGTTCTTCTATCAATTCTTTTGAAGATAAAATACTAACACAGAGAAAGTTTGGAATAATTAAATGATTTTTCTTAGAAATTTTTATTAAAAAATTTTCACAAGAAAAAACTGTTTTTTAAAGTATATATTTAATTATTAATTTAAACTGATTAAAACGTTATTATCGTAAAGAATATATACGTATTTACTTTAGCTTTGATCTACTTTTATTCCTAAGACTAATCCAATGGATATCTTTCAAAAAAAAAACTAGTAAAAGAGATTTTATGGGTTCATTAACTATAAATTAATTTTATTTCGACAGAATTAAAAAATCTAAATATATCGTTACATATCAAAATAACTGATTCTTACATAATTACGACAAACAATTCATATTTTTACATACATAATTCATTACTATTCATTTGTTATATCAGTATAACATCACTTTTTTTTTCATTATTTATTAAACTACTTATTTTAATATACGACTTAAAAGTAATAACAAAATATCAAACCAAAAAAAAAATTAAATAGGTTCTTTTGTAGTTCCTTAACAAAATGTTTGCAGCTCAAGGACTTTCTTCTGTGATAATTTCGAAGGTCCTCCTAAGTCATTAATTAAGTATGGCTCGTTACAGTTGAAAACAAGAAGTAATGACAACGATCAAGGTTGATAAAAACAAATTGAGAGAGAAAAGATTTTTGTATAACAAAAAAAAAAGAAAAAGAACTAAATGTTGAAAAATTGATGAATTTAATATTTTTATACTAAATTGAGTAACATCTACTTTTAGCCTTAATAATGAGTTCTTCCCATATAAAAAATATTTTAATTATTAGTTTAAAATTATTTTCACGGAGAAAATAAAACAATAAAATTGTTAATAGTTAGAGTTCTTTTAATAACTTTGTTTGTTTCAAACAACAAAATATATTATCAAAATAATTTTATTTTATCATTTTTTTTTACTTTTTCCTAATTGAATTGAATTTATTCAGTTATTTTTATTACTAGAGGAAATGCTTATGGTAATTAGAGAAATTAACTACTGACACTCTTTCTATAATATCACCCTTCAGATCTTTCTTTTTAAAGTTAAATTATTCGTTACTTTTTTTATGTCATTAACAAATAATATGTTTTTTTGATATTTACTTATAATAAAAAATTTAAGAACTCTAATGTCATTTAGACCCCCATACATAGTTATTATAATTATTTAATTAGTAATCATCTTGAAAGACTATTCTTTCTTTTTGAACATTACCTAAACAAAAAGAAATAAAAAAAATAAAAAGTAGTTAATTAAGTATTAATAGAACTTGTGTCTATTGTTCCTGCCTCAGCGGAGACTAATCTTGTCCCTGAGTCTTCGTCTTGTAGTTCAACATCATATGTTTGGTTGTGGTAGAAACACTGTTCCATGACGTCCATCATGTTTTTAATTACAAGGTTTTTAATTTCTTTAGTGATGTCAATTTCGATTTTTAATTGTTTGATTAATTTAATACTTTCCGCATTTACTAGCCCATTAATCGAAATTACTACTGGAATTATTTTGACATCTTTTAATTTCTCTATTTTCATTAGCCTATTTTTCAATTCCTTATACATATTTCTTTTCTTCCAATAGGCTCCATTAATATTATGATCTGCCACAATAGTCATATCAAATATTAGACCAGTTTTATTCTTTTTATCTAGTACATATATATCTGGTCTTTTATGATATAGTCCATCACTTTTTTGCATTATTTGTTTGTTCAATATCATATTGATGTCATTGTATTGGAACACTGTTTCATATGGGGGTTTCTTGTATTGTTTATTTCCTGTATATTTTCTTATTAACCCCTCCCATATGATGATGCCAATATTGTCATGTTTCTCCATCTGTGATTTTTTATGACCAATGCAAGATAGTAGAATGTGTTCTACTGTGGCTATCTTGTCTTTACAAAGTGGATAGTACTTCAATCTTTCATTTTTTAATATTTTCGCTTTCCTGTACCCACTAAATATTACTCCATCTTGCATTTTAGTTAATTGGAGAAATACATTTTTCTTTATATTGATGGACTTCCATGCATTTATTGTAGTAGTTTTATCTACAAATTTTGACTCGAACCATCTTCTAAAATGTCAACTTGTTTGATTTCAATTTTTTGATGTATTGGTGGTCATTAATTTATTTATTTTTATTACTACTTCTTTTTCTTTTTTATTTTCACTTCATTTATTATTTCTTCTATTTTCGTTTCTGGGATTTTATGACTTAGTGCTTTTTTAATTATATTCCATATTCCTTTCTTGGAATACCATCTATCTATTATGTTATTTCTTATTTCACTCTTGTACATTAGTACATTACTGTTCTGATTAATTCAATAACATATTCATCCATTAGGCTTATTAATCCTTCACCCATTTCATTTATATGACATATAGACGGTCTTTGGAGTTATAACAATGTATTTTGCCTTTCTTAAATATTTTCTTATCTCCAAATCCATTCTATCTATGTTACATTCCAATTTACTAGTGATGCTGAATATCTGAAGATGGGTATTACTTCAGTATTAATTCTTGTAATATAACTTCTATTACTACTTTCATCATTATCTTTTATTTGATGATTTTACAATTGAAGGTATCATTAATTTCAACTAATATCATACATTTAAATATTTATACAAATAATCTCTTTCAATTGTTGTGATGTTTTTATTTCAAAATAATATTTTATTAATGTTCTTTAATACTATTCCTGATTTCTTTTCTTTCATTTCTTTATTCAAATTATTATTTATTTAATTTATTTGTTGATTGTTCTCATTTATTCATTATTTTGTGTCATTATTCTCATTTCTTTATTATATAATGTATTTATATTATTGAACTTCTATTCACTGATTTGATAAATTATATTTATTTTGATGATGATAAAAATGATAATGAATCATAATGTAAAATTAATCATTTTAATATATCATTTATATTCATTATATTTATATCATATAATTATATTCATTTTATTCATCATATTTTATACATTATTTATGTTGATTCATTCTATATTAAATTATTTTAATATTTATATTACTTATTCATGATTTACTGATTCATATAATTTATTAATATCATAATATGAATCTATAGATTTGTATATTTATCTTATTTCTGATGATTTAATATATAATTATTAATTATTAATTATTTATCATCAAGAAATTATAATTTACATTATAATTAATTTTTATTAATTTTAAATGATTCACTATTCATGTTAATTCTATTATGAATCTTATCTTTTAATAATGATATAAATATTTTTCATAATTATATTTATACAATTGATATGATGTTAATTAATAACATTGTTCATATCACTTCATTTGTTGATTAATATTGTTCTTCAATTTACCATATTTAATTTGATGATTTCATTGAAATTTAACTATTTATTAAATATATTAATAATATATTATCTTGACATTGATATTTTCTTCAATTAATAAAATTATATAGTGTCAATGCATGATGATTTCTAGTTATTTATTTTCATCATAATTAAATTTAAATCATATAATATAATGATGATATTATCATAATTTCTGTATCTTTTATTCTAAATTATGATTTAATTTATTTTCATTTCTTTAACTTGATTGATGATAATATTAATATATTCATTATCAATATCAATAGTATTATTTTTCATATTAATATTTTTTATTATTGAATTACACTCTATTTTATATGATGGAGTTCAATTTCATTTTAATATATCTTTTAGTTGTTTCTTTTATTCTATGTGATATTTTAATATTATTAATGTATTCTTTATCATTATTTACATTATTATTTATTATTTTTATTATATTTTCTATTTGTTCCCATCTTAATTTCTTATTTAATTTCTTATTTAACCAATTAATTGCAAAACAATACAACACATCAATTAAAATTCTATTTGTTTGATTTATTGTGTTTTCTTCTCTTCTTGGTTATTATTATTATTATTATTATTTCTTATTCTTTATTTCCCTATATTTTTAATCCTTGTAGTTTCTTTCATATTCAATTTTGATGTTATAATGTTGTGTATTTATTATAACTTTCTGTTTTTATATTTCTTTGTTAAATTTATTTATCATGTTATTGTATTGGCATTATTTGATACTGTTCTTATTGTATATTATTTATCTTTTTCTACTTATTCTTATTGTTCTCTCGTCTTATTACTATTTAGTTGTTGATTTGATTTATCTCTAGTTTCTTCTTTCTTCTTATTATTATTATAATCATTCATTGATTTCAGATATTATCATATCTCATATTTCTCTATCATTTCTTATTTCTCATTCTTTTATTTTAATTTTAATTATCATCATTTATTTTTCATTTTCACTATTTCTTTGTAAGTTGATTGTTCTTTGGTTTCTATTTCATTTTCATTTCTATCATTATTATGTGATATTATCATTAATTATGATGAGATGTTTTGTTATTTTTTATTTTTATTATCTTTATTTTCTTGTTTTTATTATTGTTATTTAAAACAATAAAAATGAAATGATGTTTATTATAATAATAAATAAAATGAAGTGTTATAAAGTATATTTAAGTATTTAATCTTATTATTTTGATCTGATATTCATTAAATTAAAATGGAATCAGTGATGAATAATCATTTAATTAAAGAAGTAGTAGAAACACTTCCAAATATTCAACAAATGATTAATGATACTACTAAACAATATCAATATTATTTAGGAAGTATTAAAAATGAAATATTTGAGAAACAAGATAATGAAACATATGAACAAGCAATTAAAAGAGGAGAAGGAATATTTGATAGAATGGATGAAGTAGTTAGAAGAAGAAGATTAATAATAGAAAAAGGACAAGAAACAATTAATCAAATGGAAATAATTAAAAATAAAATGAACAAAATAATAGAAGAATGTAATAATGATTCAGAAACAGTTAATAAAGCAAAGAATGAAGTAATAGATAAAATCATTCACATGGAAGAAATGAATAAAGAAGATAAAATTAAGAAATTAGAAGAAGAAATTAACAATATTAAAACAATATTTATTAAGAACAAAGAAGAATGGAACACCCATTATAGTGATTATTTAGAAAAGAAGAAAAGAAAAGAAGAAGAAGAAAAAAGAGAAAGAAAGAAAGGAGAAGAAAGATTACGAAGAATGAAAGGAATGAACACAACTGAAGAAGTTAAACAACTAGAAGAATGGACATCAAGAAGAGTATCCAATATAATATTTGATTCAGATATTGATGATTGGAATAAGAATACATCAGTATTTAATCAAAGAATAATAAATAAAGAACATATAATAATTATTATTGAAGATAAAGATGGAAATAAATTTGGAGGATATGTTAATGAGAAAATTGATAAAGTTGATAAATATATAAATGATCCAAAATCATTTTTATTTTCATTAGAATCAAAAGGAAGAATACAAGGAATGATGAAATTTGATATTAAAGAACCACAATATGCATTTTATTTAAATAATCAAACAAATGATTATTTATTTGGATTTGGATATGGAAATGATATTGGTTTTCTTAAAGAACATTATAAAACAATATCATGGTGTAAACAACGTTCGTTTGAATATAAAGGAATATCAAATGCACTTTGTGGAAAACAATATCCAGAACATTTTACACCAGAACGAATCGTTGTAATTGAAATGAATTGATTTTTATTCATTATTATGTATTTGAAATATAAAAATAAAAAAGAATATAAAATAAAATCAATAAATAAACATTTTATCTATCAATAAATGAAGTGATGAATATAAAAATGTTCATATTTCATTCTTGTTTTATTTCATTTGAAATATTCATATTCATTGTGTTAATTTAATAAATAATAAAAAGAAATAATAAAAAATAAATAAAAATATAATAAAATATTTATTTTATTCTTTTTTATTTATTTTTTATTTTATTCTTCTTCTTTTATCTTTATATCTATTATATATTTCTTATTTTATTATTTATGTTATATTCTTATATCATTTTATTCTTATTTTATTTTTATTCATTATTATTCATTTCATATTAACATTGTTAAATAACAATACAACATATAATAAATAAATGATATAAGATAAACAACAATAAATAATAATAATAAAATATAAACAAACAACATAAACAAATATAAAATGATAAAATATCATCTAATATAAAATAAGAATAAGATGATTATATTTTATTTTATTATTCTTCTTTATATTCTCTTATTTTATTTATTTTATTATTTTATATGTTTATTATATTTACTTTGTAATATCAATTTCATTTATAAATAATTTATTTATACTGAATAAACATAATACAGGAAGTGAATTAGAATGTACAGTGTTAATATAAAATATGAATAATAAATATAATAAATATGACTTAATTAATATAGATAAGTAAAAGTGATATTTTAATTCTCTTATTTTTATTCTTTAATAATATTTTACTATATTTTGTTATAATTTTTCATTAATAAAATAAAAAGAAAATAATGTAACAGGAACCAAAATAAGCAAAGAAATAATGTATCTAAATAAAAAACACAAAAAAAAGAAAAGGGCAAAATATTTTGAATCAATAAAATAATAGTTTTTATTATTTTGCTCCTAAAAAATAAAAATTAAATTAAATACTCATTCTATATTCATTTATATTTGTTTATATTTTATATCATTTTATGATAAATTGTTCTGAAATATAAATGATTCAGAAATGATATTTGATTCAATGTATGTATACATTTTTATTATTATGTTATTATTATTTTATTTATGTATTTTATTTTTATATATTTATATATTTTATTATTATATTTATTTTTATTTTGTGATTCGAAGGTAGCACGTCAGAGACACCACACAGATCCCTAAAATATTTCCATCCTTCGATTCCCCCCAGTTATGGACTGGTTATGACGTTGCGTTTGGTTAGAAAAACATCTTACCTAATACTGCAAGAATAACAGTGTTTATTATGTACAATGACAGAATATCATTGACAATAAACGAATGGGTATTTATAAAGATGTTATTATTACTTGTTAGAATACAAGTATTATTTGATAATATAAGAAAGATTATCAAAAGAAAAGGGTCAAGTGGTTGAGGCTAAAAGAATATTAGCCCAAAGCAATACACTAGTAATTATATACTCTCTTTAAAATAAGAAAATAAAGAATAATTTTAATACTCACCAAAATCAAAAAGAAATTAAATAATGAATATTTAAATAAGGGATGTTTAAAATACTCTATTCCACATCAAAAATGAGAAAAGAAAATTCTCACAGTTCAACAACTAAAAGCAAAGAATAAGCTAATAGTTGAAGAACAAATACTTTTAAGCGAAGGGACGGGATTAGTCTCCGCTGAGGCAGGAACAATAGACACAAGTTCTATTAATACTTAATTAACTACTTTTTATTTATATTTATTTTTATTTTTATATTATATATATCATCATATTATCTATATATTTTATATTTATCATATTTTATTACTTTTATATTCTTATTATTTATATTTTATTTTATATATGAATACACTTCTATTTATATATAATTTCTTATATATGAATATATTTCTTTATCTTATTTTCATTTTGATTATATTTTTATATTTTATATCTATTTTCTTTTTATATTTATTATTATTTTATTTATATTATATTGATTTTATTTATTATTTCTTTTATATATTTTATTTATTATTATATCATTTCTCTTATTATTTCTTTATCATTTATTATTATTTATTTATTTTTTATATCTTCTATCTATATCATATTAAATTATTATTTATTATTTATCATTTATTAGATGTTATATACTAATCACATCTATAACTGATAATAATAACACTGATAATAAATAATACATATAAATAAAAATCATAAAAATAAAAATCAATAAATAAAGTTAAATAATTTGTATCAATAAATTAAATACTTTTTATTTGATATTTCTAATTTCTATAATAAAAAATATACCCTTATTTCATGATTCTTTTCATCTTTTATTATCTCATTTTGAATTACTACTTTTTATCTTCTTTCATTTTATATTCTCAACTTTCTACTTTTATTCTTTTCATCTTCTTCTACTTCATAATTTCACTTTTTTTCTTTCATGTCATTCTTTTTCATCATTTCTCTTCCTTTTTCTCTTATTCCCATTTTTAGTTACCGTAATAACACTATCATCAATGATTGTTGTGTTCATAATTACTATAATTTCTTTGTCATTTCGACTCTCTTTATTGATTTGTAAAGAAAAGATACAATAACTATAAAAACTAAAACTACTCTTATTGTGTTATAACTAATATTTATGTTGAACTGCAATTGTAACCATCACTTTGTCAATCATTTCATATCAGATATTATAAAGTACTGACATGTTGAGATATTAATGAATATGAGTTATGAAAATGAGATACAACCAATTTATCATTATTGAATTGAAGAAATAACATACTAATAACATAGATTAAGTTTGTTAAACCACATTTTTATTTGGGATTGGAAAAGGTTCTTTTTCTCTCCATCAACAATATCTTTTCAGAAAGTGTCATCTATTATGGCTGATGTTATTGATACAACAAACATTAAACATAATGTCAATAACGTAAACAATAACAAACAAGAAACATTGAATAAAAGGAGAATAGTAATGTGTGGGTCAATAATGAATAGAAGAATATAAATAAAGTGTTAATTAGAATAGAATAAATTCTTGTTTCAATCTAATTATTTAGAAATTCAACAATAGATTGAACACAATTCAAATACAAACACTATTTTATTAATAACATATTTTCTTATACTTTTGTAAGAAGGTTTGTTACATGAGTTAATTCTATACAAGTTGTTAATAAAAATCAATTTCAAATAACATGAAATTTACAATATAAGATAATCAAAATAAAAATACAGTAACTTGAATTATTTCATTTACACTCATTTAAGTAATAAATAATTTATAATTAAAGAAGAACATAAACATTAAATCATAGATAAAAAGTCATTTTATTTACTTAAAATAATGTTTGTTGTTCATTCATGATATTCTTTTGTTGTTTAAAAAATAACAAATTAATTGAAGGATGAATTATTGATTGTCAATATCCTCTGATTCGAGTTGTATTGATTTTATTATATTATCTAAGTTGATTGTTTCTTTAGGTTGAATCTCTTCAATTTGTTTGAAAACTTCTTGAATGCCATTAAGTGTTGTTTCTTTAATAACTGACCTCAACACATTTTGTATTTCATTAATATTATCAAAGTCTTGTATTCCAATGACAGTGTCAGCATATACTTTTTGCATGACTCTCTTCATTCCTGTATCACACTCTTTTCTAATTTGTTCAAACAATGTGGTTATGTTAACTTCTTTCTTTTTTTCTTCTTCAATGATTTGAATTATTTTTTCTTTATGTAATCCTTCTTTCTTGTTTTTTAATTCATTAACTTCAATTGATAGTTGTTTGTTTATTTTCTTATAGTTTTCAACTTCTTTCTTTGTTTCATCTAATTCTTTCTTCAATTTTTCATTTTCTAATACTTTTTCTTTAACTTTTTGTTCTATCTCATCTTTTTCTTCTTTTAACTTTATGACCATCCCAACAACATCTCCTTCTTTCCCTTCTAGTTTTGTATTTATTCTTCTTATCATTTCATTCATATTTTGAAGTTGTTGATTAATGTCATCCCATTCTTCTTTTGTCTTTTTTGGATGATTACTTTTTTGAACATTCTCACTACTAGGTTGTTTCTTTTCTTCATTCTCATTGAACCTTTCATCACTAATCTCTTTTGACTCTTTCAATGACTTATCAGTGACTGTTGGAATTAGTCCAGTTAATGGTTTACCAATTGAAGAAACTCTTTCTAATACAGTTTTTGTGGATTTAGTTTCTGTTGGTTCTGGTTGTTCTAATAACTCAGTTTTTCCTATAAATTCAATAGTTAAATCCTTCTTCTTTGAATCAGACCTTTCTATCTTTTCAATACAAATACAAATTAATTGTGTTCCAATATGTTTTATTAATTCTAAATTTTCTGGTGTTCCAACAATGATAGCAGTTGTATTTTCAGTGAATTTAATACTTCTTAATAAAATTCCAATTGGTGATGTCATTTCTATTTCTATACTTTCTTCATCTCCAAATGAAAATTCCTTCTCAATTGAACATAATTTGTATTTAATTTTAATTTTTTCATTGAATATTTCTTCATTTTCCTTATCAATAGATGTTTTTAATATTACTCCATGATGACAATTAAGACTTAAACATTCAAGAATTTTAATAGAAAGTTGTAATCTATCAATATCATTCTTAAATTTTATATTCCATCCAACTCCTTGACTGTCTTTAAAGTACCAAAATCTATTTTCTTGAATCTATTCAGTTGAGTTATCATTCTTTATCCATTATATTATCTAATTAAAAATAAAAAATAACAAACAACTATTGGAAAATTATTGTAAATCATACTCTTTGTTATAATTACATTTCCTGTTTTATAAAGTAATAAAGAAAATATTTTGTCTTCATCAATTACTGCAATAGCAACATTTCCTAAATTAATTGGTATTCCATTTTCATATTTAAATGCTTTTCCTGTTTTAACAATCAAAGGTGCTTTCTTTTCTATTTTTGTTATTGAAGAAATAATACTAGTTTTATCAGTAGAAATACTTTGTTTACGAGGAACTTCAATAGTAAAGTCTGTATCATTTGTTAGATCAAACATTCCAGAAATTGTGTCTTTACTTTGTTTATGAGAAGGAAATTCACTCATTTCTACTTTTATTTTGGGTTTCTTTTGTTTTTAAGTTCTCTTTTTATAGAGATTATTGTTGTTGTTGTTATAAAAAAAAAAGAGGAGATGTTTATTTTCTTTTTTGACAAAAACAATCAATATACCATCTTTAAAGAAATTACCATAAATAATTTTTTATTTCTTTTGAATTGCTAATGACATTAATTCTTCTTTAAGATATGGTTTTTCTACTGATTTATAATCTTCAAAAACTATTAATAATATAGCTCCTGGAACAAGATTTAATTTAGCTAATGTCTGTTCATCATTTTTAATTAAATCACGTTTTCCTGTAGATAATTTTAATGCATATTTTATTTTTAAACGAAGAGATTCATCAATAAAATTATAGATATCATGAGCTATTTGTAAAGGATGAAAACAACGAATTAATTCAGTATTATCAGGAAATTTTATTTTAATAGTTGTTTTCTTATATTTTGAATTTCTTATAATTCGTTGATCTTCTTGATAAGATTTTGAAATTAAATGGTCTGGTTTTTGAATTGGTTGCATAAGGATTTTAACTTCATTTGGAGTTAATTCATAAAAAGAATCAGGATATGATTGAACAGGTACTATTGGTGTAATTTTTGGTAAAATAACTTGTAAATTATATTCATTTGGAGAAAGAGTTGGTTTTGGTAAATCTTGTTTTCCAATTTTATTATCATAGTTTGTTACAGAAGGAATTCCAGGTGGAGTACTCCATTTAATTGACATTATTTAACTTAGTATTTACTATTTTTTTTTTTTTAAGATATTTTTTAATTAAATTTTTATTCTATTTTAGTTTTGAAGTTTTAAATAAAATAAAAAAAAAAAAAAATAAAATATTTTAATATGAAAAAGAAGAATAAATTTATTTTAATGAATCAAGTGAAAGATTTGAGTTTAATATCATAAGTTTAAGTTCAGAAGGAATTTTAGTTTGTGTTAAAGGACGACCTTCACATAAATAAAATAAAGAAGGATTAATTCTTTTTACTTTTGAAATGAAATAATCCCAATTAATACTATCTTTTCTTCTTCCATTAATCAATTTTTCATTTCGTTCATGATATTCTAAAATATCAGTCAAAGTAGGTTTATCTAAAACAAAAGCAGATAACCAATGATCAAAATAAATTTTATTTCCATTTAGAATACATTGGTAATATAAAGATTTAGACCATTTTAAAGGTTCTAATAAATTATAATAATTTGCAAAAATAAAAGCATCATCAAAAGAAGTAAAATACATCATTTGATTTAAAGCACGTTCAGTATTTAATCCAATTAATTGTACATTATCAAAATAAATTTGTAAAGATAAAATACCAATCATTTGTCCAGATTTATTTGCCCAATAATATTCTTGTTCATTTCTAAAGAATCCAATAGCACGAGCATAACATTTCATTGCTTCTATAAATTGAGGATACCACATTGATATAGGAATTGTTAATTTAATTTGATTTGAAATTGAAGTAATAAAATTTTGAACAATTTTATTTGCTTTTTCAAAATAAAAAAGTCCACCTTCCATTGAAGTATTTAAAATAGTATAACAATCAGAAATAATTTGTTCATAATTAGAATGATATTGTAATTCAGGATTTATTTGAATATCTTTTAAATCAGAAAGATAATAAATTTGATTTTCAAATAAACTTTTTTCTTCAATTGATGGAATAATTTGTTGACTATCAAATTTACTTTTAAATGATTGTTGAAGAGCAATTTTAGGTAAACTTATATATTCTTTATCTTCTTCATTTTTAATTAAAAATTCATTTAATGTTTTTGTTTTTACTGCAAATCTAATAAAATGAATTAAATTTTGTGTTTTTAACATTTCTTTCATTCTTTTTGAAATTATTTTCATTAATTTTTTCATTATTTTTGATGAACATTTTATTTCTCCTGCAATATAACAACAAGAAAAACATTCAGATAATACAAAATAATTTTCTGTTTCACTACAATATTGTAACATTATTTCAATTATATTTTCTGGATCTTTTAATAATCCTAAAAATCCTTTAATAACATTTACTGGATATCCTGTAATACAAATTGGTTTTACATTTAATGCTATATCAACATATAATCTAGATAATATTGGTACTAATTCTTTATCTTCTATTAATTCACAATTAATAAATTCTTTTGTTTCTTCAAAAATTAAATTCCAATGTGTTAATTTTGATGAAAATTTTTTTAATGTATTTATTCCACAAATTGTATTAATAATATCTATTTCTTTATTTCTAAATACAGTTGAATCTCTTATTAATGCTAAAATAACTGATTTATCTGAATAATATTTATATATAATTAAATATCTCATTTTTAATATTTGAATTCCTCTTCTAATTTTATTACTTTGTTTTATAAGTTTTTCAAAAAATTCAATTCCTTCATTTATTAAAATATTATAACTTTGTGGATTAATAATAAATTCATATCCTTCTTTAAAAATTTTCATTTCATTACAATTTATTTTTTCATTCATTATCATTGCTAAACTATAATCTCCTCTATTTATAAGATAATAAATTGATTCTTCACTTGCTTTTTCAATATATGCTGCTCCAATATTTTTATTTTTACTTTCTTCATAAATATGTCTTAATTTTTCTGCTTTTTTAATCATATTTTGTGCTTCTTTACAACTACTTTCTTCTTTATTTAACCATTCTATTGAATAATTTAAAATTATTAACATTTCATTTGCAATATCTTTATATTTTCTTTCATAATCTTGATATGAATTCATTTTTATTGCTTCTTCAAAGAAATATTTTCCTGCATCAACAAATCTACATGTTCTTTTACAAATAATTTCATTAATTTTATCCCATTTTTCTTTTCCTTTTAATTTCTCTTTTTTAATCATTTGTTCAATCTCTTTTTGAATTGGTAAGAAAATATCATTAGGAACATATTCTACAGCAAATGAATGTGCAATAATATATTCTCCATTTATAATTAATTCATTAACAATTTCTTCTTTTTGACAATCTCTTTTTAATTTTAATCCAAATTGATCAATTAATTTATTTATTTCTTTTCTTTCTTTACATAATTGAATAACTTCTTTTGGTAATTTTTCAATACTTAATAATTCTTTTAATAATCTTTCAATTAATTCTGGTGATGAAAGATAAAATTTAATAAATTTTATAATAATAGATTTCATAATTTTTATAATATTTTCTATTGTACCAATATTCCATTTTTTATTTATTATTACTTCATTTAATCTTTTCTTTAATTGAATAATTTCTCCAAAACTAGCAATAGAAATAAAATATATTATTTTAAAGAAAAATGTTAATGGATTATTTTTATCAAAGAATTCAAATCCTTCAATAATTCTATTACATTTAAATTCTTGTTCAATTAATTGATTAATTACATATATTATTCCTTCTTCTATATTATCTGTTTGACATGTTTGTAATGTTTTCCCAACAATTGCACTTTCAAAAAATCTTAATATTAATATTTTTTTATCTCCTTCTTCAAATATCCAATTCATATAACTTAATCCACTTTCTTCTTCTTTACAAAATCCTTTCATAATAACTCCAATACTTTGATTTAAAAATTCTTCATTTTCATTAATTTCAATATGACTTTTTAATGGAGATTCTGGCCAATTTTCTTTTACACATTTATTAATTATATTATTATTATATCCATGTTCATCACTACTTTCTAATAATTCTATTAAATTTTCATTCTCACAAATAATTTCAATTTGTCTTTTACTTAATTCTAATCCCCATCTATTTGCTAAATAATTTCTTAATTCATTTGCAAGATTAATAGGTTCTGCTCTTCTTTCTAAATATTTAAGAAATTCTATTTTATTTTCTTGTTTATCTAATTCTTCAATTGTTATTATATTTTTATATTCTTGATTTCCATCTTCTTCAATTACTTTTTTAATGAGTGTATTTAATCGAATATATTTATCTCCTAAAAATTCTTTAATAAAACTTGCCATTTCTCTCATATCTTTATTAAATAAAAGAATATTTTTACTTTCTTCCATTATTTCTTTATTTCTAATTACTTCAATAATTCTTTTATCACTTAAATAATCTTTTAATTTCATTTTATATTTTTTTATTTCTTTTTGTGGAAATGGCATTTTAAATGTTTCCATTGGTTTATATTCTATTTTCATTAATGTTTCATATAATGATTTAATTTCACATCCTTCTGCTTCTTCTTTTTGAATATTAATTTTTTTATTAATAACTTTTTCTTCATTTTCATCATTCCATTTATCCATTTGAATAATTCTTTTCATCCATTGTTGTGGTGTTTCTGTAGAATGATATCTTTCTTTAATTTCACAAAATATTGGAAGATATTCAATAATTTGAATCATATCTAAATATGTTTTTTTAATTTCATTCTTTCCAATTAATAATATTCTCATTAATTCATTATTAATTCCTTCATTTTCTGCTTTAATAATCATTTCTTCATTTGGATGTGTTATCATATATTTATTAATACTCTTTTTAACAATTAATGGTGTAATTTCTTTCTTTTCATTAATTTCTTTAATATTTTTTTCTTTTCCTGTATTAAGTATTTCTTCAATCTCTTTTATTTTTCCATGTAATAAATTAAATTTAATTTCAATATCTTCTATTTCATATTTCCCTTCTTCTCTAAGAATCATATTTTTTTCTTCTTCATTTAATTGTTCAATATTTTTAATACTTAATCCTATTGCTTTTCCACTTTTATTATTAATTCTTGGAATAATAGCAATATTATCTGTGAATCCTTGTTCATATGATATTCCATATTTTTTCATTGTTTCTTTTGTAAATTCACTTTCTAATTCTTCTTGTGTTTCTTTTAATTCTTTTATTTTTATTTCATATTTATTTTCAATTTTTATTCTATCTAAATATTCTTCATATTCATTTATATATTTATTCTCTTCAATTAATATTTCTTTCATTACTTTTTCAATTTCTTTTCTAATAATTATTAAATGTGTATTATCATATAATTCCTTCATAATTATTTTAATATCTTTATATCCTAATCTCATTAATAAATGAATAGCTTCTTTAATTTCTTGATTAACAATAAATTGATATACAAATTTCATACAATATTCTTTAATTTCTTCTGATTTAAATCCATATTTATTCATTGTTGTAACAATATTTCCATTCATAATTCCATCTAATAATCCAATTTTCTTTTGTTCTGAAATATTTTCAAAATTCCCTGATTTTCTCATCATATTTTCTTCTTTCTTTATTTGTTGTTTTTCATTAGAAAGTAACATATCTTCTTCCATTAAAATTGTTTCAATAAATTTTGTTTCATTTTCTGCATATTTCATAATTCTTTGTTTTTTATTATTATGTATTTCTTTTACAATACATGCTAATCCAATCTCTGCAATAATAGAAAGATCTCTATAATACATTTTCTTTTCAACTCCTGAATTATAATATTCCTCTGTAATCTTTAATGCTTGTGAAACTTGAACATCTTTCATTTCTTCTAATATTTTCTTTGCACTATCTAATCTAAGTCCTCTCATTGAATCTTCAAATTCAATTAACTTTCTATCAGCATTTTGTAATTCAGTATTTGAATTTACTAACTTTGTCCACATTTTCTCAAATCCTAGACTAATCATTCCTCTCAAAATACTATCTGATTGTACATCTCTAACATAACAAATAATATTTTTATTTTCTAATATAATAATTGATCCATATCCTCCATATCCAATAAATGAATATGTTTCTACTCCTGTAGATATTAATGGTTCTTCTTTTATATTACAAATATTAAATGTTTTAATATTTTCTCCTATAACACATAATACAGAAGTTGAACTAATATAAATATCAGAAACATCTTTTTCATTAATAATAGTAAATGAATTTGGGTTTTGTGCAGAAATTTGAAAGAAAAAATCAATTTGACTAAGTTTCATTTGAGTCATTTGAATACTATTTCTATTTCTAAATATTATAACTTTATCTTCATAAATAAATGCAAAATATTCTAATTCTGAAGTAAATGTAAACTTTTTTGGAAGAGATGTTAAAAATGATAATGTAACTGAAAACGCTGGAACACGTGGAATAAATAAATGTAATTTTTTATCACCTGTAATTACTGCTAAAATATTATTTTGGGATGAATGTAATAAATAATTTTTAAATGGAGATAACATTGTTGGTCTAAATGTTGAATTATATCCAATAACATCAACTCTATATGGACGAAATATACATACAATAAATCCTTCATATGTTGAATGTAAAATTAATTTTTCATCATTTAATGATTCTGTAAGAATAAAATCACCTGAATTAAATCCATGAAAAATAATACTTTTCTTAGTATAATATACTACTCCTTCATTCTTTCCTAATAATACTGTAATAAATTCTTTTACTTCTGAAATTATTGTTTCTTTCTTACTTGAAATTTCAACTATTTTTAATGTATTTTTTTCCTGATAACAAATATGTGTATGAAGTGGAGATATAATAACTTTATTTTTCGTTTCTATTGGTAATTCTGAAAGAATTAGTCTACTATGTGGCATTCTTTTTTAATTACTTTTTAATATCAACTTTCTTTATCTTATTCTTTTTATTTTTTTTTTCTTATAATTATTCTTTATTATATTTTATGATTTTTTTTATTATTCTTTATAATTTCTTTTTAGAATTCCTTTTTCTTCTTTTCAATTCTTCATAATTCTCTTAAAATGGAAAACAATCATTACTTCAATTAAATAGAATAAAGTGTCATTTCATTATCACATAACAATGCAATAACCCCAACTTCTAAATTTACTCCCATTGTCAAAACATTTGTATTATTAGGTGGTGATATTGGGGTAAATACTACTTCATTTGATTGGGTTGTAATCACATGAATACCTTTCCTACATAAAACAATTAATGGAAATTTAGCAAGATGATTAGAATAAACTGTATAGATTGCAGAACCATCTAACTCTATGACAGCTTTTTTTCTAGAAATTACTCTCTGAACAAGAGGATGTATGTGTAACTTTCCATCTAATGTACCAACATACTAGATAATATTAATAAAGATTATTAATTTATGTTCTAACTATTTTTGATATCCAAAATATTTATTAAATAATATATAAATATATAAAAACAAACTATTGAATCTATTGTATAAGTAATTGAAGTAATTGGTGCATGATGTTGAGAAACTTCAGTAAGTGATTCAGATAAAATTGAGTATTCAACCAAATCACCATTAATAAATCCAATAAAAACACTTCTTCCATTATTTGTCATTGCAGTGATTTCATTTTTAAACAATTTATTAGCTATTTGTTCATGTCCACGAATTACAATAAGTCTATTAAATGAGACAAGAGCAAGAATATTATCTTTTTGTTCTACTTGTGTAATAATATCATTTTGTTTAATGACATACTTTGATAATGCACCAGAGTCAGTTATTAAATTATCTTTAAAAGGGTCAAATGAAACAAATGACATACGTAATGAATTATCTTCATTCTTAAAGATAAACCATAACTCAAAAGTATAACTATATGTACTACGAATAATAAATGAAAATATTATTGGTTTACCATATGAGTATTGAGTTATTGGAACAAGAGGTGATTCAGTTTGGTTACTTTTATAAATATTAAATCCAAAAGAATATGATATTATGATATAACAAAATGTTTCACAATTTGATGGTATAACAAATAAATTAATTGGTATTTCTGTTACTTCTTTTTGAATATTAAATTTTTGTGTTTGTGAAATTGTCCATGTATGTGGATATTCTTCAATTTCCATATTTTTAAGACTATAATATTTTCTAGTATCTTTCTTTGTTTTTCTTTCTTTTATAAATAACATAAAAATATTTATCTTAATTTAAATAACAAATTTAAAATCAGAACTTAAAAAAGAAAAAAAAAACTAGAATTGTTTTTGGATACAATTTTTGATGAGTAATGATTCGGTTATTAATTATTATAACACTATTCTTCTTGGGAGATGGAAAAAAACAAATAACGATATCAATAAATTATATAACTATGCATTAACACATCCTGATAAAAGAGTTTCTGCTGATGCAATGTATGATGCTCAAATGATTTCTGGAGAATGTGATATTCAAAAATTATTATTTGCTGCAGAAAGATATTGGGAGAGTGAAATGGATATTAAATTATATAATGGAGTATCATTTGATGAATGTGTTTTATTAATGAATGATTGTTTTGAAAGAATATTAGAAAAAGCAGAAAAGGAAGACCCAACAAATATTTCAATGTATTCTATTAGATTTGGTACAATGTTATATACTTTAGAACATCCAAATATGGCATGTACATATTATTTAAAAGCATTAGTTCCATCAACATCATATGAATTACAATACTTAGTATTTGAAACAATTTGTATGTTATCAGTTAAATATGGTTTGTTTATTATTTAATTTATAAAAAAAAAAAACAGAAATAAAACATCATTATTTGTAATTAAATTATTTATTTCTATAAATTGAATATAACTAATTTATCAAGAATTATCTACAGCACAAACAGCAGCATTTGAACAATTAAAAAAATGTTTAGAACATGTTAATGTTAGTGATGATGAAACAACATCATTTTATCAACAAACTATTGACATACTACTCTTTTCAATATTAATTTTACTTTCAACAAATGGACATCCAAATGCTATTGCTGAACAATTTAATTTATATTGTACATGGATGGCAAAACCAAGAAATCAATTTAAAGTAACAGTCACACAAAATATATTTCAAAGTTATAATAATTCTACTACTCCTGATCAATTATTTAAAACATGTGTAATTTTAGACAAAGCAATAGAAAACGATATGAAAGGAATGATTAGTTATAATAGAGTAAGAATTCTATTTAAATTTATTGTATCAATATTAAAAGTAAAATCTTATGACAACTTATTTTCTACATTTGAATTAACAGAAAAACAATTAGTCGATTTAATTCCTGAAGAACATAGAGAACTATTTTTATATGTTTGTTCTAAAATCCATATTCTTCGTAAAAATCATTTAGAACAAATTTCGTTATTACAACAACAAAAAGACTCTATTCAATCTAAAGTAAAAGAAGAAGATAAGAATGAAAAAATTAAAAAAGAAACAACAAAATGAATTTAAATTAACTTTTTAATTCTTATTTATTATCTTCTTTTATTTCATTAAATTAAATAATGAAAAGAAGAAGTAATGTCTAACCAATTGTGGTTCATTATAATTTAAAATTATTTTCGTAATTATCATATACTTTTTACAACTTTCTTTTTCTGAGTTGTTATTTTATAAACCCTTTTCAACCCTTTAAATTTCATTTCTTCATTTCAAATGAAATATACTTGTGCATTATTTGATTTAGACGGTACTTTAATTGATACAGAATCTATGTACGCTGCAATTAATCAAGAATTTATTAATTTGTATGGTGATGGAAAGAAATATGATTGGGAAACTAGAAAACAAGTTATGGGAAAGTCAGCTGAATATGCTAATCCAATTATTATTAAAGCACATCACATTTCAAAGACTAAAGAAGACGTTTGTTAATAAGAACAATGAATATCACTTTGATAATAATAATAAAATTTAGATGGTTAAATTTAAAAAAGAACGATTAGCACAACGATGTGAAGAAGTAAAACCATTTCCAAAAGCATTAGAAATTTTAAAATTCTTAAAACAAAAAGGATTAAAAATTGCTATTGCTACAAGTAGTGCAAAAACAATTTTTGAAACAAAAATGAAGAATAATCAAGAATTATTACAATGTGTTGATGTAATAGTTTGTGGAGATGATTCTTCTGTTCATCACTCAAAACCTGCACCTGATATTTTTATTAGAGCAGCAGAACTTTGTGGAGAAAAAGATATGAGTAAAACAATTGTATTTGAAGATGCAGTCAATGGAGTAGAAGCAGGACTAGCATCAGGAGCATTTACAATTGCTATACCAGACATTCATATTAAAGATGATCCAATATTCAATAGAGTCCCAATAGTATTAGAGTCTTTAAAAGATTTTAAACCAGAGATGATTGGGTTAGAAGGAGAAATTTAAAGAGGTATAAAATAGAATGTATTAAAAACAAAACAAAGAATAATTGAATAAGTTATAAAATTCATTAGTTTGTTGATAATAATTAATCAATCAATCTAACATAACATCAATAAAATCGCTGATATTTGTAATTAAGTAAGTAAATAAAGCATTAACACATTTAACCTCAGAAATAGATTTCATCGAGTATTCTTTCCAGAATATATAAGGACCAAATATAGTACCCATATTAACTCGATCCATTTTATTAAATTGTTGTTGAGTTGAAATTAAATGAGCTAAATTAACTAAAGCCAATAACAATTGTCTATTTTCATTTGGAATTTGTAAAATTAATTCTTTTAATTGGGAAGTAGTGTTATTATTTGGAATAGAAGCTATGGTGTTAATACTATTTCTTTTATTTAAAAGGAAGTAAACAAACAAAAAATTTTTACTACTTCTTGACCAATATCTGCTGTCAATAACGGTTCAGGAAGTGATTGCAAATATGTTTTCATTACAGAAGTAACAATGTGTGGGTCTTCAGTCAATGGAAATGAAGTAATTCTACAATAATTAAATGCTTCAATATATTGGTCTACACGTTCTTTATTTCCACTCATTCTAAAAATGCCTTCAGTTGTAAAAGCATCAATATTTGCAGAAAAATATTGAATACCACACTCAATGACAAGTGGAATTCCAGAGCGACCTCTATAATTACTTTTATTTGCATCTTTTAATGAAATACCAAAAATTGGATGAGGAATTGAAGTATAACTAATTAATGCCCATTGAGGAATTTGAATAACACCAACAGGGATATCTTCATATAAATCATAAAGGTCTTTTATTAATTTAATTTTTGAAATAGTTTTATGAGATAATAAAGAAGTAGTAAATTTTAATTTAATAGTTTCAGGCATTAATAATAAAATATAATATAAATTGTTATGATATTTTTCAGGAAATAATTGATATAAAGATTTAAATAATTGTAATGGAAGAGAATCACTTGAGTCAATATAAACAATTATATATTCTTGATTTACGTATTGATCCAATTTATTTATTAAATACAAATAAAATAATTTAATTTGGTTTTCATTAAATGAATAATCTTTTAATTGAAATTCATCGGCATTAATAATGATTAATGGTCTTTTTGTTCTATCTGTAAATTTAGTAATTAAAAAATTATTCCATTTATTAAACATTGAAAAGTTTTGTGTTTTAGAATATTCAAGCCAAATATTATATGTATCATTTCCCATTAATATTTGATGTATTTTATTCTATTTTATTATTATTGGTATTATTGTATTTTTATTTTTAACAAACTTTAGAATCTTTTATAAATGCTTTTGTCTGTATTAAATATTCATCGTCAATTTCAATTACTGAAGTTAGTCCTGTATCTCCAAAATCATCTAATAACACTGGTGGACTTAAACTTCTTTGTATTGGAAACTATTTATTTTATTATTTCTTTCTTTTATTATATATAACTATTAATAATTTATTTTCAAACTTCAACTGGTTTCTTTATTTGGTGTTGACTAAGTTGAGGTAATGACCGTTCTTTTTTAAATAATTTGTCTATTACTTTTGATTTTTTATGAACTGGTTCTATTAGTTCATTTGTTGTTTTTGTTTCACTCATTTGTTTTATTTTGATTTCTTCACTTTTTTAGTTCTTTCATCCTTTGTTTTATATCACAAAATATTTCTCTTTAAAATTTATTCTTTTTTCCTTTTTTTTTCTTTTATTTTCTTTTATTTTCTCTCCTTATTTATTCATTTCTGATTCTCTTTGTTATTGTTTTATCTTGGTTAATAATTAATTTCTTGTTCATTTCATTTTGTTTTTTCTTATCCAAATTCATAAAAATTAATAACATAATCATTTATCAATTTAGTTAGTAAAAAATATTTGAAAATGATGAATGTAAGAGTATTTATTATTAAGAAATTAATTTAACTCTTTTCTGGGTTCCCTTTCATACCAACTCTATTAAAAACTATTTGAATATTACTGACTGAATTTGTTAATTAACTTAGACTAACTCGTAACAATTTTTCTAATTATCAATTTTTCATAAAAATTACTATAAAAATATATAAGCAGTATCAAAAATAATATGAAAATGGTTTAAATTATATTCAAGGAATATTTATATATGATATTTATTTCACAAACCAAAATATGAAATTAATAAAAAATGAACATAAACAAATATTTTCAATATATTTTAGCTTAAATTCAACATTTTTTTACGAAATGAATGATATATTAACATTTTTTTTATAGTTCTATAATTTTAATATATCAAAATATTTACATCATTATTTTTTAAATTAAATTTATCAAACAATGAAATTCAATACGATGAATTGAATGACAAGATAATAAACAAATAATAAAATAAATTTAATTGAAAGATTGAATAGAGAAAGAATTACCATTTAAATCCAATTTAAAAGTAATATAATTAGCATTAGAGCTCATAATCATTCTATCGATAATAATTTTTAATTCATAACTATCAGAAGTAATAATAATTTTATTACAAGTGATATGTTCTTCTTCTTTTTCAATATTTTTTTGACCTATTTTAAAAGGAATCATAATAAAATTATCATTTTTATGTTCTTTATAAATTTCAATAGAATCAAAACTTTTTTTCATTTTATTAACTTGAATTTTTTTATCTTTTAATTTCCAATAATCAATAGTAACAGTTTTATTTCCACAAATAACTTTTGCTGAAATAATCATTGGTATATTTTTGCTTTTTTCTCCTTCACAAAAATTTACTTCACTTAATATCATTTTTTGAATACATTTACAACACAAATATTCTTCAATAGAAATTAACGCTTTTTCTTTATTATTTTCCATACTATTTAACCAATTAATACAGAAATTTGCTTTATATTTTAAATCTATTTTTCCTAATTCTTTTGCAATTAAACAATTTTTTGTTGTTGGAATAAAAAATAGAAGAATATCAGCTATTTTTTTTCTTTGATTGACACATGAAAGTTGTCGAACAAATAAACCAATAAACCAATCTCCACCACATAAAACAATTGGAAGAGAAATACCATTTCTTGTATTTTCTATTAAAAACGGAATAACTTGTTCATTAAAGTTACCATTAAATACTTCAACAAAATGATATTTTTCATAATTGTCTGATGACTCAATGATTTTTCTAATTTGTTCACTTCTTTTTTTCTTTGCTTGTACTATAATTATTATTCCTTCACTTATCCCTTTTAATGGTAAATCTTCATGAATATCTTCCACTTCTGTTTGTTCTTCTTCACGTGGTGATAAAATTCTTTTTTCAATTATTTGGGTTTGTTCTTTCTTTTGAAGATGCATAACTCGTCTCAATGTAGCTGCTCTTGACCTCTTTTCTGGTATTTTTTCAGTAACATTAAATACTCTTAGTTGTTGCTCATATTCAGTTAAACATTCTTTTCGAAATTGGTTTATTTCATTAATCGAACAATACTCACTTGGCACAGAACATGCCTCAATATTTAATTCCCCAAATTCTTTTCCATTAAATTTCCCAATTCCAATAATTTGAAGACTTCCTTTAAATTCTGAAATAAACGTTTCTTGAAGTGAAAATTTACATCCACCAATTTGTTTATTTTCTTTCTTTGATTTTTTAAATAGTTTAATTAAAAGAAAGTCGTTTAAATTATAATAATGTATATATGGAAATATAATAACTTCATCATACCTGTTCTCTCCTTTTAATAGTGGTATAAATGAACTTTTAGATTTAGATATAGTTGATATAAATTGAATTGAACATATCCATTCTTTTTCTCCAATTTCTAATTTTGTTTTATTGATTTTAATACATAAATTCCTTTTAATAGAACACCGTGGAAATTCTTCAGTATTGATAACTCCTTTCATTTAATTAATGAATAATAAAAGATATGATTAAATCTCATTTTATTTTCTTTTTTAGTTTTTTTTTATTTTTCTTTTTTTGTGGAATTTTTGTTCTTCTCAATTGGAATTGAAGTGATGAACAAACAACAACAACTTCAAATGAAAATTAAACAAGCATTTTCAACTGCACTCGGACCAGTTACTTCAAATATTCCAATGTTATTAATGGCATGGTTAACAGGTTCTTCAGTAAGTTATATTAACCTTATGTTTACTGCTACTTTAATAAGTAATTTTGTTAATTCGGTTTCAAACGTAAATGAAGTCTTTAAAAAATATACGACCATTGACAAAAATACGATCTTAATTCTTAAAGTAGTTTATTTGATTGCTTGTTGTGGTATACTTGGGATTGCAGTCTATAAATTTAGTAAAATGGGAATTTTACCAAACCGAGATTCGGATTTTCTCCCATCATTATCACAACGAATGGTTTGTTTCTTTCTTTTCATTTTATCTTGTTATTTATTCAGTTACAAATAAAATTACAATATCTTTTTAACTATATTAGATTGTTCAAGAAATAATAATTTAATTAAACACATTGTTTGTGATTTATTTTAAAAAGAAAAGATACTAATTTTTATATGAGATTGGTGTTTAAAATAATATGGAATAAAATCATAAATGTTCAACCCTTTCAATCCATGAACAGTTTGTTCTAAATAAATCATTAATATCAGTCTGTTTAGATAATCGTTCATTCAATTCTTTTCTCTTTTCTTGATAACCTTTTTCTCCTTTCTTTGTTTCTTCAAGCTTTCTTTGTTGTAATACTTTCTTTTGTTCTATCTGTGCTTTTGTTTCTTCAGGTCTCTCTTCTGTATTCTCACGTTTCTTGGGTTTTTTGTCCTTGTCTTTAAAACATAACTTTTTTGTTTTGACCTTTTCCATCCTCAATAACAAAAATATTTTTTTTTAGTTGATTATTTTTCTTCTTTTTGTTTTAATGTTTCATATTTTTGTGAAAAGAACTGGATTATTTGTTTTAGAGATGGTGTTAAGGATGATTTGAATAACTAACAAACTATTCTTTATAGTATAAAAAACTAATGATAAATAGTACTTTTTTGTTGAAATTCTTAAAATAAAAATAACTAATATTAAAATTAGTAAAACAAAAATAGATCGGTTAACAAAAAATAAGAATAGAAAAAATATTATATTTTTGTTATACAATAATAAAAAATTTGAACTATATAAAAATAGAATAGAATGAAAAATATGTTCAAAAGTGAACATTTGTTTCATGATGATTGAAAAGAACGAAAAAAAACGATGTATTTTAAGATGAATTCAAAGATGATTTTGACAACTCGATTTTAACGGAAATGGAAACGACAAATTTGTTTTGGGGTTTTAATAGTATAAATACAATCTTGAAGAACTTTTTTGGTAAAACAGAAGTCGAATATAATTGATGCAGATTGATTCACGTCAATGCTCGTTAAGTGATCTTCTTCCTAAGCTTCAAGGGGAAATTCAGTCTCGTGGAGTGACTGTTCATAAAAAGAAAAGTAAAATTGTGTTATCATGGACAAAAGAAGAAGATGTACTACTCCAAAATGCTATTCAATTGTATGGGATTAATAATTGGGACTTAGTAGATGAATGTGTTCCAGGAAGAACAAAAAAACAATGCAAAGATCGTTATTATAATAGGTTTGATCCTAATATTATTCGTAAGCCTTGGTCTTATGAAGAAGATCAAATATTGTTGAAGTATAGAAATGTGTATGGAAATAAATGGACTGAAATAAGAAAGTATCTTCCTGGAAGAACAGCTAATCAAATCAAAAATCGATTCTTCTCTCATTTTGCTGATTTGGTAGAGAATCAACCAACACAACAAATTCAAATTCACTCTGTTTTTATTCCTGTTAATTCAGGATTTACTGTTATTGTAAATTCACCTATATTTTATTAATCAAATAAATGTTATTTCATTTAATTAAATAGTATTTTTACTATGATTGTTGTTATCTTTTTTTATCTAAACTTGTTTCAAAACAATTTCTTTTATTTATTCGAATTAAAATAATGAATTATTTTAACTGAATTATTTTATTACTTTCATTCTTATTTGTTTATCATTATTGTTCATAAAGTTGGATGAAAGAAATTACATGAAAACTTTCTTTTAAAAATCTTTTTTTTTTGAAAATAAATTCTATAAAAATGTTTGTTTTCTTTTATTCCTAATATTCACTAAATATTTTTTATTTATAACTTCAACAATTCGAACATCATCAGAAAAGATTATCATAAACCATTATGTAAGAAAATACCTTGATATTACCCTTTCTTTATTTAATATTTTGTATCCTTTCAAATAATAGAAAGAGTGGTCCAAAAGGAATTGTACAATAAAAAAATTCAATTATTATACTTATTCATATCTAGATTTTATGAATATTAGCAAGGGTTATTTAAGTAGAATTGATATGTTCTACCTCTTTGCACAGTTTGTTTTTCTTTCAACCAATTTTATTTACTAAATACATTCAATTATTATTATCATTTATCTGTTATTTTGACTTGAATTTTATCATTTTCATAATCTATTTGAATTTTATTCTTCTCTTTCATCATTCCACTTATTATTGATTTTGTTATTGAAGTTACTACTGTCTTTTCTATATATCGTCGCATTGGTCTTGCTCCATATGCTATTGAATATCCTGATTTAATGATTCCTTCTATTGCTGATTCTGTCATTTCTACTTCACTTAATGGATATCTCTTTTTAATCATTTTAATCACTTCTCCCATTTGTAATTTAACTATTTCTTTTAATTCTTTCTCTGAAAGTGGTGAGAATACTATAATATCATCTAATCTATTAAGAAACTCTGGTTTAAATGTTTTCTTTACTATTTCCATTACTGTTTCTTTAACTTTTCTACTAACTTGTCCTTCTGTTTCTACTCCTTTCATTATTATTTCACTTCCTAAATTTGATGTCATAATAACAATAGTATTCTTAAAATCAACTGTTCTTCCTCTTCCATCTGTTAATCTTCCTTCATCTAATAATTGTAATAATACATTAAATACTTGTGGATGTGCTTTTTCAATTTCATCAAATAATATTACACTATATGGTTTTCTACGAATTGCCTCTGTCAATTGTCCTCCTTCTTCATATCCTACATATCCTGGTGGTGCTCCTATTAATCTTGATACACTATGACTTTCCATATATTCACTCATATCTATTCTAACTATATTTTGTTCATCATCAAATAATTCAACTGCTAATGCTTTTGCTAATTCGGTTTTTCCTACTCCACTTGGTCCTAAAAACATAAAACTACCTGTTGGTCGTTTTTCATTTCCTAATCCTCCTCTACTTCGAATAATTGCATCACTAACTGCTGTTACTGCTTCATTTTGTCCTATTACTCGTTTATGTAGTTCTTCTTCTAATTTCATTAGTCTTATTTTCTCTGTTTGATTCATTTTAGTAACAGGAATTCCTGTCCATCTACTAACTACTTCTTCTATTTGTGTTGGTGTAACTTGTAATGATATCATTGTTGTTTCTTTATTTTGTTCCTTTAATTCTTTCATTCTTTTTTCTGCTTCTGGTATTGCATAATATTTTAAATCAGCTGCTACTTCTAAATCTTTAGTACTTTCTGCTTTATGTTTCATAGCTTCTATTTTCGTTGCAAGTTCTTTCATTTCTTCACTTCCTCCTTTTTCTTTTTCATAGTTAATTCGTAATTTTGTTAATTTCTCTTTATTTTCACTTAATTCTTTTTCAATATCTTGTAGTCTTTCTTTAATCATTTTATTATGGTCTTCATCACTTTCTTTAATGTCTCTTTCTAATGCTATTTTCTCTACATTTAATTGTGTTTCTCTTCTTTCTAATTTATCTATTTCTTCTGGTTGTGAATTCTTTTGTGTAAATAATGTAGCACATGCTTCATCAACTAAATCAATTGCTTTATCTGGAAGAAATCTTCCATTAATATATCTTTTACTTAATGTTGCTGCTGAAACTAATGCTGAATCGGTAATTGTTAATCCATAATGATTTTCATATTTCTCTCGTATTCCTCGAAGAATATATAATGTATCTTCTTCACTTGGCTCATTTACATAAACTTGTTGGAATCGTCTTTCAAATGCTGGATCTTTTTCTACATATTTTCTATATTCTTCTATTGTTGTTGCTCCAATACATCGTAATTCTCCTCTTGATAACATTGGTTTTAAAATATTAGCTGCATCCATTGCTCCTTCTCCTGTTGCTCCTGCTCCTAATACTGTATGAATTTCATCTATAAATAATATAATAGGTATTTTACTCTCTTTAACTTCTTTTATTACTGCTTTTAATCTTTCTTCAAATTGTCCTCTATATTGTGCTCCTGCTATTAATGCTCCCATATCTAATCCAATAACTCGACATTGTAAATTACTTGGAACATCTCCTTTAACGATTCGTTGTGCAAGTCCTTCAACTACTGCTGTTTTACCTACTCCTGGTTCTCCTATTAATACTGGATTATTTTTTGTTCTTCTTGATAAAATACGAATAACTCGTTTAATTTCTTCATCTCTTCCAATAATTGGATCCATCTTTCCACTTTCTGCTTGTGCTGTTAAATCATTTCCATATTTCTTTAATGCTTCATATTGACTTTCTGCTTCTTTTGTTTCTACACTTTGTCCTTTTCTCATTTCTGTTATTTTTTTGTTAAATTCTTTCACATTAATTCCACTATTTCCTACTATTGTACTAATTTCTTTCTCTTCCATTAATGACATTACAATTACATCTATTGCAAGATATGAGTCTCCCATTATTTTTTGTTTCTCTATTGCTCTTCTTAATACTTGTTGTGTTGTTGGATGAAGTCCAATATCAACTGGTGGTGGATTTTGAACTGCAATTTTATTCATTGTTTCTTTTATTTCTTTCCTTAATTTATTAACATCACCTCCCATCATTTCAACTATTCGGATAACAATATTTGATTCTTCTTCAACAATTGCTTCCATCATATGAATTGGCATAATGTATGCATTTTTTCTTTCAAATGCTATTTCTTGTGATTCTTTGAACATTTGAACAGTTGCATCTGTCCATTTGTTTGGGTCCATGTTTTATTTCTAAATGCTTGTTATTTGTTCAAGTTCCTTTAAATACTTAATGAGGATGATGTGATGACTTGTTGTTGTGTTGGTTGTTATTCATATTTTGTTATTCATATCAACGTGGAATAACGTGGTATCATGTCATCAAATAATAACATAATTTAATAACAAAAATGAAATAATATCACAAATATCAATGACAATGATGATTTAATCATTGAATGAACATTAAATATTCAAAATAAATGAACGATTTAATTATTTTATCAATTGTTTTACAACAAAACATTTTTCTGGTATTCTTTAATTCTTCTTTTCATCCATATCTAAATGATGTAATTGTTAATAGAATGTTGATGTTTGTTAATGATGTACATTTGAAGAAACTGTCATATCCTAATTCACTAACTGGTGATGGTAAATTAATTGATGTTAATGAAAAACATCCTCTAAAACATTTATCTTTTAATTTTCTGACAGAATTAAGTATGGTAATTGATTTTAATAATGAACACTAACAAAAACATTTATTTCCTAATTCACTAACTGTTGATGGAATAATAAATTCATTATATCTTCATTATATTTCTTTTTCATTCATTCTTTTTAAATTATTAATTTCAATTGATGCCTTATTTTCTGTTTTTACAAATGTCCTATCTTCACTAACGAATTGTACATTTTCTTATTAATTAATGTTAATGATGAACATTCATAAAAATGTCTGTTTTATATTTCACTAATTGATGATTGTATATTAATTTCTTTCATACCACAACAAAACATAAAATATCCATCTCCAATTGATTTAACTTCTATGGTATTTATTCCAATATCTATTTCTATCTTCTTTTGTATATATTCTATGTTTTTACATTTTCCTTTTTCTTTTAATATAGTGAATAACTAATATCATACCATATTACATATTTAAATATTCTTCCATCATTAAATATTTCATTATATTATTATAAATATGAAATGTTTCAATGTTAGGAAACAATTTTCTTGAATATTATTTAACTTAATTGGATTAAAATGAAATCGTTCTATATTTCCTTGAAATCTTTTAATTCCAATTTGTAAATTAATAAAATCTTTAATATCATTAAAATACATTGATGTTATCATTATTTCATTATATCCTAATCTCATTATTGTTTTATTATTTATCATTGTATTGTTTTATTATTTCTTTTTTGATTTAACCTTCAAATTATTTTAAGATAATCATCATTTGATTTTTTCTTTTCTTTAAACAGTTATTTTATTCATACTCTCATA